CAGCCATGGCCGCTTGAGGATGTAGGGGGCTAAAGAGGGACCGGACATGTTGGGCTTGAGGAGACGTCGTGCTGCTTGGTGCTCTAGGGAAGTGGTAGAAATCAATTGCGCGCAGTCGACTGACCCTGGCTGAAGCTCCATCGCCGGCCAATGGGCGCATTCTGAGTGGAGCTTGGCATTGGTTCGTCCGGAAGGGAAGCTTGACCGACTGCATCATTGCTCTCCGCCTCCTCACCAACTCCGGCAAGAACGTTCACCCATCACATCATCCTTCGCTTCCCCATCATTACCACCTCAGCTCACGTCCATCTGCACTATCTCGGACCCAAGTGATATCGCCAGCCTGACGCTTCCTTGATGGCCGCCTCTGTCACTCGCTGACAGGGCTCCCGCTGCTCTGTCTGGCCGGCTGCATACCGGCTCCAGACCCCGCAGTTTCGAAACTCAACTGAACGGTACTACGGTCAAGGCGGTCACGGTGCAACTGACACCACTGCTCACATCCATCTCCACCTTGCCGCCATGAGCTCGTCATATGGGCCACAACTTCCGCTTCGCTCTTGACGAAGACATTGCTGCCGACTCCTTATCATCCAATGTCCTTCGACCGAGACCCCGAACAGACTCCTGCTATCTTGTCCACCCAATCACTTCGTCAAGCTCAATATGCAACCCCGATCGACGGTAGCAACTTCTCATCCACAATGTCTTCGACGTCTTCGCGAGACTCCCTCACGGCCCGAATCCAGATACACTCGACACAAGTTCCGAAGGCGTGGATCTCGCCCATCTGCGGTGCCGGCGCAGGTCTGGCATCCGGCATCGTCACCTGTCCCCTCGACGTCATAAAAACCAAGCTACAAGCCCAAGGCGGCTTTAACACCAGAACGACAAAAAATCCGTATGGTAACACACAGCAGCTCTACAAAGGGATCCTCGGCACCGGCAGTGTCATATGGCGGGAAGAGGGCATTCGTGGCATGTACAGAGGCCTAGGGCCCATGCTACTGGGCTATTTGCCAACATGGGCTGTCTATTTGACGGTTTATGAGAATACGCGGGAGTACTGGTACGATCAATGTGGCAGTTGGTGGATGGCCCGGTGTTATTCCTCCCTCACCGCCGGCGCCTGTTCAACCATCTTGACGAATCCTATCTGGGTCATCAAAACAAGGTTGATGTCTCAGTCTGCAAAGACCCCTAGCGCCAGCGACGGCATGCGAGCCCCCTGGCATTACACCTCCACACTTGACGCTGCCCGCAAGATGTACCGCACCGAGGGCATTCGATCCTTCTATTCCGGTCTCACCCCGGCACTGTTGGGACTGACCCATGTCGCGGTACAATTCCCTTTGTATGAGTACTTCAAGATGAAGTTCACCGGCTATGGTATGGGTGAACACCCACCCGAAGACAGCACCTCCAACTGGATTGGCATCTCCGCTGCCACCTTCTTCAGCAAGATCTGCGCCAGTACCGCCACCTATCCTCACGAAGTCCTTCGCACTCGACTACAAACCCAGCAGCGGAGATCAGCCATGACCACGTCCGACGGCATGAAAGTCCAGCAAAGGTATCTAGGTATCCTCCACATGTGCAAAGTCATTCTCAAACACGAAGGATGGCGCGCCTTTTATGCGGGTATCGGCACGAATCTGATAAGAGCAGTTCCAGCCGCTATGACCACTATGCTGACATATGAATGGCTACGCAACGTCATTACGCGGTTGCAGGAGAAAGGCGCAGAGCTGAAGAAGCCGGTTGACGGGTATCCAGAGTGATAGAAGACCGGACAGTGCACAAACTCTTCACCTGCATTGTCTGAGAGATCTGGCCCGGCCCTACACCCATGATGATGTTGTGGGAAAGCTCGAGCTGCACGTCGCCTCTCTGACATGGGATCCATCCGGCCTTGGAAGAAATTACTTCGCGGTCATCCCTGGCCAGTCCTTTGAGGCGGGCATGAAACACTAGAAGTCAACCTCTGCTCGAGACGATTTGCTTGCAGGGTCTATCAAGCTCCAATGCCGTGAATGGTCGTCACCGACAACAGTTTCGACGATGGCGGAGTGACCGGGCTGGCGATCGAGCGGATATGACCGGGCACCGTCGAAACTATTCCAGCCACACCTATTGGCGAGCTCAATGTTGATGAGGAACTTGATACCCGCTTGATAGTTCAGCTTGGAAAGAGGAATGGGAAGGAATAGATGGTCGAGTAAACAGACCTTGAATGAGCATAGAAAAGCCGGGGCTTGGACAGGTGCGATCAATCCGGGGCGCTTGGGAAATTGTACACCGGGTCGCTCTCGGAGAGTTTGTTTTGAGAGTCCCTGCCGATCCGAGTTGTGGGGCAATTGATGAACAGGAGCGGAACCAAGACGAGCGTGAGGAGCTACATTATAATATGTTTTCGGGCTACGGCCAAAGCACAAGGCTGCTACGAGCCGGTCCGCAGATGATTGAAAATGAACTTGAATACCTCTGGCTGGCCCCTCGTGAGCCTGCTGCAGCTAAACGTGCCGTCCTGATGATGCCACTGTCGCCAAACTCGTATGCAGTGCGAATCGATGACACGTTATCGAAGCGAATTCAGCGACAATACGAATTTACAGCAGGACAAGTCCTTCCACAGCTCGATCTCAGCGTGTTTCCACGCTTTCTCGGATTGTCATGTTGTGGTTCATTGGCTCGCTCGACAGTGAAATCCTCCGGAGGAGCCAGTGAAGCACTCACTGGGTAGACGCAGGCAAGTCACCGTCATCGTCAGCCACTGGCGACTGAAGATGTAGTGGTACAGTCCCTCTTCCTTTGTCACTTGTACCGGGGCTTTCGTTTCTCAGGGTTGGAAATTTCTTGCTCAAAAGGTCTAAGATCTTTCTACTGTAAAATACCCGGTCGGTCGGTCAGTCAGTCGACACTTCATTAGTATATACGGTCAGTACGAGCATATAGTACACGCAGTCAGTCAGTACGAGCACTACAAATAAACACGGCGTTGATCATTTCTCTGTCAGAGGCAGCACATACAAGCCTAGGACACACGACGTAGCATGCTGGAGCAGATTCCCGACGCTGAACGCATCTCGATCTCGATCTCGACACCGATGCTGGCTGATGGTGATGTGCCAGAATGATCACATACCTACCGAATTACAGTACATACGTAGAGAACACGCACCACTACCTAGGTATGTACTCTACAGGGACCGGGTCACCGAGTGTGTATTGTATACTTTGTAAGGTAATGTGTACTGTGTACGCCCACCAGAACGCCCTGCACTTTTTACTGTACCGTTGCTTGGAACTGAGGGAAATGCGAGCACCAAGAGAGGCTACCAGAGGGGGGGGGGGGGGGGCTCACTGGCTCGAATCTCAACCTTCACCCAACAGTCCCATGGTCACTCGATAATTTAAAAGTACTTCACCTCGTACGCGCGAGGACACGATACGGGTTGAATCAGTGTCTTCTGTGTTATAAAGTGGTGACATGACATCCTTCTCAGAAGGCCTTAGCACGGTACGGCAATATTTGAGGGCCTCGAGAGTGTAATAAGCAACTAAACCTGGTTTCACCGAAGGGCTGCCTTGTAATTTTGGCCTCGATGAAGAGAGGTTTCCCTCCCACGCCGAACAACGCAGCCAGCACCGGGAGAGCCTAATACAGTGCCGTCCTAAGGCACTGTGTAAAGTGCTAATCGTGGCTCTGCACGGGAGAGAGACACAGCACACAGTATGTGTGCGGAGTGGTTGGTTACCTACATACTTACCTACTCGACCGTATACTCGTCCCTCGTAGGAGGACATGTGAATAGAGGGTATTGAGGGTAATCAATGACACGAGTACGAGGATTCATCTTTTCATATTGTCGTTATTACCGGCGCAGCGTCGCAGCGTCCCGGACATGGTGGTGCGCACATAAAGGTACATAAACAGCGTAAAAAGGCTGAGTACTCAGTCCCTAGTTACCTAGGTATATACTGTAGTCACACGCACACACACAGTACGGAGGAAGTACTCCGTACATACTGTGTGGGTAGGTAGGTAAGCACTACCCAACCAAGGCATATGCACTCGGGATTCTGGATGAGGGGTACAGCAAACAGAATATAGGGTTACTCTTACTGTAGCTTCGCCCACGTACTCCGTACATCTATAACTACTCCGAACTGTCACCGTACCTAGGTCGCCTTGATCCTTGTTCCTTGAAAGGCAAGGCTGGCAAAGTCGGGGCAGGCTACTCCGTCGAGTCCGTACCCGCGCCAGTCACAGCCCGTTTTGGGACTGGCAAGAGGCGATACGAGGCTACAGGACGTGGGAACATGGTGTGTCAGAGGACCCCGAAAAGAGAAGGGCACCCTTGGTGTAACGTGCCCCTACAATATCAGACCGAGCGACAAGATCTACTATTTACTCCGTACTGACCAAGTCGTCCACACCTTCACCATTTCCGCGCCGATTGTTCGGTACGTATACTCTGTATACTCAATCGCCCTCTCTTGCAACCTTGCAACCGTTTGGGACGACTACTCTTGACCCTCCGTGGACAAACACACGAGGAGACAGTCCTGATGCAGTGGACGCACAGACGAGAGAAGATCCGGTGCAACGGAAAAAGGTCCGGAAATACCATACGGATATCTTTCATTACTTCCATAATTGTGGTACAATACATACGTCCTTGCGCGCGCAAGGTCCCTTCTAGCATTTACGTCTCTGCGATTCCTTCCTTATGTTGTTGAATAATGCAGGGAAAAAACAAGAACCATCAACATCATGAGTTGCGCCATTCGTACTCCGTCCGTGATCCAACGAGTCCGACTTGCTATCGATAATCACAAGTAACATCATAGAAAAGAGTCCAGCCACACACAGCAGCAAGAGAGTGCGCTGTAGTGCAAGCCAGGCCCCTTAACCACTGCACATAATGCATGCTTCTTTGTTCTCGATCGAGCCTGCAATCAACGGATTAGCCACATACATCCTGACTATGCCTCCTTTAACGGAAAAGTGACAGGGTATACTCACAGGCAAGCACTTTCTGGGCATAAATGTCCTCTTCTCTTTCTCCGTTCTCACTCTCCTTGTCTTCTTCCTGCTCGCCCTTCGATCTGCTTTCCAGACTTTCCTCTGCAATAGCGTCCGGCGGGCTCGAAGTTGCGTCTGTGGCAAGAATCCGGGGTGAAACCTCAGTACTCGACTCGCCTTCGCTGAGGCGTGTCTTTGCGAGCTTGTGGGCCACCGAGCCAATCTGCTTGTTGTCGTCACTGACGGCTGGCGGAGTTGATGTCGGCGTTGGAATGCCATTAATAGACGCGGTGTTGTTGCCGCCTAGGTTGGAAGACTTGGACTGATACATCGGCCTGGGGATGGAGTTGTAGTTTGACACACTGCTGCTGAAGCCAACGGATGTGCGTTTCTTGGGTCCAGAACGTTCGCGGGCAATGTTCGTATCGGCCACCTTGAGTTGTTCTTGGTCGACAGTGAATTGAATGGGTTGTGTGGCAGCCATGGTGCGGAGGTAGTACATGCCGGTCTTGAGACCCATCTTCCAGCCAGCAAAGTGCATGGATGTGATTTTGCCCATGGTCGGTTCCTTCAAGTGGATGTTCAGAGATTGGGACTGGTCGATGAAGGCACCCCGGTCTGCCGCCATTTGAAGGATTGTCCGTTGGCTGATTTCCCAGACAGTCTTGTACAACGCCTTGATGTCAGCAGGGATGTTGGGGATGTTCTGAACTGAACCACCATCGGCGATGATACGGTTCTTCATGTTGTCTGACCAGAGGCCAAGGTCGACCAGGTCCTTCAAGAGCCATGGGTTGACGACCTGAAACTCACCAGCCAGGACACGACGGGAGTAGATGTTGGAAGTATATGGCTCGAAGCATTCGTTGTTGCCAAGAATCTGCGAGGTTGACGCGGTAGGCATGGGAGCAACAAGCAGAGAGTTGCGAACCCCGTATTTGGCAATGTCGGCCTTCAGTGAGTCCCAGTCCCACAGGTCGGAAGGAGTGACATTCCACATGTCGTATTGGAGAATGCCTTGGGAGACTGGGCTCCCCTCGTATGTTTCATAGGCGCCTTGCTCCCTTGCAAGCTCGCATGAAGCAGTGAGAGCAGCATGGTAAATGGTCTCAAAGATCTGGATGTTGAGTTGTCGAGCCTCTGGAGAGTCAAAGGGCAGACGCAGGGCAAGGAATGCATCTGCAAGACCTTGAACACCAAGACCAATAGGACGGTGTCGCATGTTGCTCTTCTTGGCCTCTGGCACAGGGTAGTAGTTGATGTCGATGATCTTGTTCAAATTGCGGGTGACCACTTGAGTGACCTCGTGGAGGCGGCCGAAGTCATACTCGCCACGGGCTTGATCGACAAAGGTTGGAAGAGCCAGAGAAGCCAGATTGCAGACAGCAACCTCATCCGGGGCTGTGTACTCGACAATCTCGGTGCAGAGATTGGAGCTTCGAATGGTTCCCAAGTTCTTCTGGTTGCTCTTCCTGTTGCAAGCATCCTTGTAGAGCATGTAGGGAGTACCCGTCTCAGTCTGAGCCTCAAGGATGGCATACCACAGCTTCTGGGCCTTGACTGTCTGACGGCCACGGCCCTCCTTTTCGTATCTCTCGTAGAGCTCCTTGAAGTCGTCGCCGTACACATCGGCAAGCCCTGGAGCTTCATGAGGGCAGAAAAGAGTCCATTCCTGGTTCTTCTCGACACGCTCCATGAACAAGTCGGGAGTCCACATAGCATAGAACAAGTCACGAGCTCGGACTTCCTCCTTGCCGTGGTTCTTTCTTAGGTTCAAGAACTCGAAGACATCAGCGTGCCAGGGCTCCAAGTAGATGGCGAAAGCGCCCGGTCGCTTGTTGCCGCCCTGGTCGACGTAGCGGGCCGTGTTGTTGAACACACGGAGCATGGGAATGAGGCCATTTGAGGTGCCATTGGTTCCTGCAATATAGGATCCGGTTGCACGAATGCAGTGAGCATTGAGGCCAATACCACCAGCTGTCTTGGAGATCATGGCACACGTCTTGAGAGTGTCGTAGATACCCTCGATGCTGTCCTCCTTCATGTCGATCAAGAAGCAAGAGGACAGCTGGGGCTGTGGAGTTCCAGCATTGAAGAGTGTCGGGGACGCATGAGTGAAGCACTTCTGGGACATGAGATTGTATGTCTCGATGGCCTTCTCAATATCGTCGCCGTGGATGCCCACAGCCACACGCATGATCATATGCTGTGGTCGTTCGGCGACTTGCTTGCCAATCTTGAGCAGGTATGATTTCTCCAACGTCTTAAAGCCAAAGTATTGGTAGTTGAAGTCCCGGTCATAGACTATGGCCGAGTTGAGTTCATCAGCGTGTCTCATGACGCATTCGTACGTCTCTTTGGAGATCATGGGGGAGAATTTGTTGTTCTTGGGGTTGGTATAGTGATAGAGGTCTGAGATGACGGCAGAGAACTGCTTCTTGGTCTGCTTGTGGAGGTTTGAGACGGCAATACGTGCTGCCAGGATGGCATAGTCGGGGTGGGTGACTGTCATGTATGCCGCGGTCTCTGCGGCCTGCAAAGTCGTGTCAGCAACAGACGGATAACATCAGGTGGCAATACTGACAAGATTGTCGAGTTCGATGGTGGTCACGCCTTGATAGACACCAGAGATGACCTTTTGGGTGATGGCGGCTGCATCAACATGCTCTGGATCGAGGCCATAGCACAATCTCGAGACACGAGCTGTGATCTTGTCGAACTGCACGCGTTCCTTGCGTCCATCTGTTCACGCATCGTCAGCTCGTGGTCATGAAGTAGCAGACACAAACGATCTTGCGTCTCTGCGAACAGATATGTCATACCTCGCTTGTAGACGAACATATTGGCGGATTGTCCTGCGCAGCGGAGCGTAGCAGTTATAGCCTTTCTTCTGTTCTGCCTCGGCGGTAGCTGGGTTATGCAGGTTGCAAGGGATGATCGAGGAGAACGAAAACGAAGAACAGCACAGCAGTGCTCTTAAAGACTCTGGTAACTCCACAACACAATCTCCAGTCACTGTAGAGACGCAGGCAACAGTCTGCTAGTGTTTGGTAACGAAGGAGACGGTGGCCGGGACGAGAGGGAGCAAAACATGCAGATATAACCCGCCCGCATAAAACACGCCTAAGAGCGCGTTCGCGTTTTGGAGTCTCGCACTTTTGCCCCACCAGCCTAATGGCCGCCAAGGCCCAAGACGTCACTTTTCATTTGCCACTCACTTCTCGCTCTCCAGTCAACTCGCTGTGCACAGTAACTCGTAAGGTATTCCTGGCCGTCGAATGCCTCAGTCCATCACCGTGCGCCGTTCTCGATTCATTTCATCAAAGGGCCTACACAGTGACCGACTTCCAGCCACCGATCGCGACGTTCTATCAGTCTGGACTGCTGGGGCCGTCAATACCTGCTCTTGAGGCAGATGATTGTGATCGTGGGCCAGCGGCTGAGAGACACCCGTCTCCACGCCTGCTAAACAAAGCTTACAAATGCACTCAACGCGGCACAAGACCCCTTCAATATTGAAATGTCAGTCATCACATTCTGAGCTCTTCTCGAGATACAGCCGTATGTCCAAGCGAGCTAGATCTACACTCACACTTGATCCAAAACACCTCCGCAAAAACAAAGTGTACCCTGAAACCCAAGATAGCCAGCCACCCTTTCCAATTGTACACGCATGTGCAAACAGAATGACCGCGAGGCGGAAGCCAGTGACCAAATGTCTCAAAGCATCCTCTCCTTCCCCTTGCCCTTTATAGTATCATCATCAGCATGGTCATCGTTGTAGTCTTCGTCGCCTTCCCTCACGCTGCTCATCCTTTTCACCTGATCCCTCTCTTTGTCCTCGTCCTGGTCCACCTCGCTCCTGTTACTGCTCAGCAGACTCAAGGCATCGACGTTGACGACACGCAGCTTCTCCTTGGGAACAGTGAACATGACCTGGACAACTCGCTGCTGTACAGCTGTTTCTACGTCCCAGTCGTCGTCTTTTAAGAATTCGCCATCGTTATCGTCCAGTATTACTCCTGGGACCGGTTTTCGGCGGGCTGTGGATGAAGGGCCCGTATGACTCGAACTGGGCAAATCATCCTCCCAGTCCTTGGCTCCTTGTTTGCTGCGCCAGAACGAGGTTGGTCCTCCACTAAGCGTCCTTTTCACCCTCGTCTCCGTCATCTCGGGTGGTTGCGAAGACTTTGTCGGGCTGGGTTGCCCACTTCCAGTCTCAAAGGCCGCGACTCGATCTTGAACGTCAACGCCGCCAGTTCCAGTGAAGACGCGTTTCACGCTCCCCAGAAGGTTCAAAGCCCTCCGGCTGGAGTTTGTCAGGCTGCCCGTCCTCGAATATTTGTCTTTGCTGGGGCTTCCCTGAAGCGTACTGTAGTCTCGCTCCTCGCTTTGTCGCGGCTGGTTGCCACGATTGAGAAGAGACTGTTCCTCTCCCCCCGCTGACGGGGCCCACCGACTGCGAGCAGAGGCCAGTGTCTCTGCGCCGTCCCAAGCAGAACTATCTCGAGTGGTGTCAATATTGAGCGACACGCTTCGATTCGAGGGTGCTCGACAAAGCCCTGCACCGACATCGTGCCCGGCAGCGCCTTGTCGGCCAAACCCGAATCGGCCCATAGCCGCCGCGGGACCTGAGAACAAGGTATAACCCGCGCTTGCACTTCGCTGGGAGATATTCCGCGACACAGTGCCAGCGACTGATCTCTGAAAGGACCCGATGCTCGTCATGCTTTTCTCCGAGATGTTACTCCCGGTCCTGTCAGACTTCTCAGGTGAACTTGGAGGGTTGCGCGACTGCGAAAGATTCGAGTATGTCCTGCTATGGGCCTTGCTTGGGCTTCTCGAGACAGTCATACTCTCAGCAGCTGACTGCCAGTCGTCAACCCATTCTTCCACTTCCTTCTTCCGTTGCACAGCAGCTTCGTCCCGAGGAGCATCATCCGTAACGAGCGGAGGGTCTTTGAATGGATTACTTCCAATCGACCAATTGTCGGTGGCCACCCTAGGAGTCTTTGCCCGCTTCAGAGACCCGCTGTGGCTGCGTTCGTCCTCTTCCTCGATGCGGAAGACTGCCCCTGAACCCGTAGGTGGATGTTGATTGAATGGGTGATATATCGTGGGACCCCTTGCATTCACGCCCTTTCTCAAGCCTCTTGTAGGACTGGGTATCTCCATTTGCACGCCGGTACGCTCGGCGTGTCGGGCACTATTGATCTCGCTACCCGCAGTCGTTGGACGTTGCTGATCGTTGTGACTGGCCATGACCACGGGTGCCCACGGAACCGGGTTCCTCGAGCTTTCAATCTTTGCTTCTTGTGCTGCACCCCAACTGGCGCTCCGCATGTTTGCATATCTCGCTTCATCTTCATCGGGTGGTAGTGGTGAGTGATATCGCTCAGCACCAAGAGCTAGTTCACGAAGCTCTTTTTCACGTAGAGCGCGTTTTGCCCTGAGTTTCCGTGAGTAGAGAAGCCAAACTATGGCAATCACGGCGGCTGCTGCCACGCCAAGGCCCACCCCTGCGCCTATGCCTGCCTTCTCCGAGGTCTTCAGTCCTGAAGTGGATGGTGCAGCGCTCGTGGGTTTAGACGATGAGCCGGAAAAATGAGGGTTCGTGTACACATCGGTCCATTCGAAGCTTGTGGTGTTCAGGAAAGAGATATTACGCGAGAGATCGCGTTTGTTCCGGGACCCAGACGGAGCGATCGAGTGGCCGCCAGTGACCATCATAACGCCGCCAGATAGCATTGTCGCGGCATGACCGTAGATGCCCTGGTCAGCATCGACCGGACTGGAACTCGAGGAAGGAAGCGTCCAAGCCCAATCTCCCTCGCCACCATATTCTTGAGCTATGTTCAGAACGGCCAGTTGTGGTTGGGCGGGGGTATTGATGTCACCAACCCAACCTCCAAACACCACTATCTTGGATCCATCGTCGGTCAGGATCGCAGTATGGCCAGATCGTGGTTCGATAGCATGCTCCGCTTGGGTCGCGTCGACGAACGCCCACGACTCCTGGGGCAATGAGAAGATGGCCAACTGCGACATGTTGATGAAGGCGTTCTGCGTGTGGCCGCCGATGAGGGCGAAGTTCTGCTGCTGCGACACCGTGTTTTCTGAAGTGTTCGAGGAAGTTGGCACCAGCGGCGTTATGGTCAAGCCCGCTTCTGCGACCGGCGGCGCCCTTGCTCCGGTCAATGAAACAGTATAAGGGCGATCGTCGTTCGTAATATAGCCTTGTGCGAAGGTGAGCATGGTGTTTGAGTAAGCCGCGTCCAAGGTCCAACTGCCGGCGTCCGGAGACTTGTTGTTAGGACACATGCCGCCAAAAATGTATAGAGAGACATTGTCGAGTGAATTCGTTGGAGAGAAGGTGAAGCCGGCGGAGAGGTACTTCAGGCCCAAGGACTCATCATCTGTATCCAGCACTGGCGTCTTCCACGCGCCACTTCTGAAGTCGGTGTCGAATATGAACCTCCATAATTCCAGATCTTGTGTAGGATCATTGCAATCGCCCACCAGCACTGAGAAGCCTTCATCGTCCGGAGGGAGCGTGAGAAATGCGCGTGGCTCGGATTCTGATAGAAAGGGTAGGGTTTCAAACGGCGTCGTTCTCGGCGAACTCGAGTTCACGGTCTCGGATGTATTGAGCCAGGAAAGCGAGAACTGATAGGTGGCCGACGGCTGTGGTGAGAAGATGTAGACAACCGAGCCATTTTGCGCTGGCACGATGCGCGTGGGATTGTAGGGCAGTTCCGGTCGTGCCAATGCGGGTGCCACCAAGGTCAAGAGGCCGGCGGAGAGAGGGACGAGCGCTTGTAACATGTCTCGTGTCGGGTGTCAGGTCATAGTTGTCAGGATCGAGTTGTCATCCAGGCTGGCAAACAGACCCGTCTGCGGCCTTCCGCAGCCTCCAGATTGTAAGAGGTCGTCGTCGTCGTGGTTCACTTGTTTGCTCTCGGGGTGGAAAGAGTCGAACGAGAGGGTGGGACCTGGATTTTCACAGGAGGAATGCGCAGGAGGACTTCGAGAAGGACCCGGTGGAGTGGCTGGGCCGGAAATCGCAGTCTTTGCGGGGTGGGATGCGAGTGGTAAACACTGAAACTACCGCCAGCCACATCAAACTCACAGCCCGATGCAGGCGACTTTAGCGAACGCGAGCTGCGAACCCTTTCGAATCGGCCAATCGCTTTGTCGTGATGCAACAAGGAAGTTTGCGCCATCGGTGGCCTCTCTGCCACCACAGGGTCGTCCAGAACGTGGCGGACGACTGATCAGATGTTCGTCACCATGGCAACCATCGCTCCAAGATGCGCCAAGGTGACGAACTCGTCGACCCGATCATGCTAGGCGAAATCAGCCGAGCACTATGATCGGATGTTACGGCAGATATGGAGTACTGTGTACTCCGTACGTACTGGGTACCTCGTAGTTGGGACTAGGATCGGCCTACTGGATCTGGTGCCGTTTTAGCAACTGTGGGTATACAGTACTGTGTCCTAGAGGTGAAGGCACAGCGAGAGTTACCGAGTCAGTGTATGACCTGCAGAGTCATGGCAAGTGGCCGCCCACAACGGCATACCGTACTAGAGTGTTGTGTACATCAGGCGTGTGACCAGAAAGCTAACCAAGTCCAGCGTCGCAAGCAAACAACAACAAGCTTTGAGTTGGGCAGAAGCGAGAAAGGCAGTCGGCTGTGAGAGGATAATTTACCCTCAAACTTGGTAGTCATATTCAGCTCAAATCACATTCAGGTGGCCCCACAGAATGACCAAGAGAAGTTCATACAGAGATCAAACAAACATTGCATCTACACAGCACTGTATAATTGACCATAAGACACCATGAAGTCATCACGCCGTGCACCACTCTGCCACCCACTCTCCTCCAACTGCCGAAAGCAGAGATGTACCGTCCCAAGGACGCGAAGCCTTTGCCGCTACTGAAGGCGCGTGCGAGAGAGAGGCGTGCGGTCGGCTACTCGGTACGGAGTGTCCTAATGTCCTCTTCGACGTATGCTGCTTGTCGACCATCAGCCTGACCGATCCTGACGATCGTGAAGAAGCCGCAAATTCCTGCAGCACAGAGGCTGATCCGTCGTATTTCAGTAGCCCCGACTTCGAGCCGCATGGGCTTCGCGCCACATTTACAGCGATCGTCGAACGTGTTCCAGTGGCCCATCGTGCATCTGAGGTACGGTCGGCCTGCATTCGTTTTGCCGTTGCGATCGCCTTGGGTCACGTGGCGGAAGCAGATGGCGTTGCAGGAAGGAGACTTCTGGCAAAGGATGTCTGTGGCTACGCCCTCTCCCGGTGTAAGGGCTCCAGGCGTGTGCAGATGCATCGGTGCCCCGTTCGTATATGGTGGTGTGATAGGCTCGATGACACGTCCATGATGAGGAGTCATTGGAGGTTGTTCGCCAATGACGCGTCCATGAGAAGGTGTTGTTCGAGGCTGTTCGCCGGCCACTTCCTGAGATAGAGTCCTTGAAGAGTCGAGACGTTGGCGAAAGGTTGTCCTCGAATAGTTGTCATTGACACGTCCAGAAGGGGGCGTATCGAGACCATTTCCGACGACATGTCCTGTCTGACGTACCGGTGTGGGAGTCGTTGGCATGAAACGCTGAGAGGAAGCTGCCATGTTCTCTTGATTAGAGCTGGTCAGAGACGTGCTTGAGGCGTCCAGTTCGGATGGGCCTGGTGGTGAGGAAGGGAGACTGGCGACTTCAACGGTATGGCTAGACTCGTGCTTGATTCGAGTGAGGCACGCACACACTTTGATCTTTAAGATATGAAAACGCTTGGAAGTCGTCATTGATCAAATCTTTGTCTAATGAGTGAGAATCCTGTCACTAAGAGGAGGGGATCCGGCCGGTTTTATAGATTTCTATTGCAGCGCCGAAGCAGTGACCACAATAGATATGGCGTCCCATTCTTGTCGACCCTAGGGCCGCGAGCCTCACCAAGACGGCCTCTCCAATGACAATGCCTCGACACTGCCCTTTTGACGCGGCCAACTGTTCGACACTGCCCTTTTGACGCGGCCAACTGTTCGACACTGCCCTTCTGACGAGGCCAACTGTTTCGACGTGGAACAAAATGCGATATTGAGAGGCAGCCACGGACGCCAGACCAGAGAAATCGTAGACATGACGAACATGGCAGTGCTGGATGACGGATGAGCGACCAGTATGCCGCTCGGGTCGCCCTGTAGCTGACCGCTTTCCACGGAGCTCGCGCGACGACTCGCTTTGTCGACGCTAGGGACGCTCGAAATGGACTGGCAACTCGTGTCCGACGGAGCTGCGCCGCCTTCCTGGAACTTGATCAATGGCGATCATGGAGTTGAGGTTGGTGGTGGTCAGGACGACGCCCAGATACTGTGTCAGCCTTAACAGCCTGAGACAGACTGTGATTGACTTTGGTTCTTTGCTGCGCGCCAAAGGAGCAGAAGCAGGAGCAGCAGGGTATTGACCTATGGAACGGCCACCTCGCATGTCGAGTCAAGCGCCCGTGGGACTGTTGCAGCCTGACTCACACTCGCAGCTTGTGTGGCGTCCGCCTCAGGGGGTGGAAAGAGAGCTTGAGTTATCCGCTGACAGCCTCACCAGGGACGGATCGACGACGGGGACGACGATCACGCGACTACAGCGAGACATGCCCGTGCCGGCATCACTGGATACCGATGTACTGTAGTCAATAAAGGGTGTGAATTTGAGAGATTCTATAATTCTGCGAGCTGATGGTTTGTGAGGACTGAGGATAATGTTTGACAGTGAACTGGAAGTACGGAGTACGGAGTACGATCATGAGGACTGGCTATGAGTGACCGAGGTGGCGTCAGCCACAAGCCATGGCGCGCGCAACTAGCTACCTGTATGCAGAGAATCGCAGGATGCGCCCAAGGTGTTACTTACACTGCTGTACGGCACCTTGCGAGACACAGTGGCTCAAGCAGAAGCTCTATCCCCGCCTGCGTGTCCAAGCTATATGTACTGTGTAACTACTCCGTACGCGGGAGGTAGACCTAGTTAGGTGAATCTCTTGCAAGGCTGCGTTCGAGGTGCGGCGCAAATCTCGCCAAAGATCCAGGCACAGCCGGATCTGCCGATGAGCACAAGGAGACATCGATTGCGAGGAGCGAAGCACTTGTTAATTACTCACCTTGAAGAAAGTTGGGTCAGGCTTCATTACAGCACCATATCCCAAGTGGGTTCGGCTGTGACAACCCCGAAGCAAAACATACGGACTCTCCCCGTAACAATAGTCGAGAAATCGAAGGTCGAAACGCCAAACGGTTAGCCATATGCGAGCCAATTTTTGAAGTCCAAGCAAGCGCAGTCTATCATTTTCGGTTGCATGTGTTGCTGCTCTTGATCCTTTGCTGGGAACGTCTGCCTGGCCAATTTGTCTACTCTGTTGTACACTAGTCCCATCAAACGTGTGCACCTGGAAGTGCACTGCCATTCAACACTTTCTCAGGATCCGCCGACGTGCCTGTACCCTTCACTGGCAACATAGCCTTCAGAGGCGGAAGGAGAGCTCGAGCGGTCTCCCTCGCTTGCTGGGCAAGTAGCGCGTCCATAAGCACCAAAGCGGACATCGCCTCGACAATCGGCACAGCCCTCGGAACAACACAGGGGTCATGCCGCCCTTTGGCTTCCAAAGTGCCTTCTTCGCCATCGAAAGTCGCTGTTTGTTGCGCTTGTCCGATGGTTGCGGGTGGCTTAAAGGCCACTCGGAAGTAGATGTCCTGACCGTTCGAAATACCGCCCTGGATCCCTCCAGAATTATTCGTCTTCGTCGTTAATTTCCGCTTCGAGTTGGGAGTCTGTTCGCCGGGGGCGACCTCGGGAGCGGCAATAAACGGGTCGTTGTGTACTGAGCCTGGCACCTCGCAGCCGCCGAATCCTGATCCGATCTCGAACCCTTTCGTAGCAGGTATGCTCAACATGGCATGTGCCAATTCTGCCTCCAACTTGTCGAAGCACGGTTCTCCCAGGCCAATCGGACAATTCCGAATCACGCAGGTTACGGTGCCGCCAATGCTATCTGACGCATCGCGGAATTTCTCTATCACCTTCGTCATTCGCTCTGTCGCAGACTTTTCCGGACACCGCACAGGCACAAAAGAGTCGACTTCTTGTCGTGTGATTCGGGAGATGAGTGAGAGAAAGGCTGGATTGGTCGAGGGCGATGGATGAGTTGCCGTCGGTGGGAAGAGGTGCTCCGATCCAACAGACGAAACGAACGCCACGATCTCAACACCGTGAGAGAGAGACAAATATTTCTCTGCAATTGCACCAGCCGCGACTCGTCCTGTGTCTCAGGTCAGGAAATGCAGCCATGATGTGGCAAGGGTTGATGGCTTACCAATTGTCTCTCGCGCACTACTCCTGCCGCCGCCCGAGCTTGCCTTGACACCATACTTTTCCAGGTAGGTGAAATCTGCATGGCTCGGCCGAGGATACATATCCATAGTCCCACTCCCGTAATCCTTCGGTCTCTGATCCTCATTCTTCACCATCAACATAATCGGCGTGCCCAGTGTGACCCCAAACTCTGTCCCAGAGTGGATCTCCACGCGGTCCTTTTCATTCCGAGGTGTTGTAAGTGCTGACTGTCCTGGCCGCCGCCGAGTCATCTGTGGTTGTATATCATTTTCGCTAAGTTGGAGCCCAGGAGGACACCCATCGACAATACAGCCCACGGAACGGCAATGCGACTCGCCATAGGTAGTCACCCGGAAGTAGTTGCCCCAAGTCGACATGCTGGAAGACGGCCTTGGCAGTAGGCAAGGCGAGATTAGATACGCAGGATTTGGTCCTCTCGTCGACTGTGAAGCACGCGTTGCAAGATAGTGGTGACTCCGATCCCAACGGTGGTCTGATGGGAGATTACCTCCTAGGGAGTAAGCCAAAAATCAGTGCACTGTCAAATATTGCGTGAAGATGGCCGATGGAGAGACGACAACCCCAGATATTTCTTCTGGTCTAAACCGTATGGACGGCAAAGATCTGATCCGCCCAGAATCACAAAGGTTGTCCTTGCTCCGTGTATCGGAGTAATTCAAACGAAAAATCAACGGCGTGTGGACCAATCAGGAAGCTGGACCGAGCCGCAGCCTTGCAGGAAAGCAGGTCAGCCTTGTATGTGTACTATGTACTGTGTCACAGCAGTACTCGGACAAGTGGACTACTACCATGCTAGCTAGGTGTTTTGTCCTGGAGGTCGCTATCATACTTGACATTTTCATTTTCATTGCTTCATAACAAGTGAACAAGCTCTATACTTCCCAAAGTCGAGCGACTGAACTATTCCGTCCTGCTGGGGCGCGGTGTGTGTCTTAACCACGATTTTGGCGACTGCTTCAACGCATCAATAATCGTCACCACGGCTGATTACCTCCTTGACTGTAGGCCTCAACAAGATCGTGTGCTCAAACTGAGCCGTATAACTGCCCTTGATGTCCACGAGCGGCGGGTATGCCTCCACAATTCCCGAGCTTACCAAGTTGTTCAACCCGAGCAAATACTTTTCTTGGCCCAATCTATCCAAGTATCTTCGAGCAAAAGGAAGAGTCCCGAAATTCTTCTTGATGACATTTAACAGATTCCGCGCAGACTGCACACGAAGAGGCACATTCGGTGCATCCGGGCGCAAAGCGTAGTGCGACACCTCCAGATCATCGGTGACGTATCCGCGACCCGTAGACCCGAACGTCTCGATGGCAAAGATTTCTCCCTCTTCCATCTTGGTCTGGTCATTTGACTTGACGATGGGGACCGATTTGCCACCGTGGATGCTGTGTTGGATGATATCGTGGCCGTTCAGATTCTTGATGGATTTGACTGGATATGTCTTCCCATCAAGCTCGACTTCATACGATTCCATAGCTTCTTGGATCGCGGCGCCGATATCACCAACGCGCACGTCGATGCCCGCTTCACGGATGCCGGTGTTCGTCGCGTCTTTGACCGCGGCCAGCAGATTGTCGTACTTTGAGTCGAAGGCCACGGTGAATGCCGAGTCGACAATACGCCCATTGATATGAACTCCAAAGTCCACCTTCATGACATCCTGCTCGGCCAAAATCCACTTGTTGCCTGCGTTCGGGGTGTAGTGGGCGGCGATGTGGTTGATGCTCAACCCAGTGGGAAAGCCCACGCCGCCTTTGATGTTATCCCCTTCTTCCAGGCCCCAGTGGCCGGTCAAGGCACGGGTGCCGTCCTCGATGCCCTCGGCAATCTCTGTCAGCGTCATCCCCGGCTTGATGTTGGCCTGCGCCCACTTGCGCACCTGACGGTGCACCTCAGCGCCCTGGCGGTATTCCTGGAGGAAGTCGTTCCGGGTACGGTCCAGGTGCCGCTTCTCTTCGCTGGTGGTACGATATGCATTGTGATCCTTGTAGTCCACTTCTTCACCGACCGGATATGTCCCGCCGGGGAAAAGATCCTTCAGTGGCACACGGGGCGGATCAGATTGGACTTTTGCCGTCTTCTTCTTCTTTGGCTTCTTCTTCTTCTTTTTCTTCGCGGCTCCGCTGGCAGCCCCGTCCGCTGCGCCGCCATTCACGGGGGCGTCGTCGTCCTTGTCATCGTCCGAGTCGCCCTGATCCGACAGGTGACCGTTCACACCGTTCGTGCCATTGATGTGTGTGTTTTGCTTGGTGGCAGTGCCGTTCAAGGCCAGCTTCGAGAGCTCATCTGCCGTCTTCGCCGCCATGTTGGCGGACCTGTGGAGTGTATTGCTCTTGATTGTGAGGAACGAAGAAGTGGTTGTGCAAGGCTGTACTTTCTATTACGAAAACTACTCGTACGAGTATCCACGCTCCCGCCGGCACCGCAGCGGCAAAACTGCGGAGCAATAAGTCAGAAGTCAGTGACTTCGAGGTCGAGTAGAAAGACGTCACGTCCCCCCGAAATCAACCAAGTCGTTCTTATCCGCGCCTCTTTAGAGCTTCACTTCTTGTCCCCGTTTTCAAACAACGCGGAAATCACCAAGTATGAGGCATGATCCTTCGCCCAGCCTCCATCTCCCTCTCCATCGCCCATCCTCTCCGTCGCTCCTCGCACGCGACCCTCCCACTCGCCACCGGCTCCGCCTGCACCACCACCCCCTCCTCAACATGCGTCGCTCGAGCACGGGGTCAGCGTCCCTTCTCTCACACCCGCCGCCTCGAACAGGCCGGTAACGCACCTCAGAACCACTATGAAGTGCTGAAACTCCCCATGCACGCCACGAAATCAGAGCTAAAGCGCCAGTTCTACATCCTCTCCAAGGAAACCCATCCGGATGTGAATCGCCAAGACCCCCAAGCTGCCGACCGCTTCGCGCAGATCAGCGAGAGCTACTCCGTCCTCGCGGACCCGGAGAAGCGGAAGCGCTATGACCGAGACGTCATGCGCGCACAGCAGCAGCACGACCGGCACGGCCGACACCACAGCGGCGGCGGCAGCAGGTCAGGGACATACGCGGGCCACCGGCCTCCCTCGGGCCTGAGCAAGAGACGGAGCGTGTTCAAGGGTCCCCCGCCCTCGTTCTACGCACATGGCGGCGGCGGCGCCTCCACGCGGACACAGCAGGACGCTCAAGCCCGCGCCCACCAGGCAGCAGGCCAAGAATACACTGGTGGCACATTCGATGCGGGCGCCTTCTCCGACGACCCAAATGCGACGTTCGACTCGCGCCCGACGTTCAAGACCCAGACGCACGAGGACTACCGGCGCATGAACCGGCGGCAGGCCGAACTGGCAGCCGCGCAGGTCGCCGTCGAGGAAGATAACTTCTGGGCCAGGTTCACTATTGTGAGCGGCATCATTGCTTTGAGTGTCGGGGTCGGCACGCTCATCTTGAAAATGGCGAGCACTCCTCGTGGGGGCGGGTTGACTCGCGCAGATGGTAGTAGAAGGGATTCGGCGAAGAACGAGTGGACGAAAGGCTAGCATTACCTCCGCTGTTGACGTTGAGGCGGACCACCGCAGTAGAGATTCGGCGAAGAACAAGTCGATCAAAGGCTAGCAAGACCTGCCTGCCCCTGTTGATGTTGAGGCGCAATCACGCGAACCACGTCGACTGCGCATGCGATGCGGAACTCGAGCGGTCTAGGACTGGGACCTGGGAGCAGAGACCCGAGACCCAAGACCAGATGTATAGAAGGGTTTTAGAGACAGACAGATGTGAATGAGACACGGCGAATCCGTCCGTCGTCGAGATGAAATCGGCGTTGCACACTTGTCCACCTCGTAAAGGGTACCTACTAGACTGAATAAACTCGACAAGACCTTTCTCGCTTCGGTCGTCGAGGGACACGCATGCCCAGCAAGAGGACTCGCACCTGAGGTTCTGGGACTGGGGGGCGGTTAAAGTGGAAGACCAAGCAAAACGAGTTGGAAATACCGTCACGCTCAATGCTTAGCTTGCTCTACCTTGGAATCTTCCTTCTGTACATGCAAACGGCACGGAGTCGTGCTCTCCCCCTTCTGCCTCCTACATCCTACACGAATGGATTGTTGAATGTGATGCAAATTGACAAGTGAGCTCCAGTCCTCCCTTGTGCGCGCAGACGTCGCACCACTTCGTTCCCCGAGGTATCATCACAACTAGAGACTTATCCCTCGAACGTGAAGCTTGCGCCAACTTTGTGGGCCGCCTGGTTGAGGTTCTGCGTGTCGAGAGATGCGCCCAGACCGAGAGTTACGCCGGTGCCGAGCCTGACATTGTATGCCAGGGCGGCGATACCGCGGTCGTTGATCTTGGCCTATATGCACACAGACCTGCATCAGTACTTGTACTGCATGGAGGGCGCGACAACCGGGGTGTCATTTGCGGCTTACCTTGGCGAAAGAGCTGGGATCAAGCTTGTACTTGGTTGCGACCTCCAAGCCGACATTGCTTCCAGCCGTGCTGTCCCAGGTTGCCTTTGCACCAGCCTCGACTAGGGTGTTGACCCTATGGTAATAGCTCGCGGAGAAGACGGTCAAGTTGTTCGTCGCCGTGATGGCGGCTGCATACGACCCCTGGGAGTATCCTGCGGCAAGCGCGTACTTTGTGATCGCGGCCTTGCCGACGTCATATCCTCCCTCGGCACCGATCAAGAATCCCTCGTGGCCGAGCGTGACGTCGAAAGTGGCGGTAGGTCCCTTGAACAGGTCGGTGAACAGGCGGGTGTGGATGTTTGGTTGCTTGTAGAACAGGTTCAGCTTGCCGCCATAAGTGGACTTGGCGGGCAGATAGTTTGTCAGAACTTCGGCTTTGAGGCCCTTGGTGATGTTGTCTTCGAGTTCGAGTTTGGTGTCGAGGCTGTTGGAGGTGGTCCAGGTTTGGGTGAGGGCGAGACCTGTTACCACTTGTCAGCACCTCGGAGTGGATCCGGATGATTGAGCACAGGGCGTCCTACCAGTTGCCTTGTCGGTGTATTTCCCTTCGATCTTTCCCTGGCCGTTAACATGTGATATTCTTAGTTGGTCTCTGGTTATCGTGGTGCTCACCGAGCCTGAGATGGGACCATCGTGCGCGGATTTGCCCTTGACGTTGAAGCTGCAATAACACGCTCCGGATCAGACATCGTACCAGTCTCCAGGTGATGGGAGTGCTCTTACACAACGCCGTTCGGTGCCTTGGACTTGACCTCGAGGTTGGCGGCGGTAGTGTGGTAGAAATCCTTGTTGAGGAGCTGTGAAGCAGATTGCAATGTCAGCAGCAGAATCCGGTCGGAGTCGGGCATCTCACATCGTTCGCGGGCTTCGCGATGTCGCTGAAAGGGACAGGAATGCCAGGCATGATGGGCGATCTGGAGAGTGACGTCCAAGAGGCAATGCAGATAGAGAGTGCCGAGAAGGAGGAGCGATTGAGAGAGCGAAACAGCAACAGAGTCTCAACTGAACTTCGGAGCTGCAAAGAAAACGATTCGGAGATGTTTGGCAGTAACTCGTACTAGCACAATAGCTGCACTGGCCAATCACAGGGGCGCCTGGAGGGAGGTGCCTCTGTCCTTCTTCGGGCAAGTTGCCCTTCGTCCTGCGCCTGCGTCCTGCGGGCTGTTCAGGGGTTCGTAGGTATTTACTCTTTCCCATTGCACTATGTACCATGAATTACTGCCGAAGACGATAACAGGTCGGAGATGTAGCTTTTGGAGAGCCCAGTCAATGCTTTTCACAGCTAGAGCAGATGTGGAACAGCATGCAATCCTCCCGCTGTGTATCCCGGCTTCAACAGTCTTCGTCTGCCAAAGACTGCTCATAATGTATCCTCCGCACCGACCCAGCCAACTCCACCAATGCCGCCAACGACGAATTTCCGCACAGTACGCTAGCTATGCTCATGATCCGGCTTCGTCTTCCGCATATCTTGCGACGTGGGTTTCGATCGCTCGCCCGCTGGGGTCCGACTGCTTGGACCAGGTTGGCGTCCACCTCATAACGGTCGAGGCACAGTAGGGCGGGAAATGTTCATCAAACATCAGCCTATACCAATATGCCTCCTTGCTGGTCGGTACGTCCTCGCTCCATTCAGGCTTGGGGTTTGCCATCATCTCATCCGTCACATTGATCTCGGCGTTATCCTTCAATGCATCGATCCAGCCGTAACCCACCCCATCACTAAACTGCTCCTTCTGACGCCACAAGATATGATCCGGCAGGTAAGGCTTGGTTTCAGGTTCGTCCGAGGTGTCGAACGCCTTCCGGAGGATGTACTTCTCAATGCGGTCTTTGGTGATCATCTTCTCCGCGGGGTCGATATTCATGGCGACTTCGAGGAATTGCTTGTCCAGGAAAGGGACACGAGCTTCGACACCCCATGCTGATGTGGACTTGTTCGCGCGCAGACAGTCGGCCAGATGGAGGTTTTTGACTCTTCTGATGGTCTCCCTATGGAACTCCTCCTTGTTTGGAGCGGCGTGGAAGTACAGATAACCTCCAAAGATTTCGTCGCTACCTTCGCCACTCAGGACCATTTTGACACCCAGTGCCTTGATTTTCCTGGACAGCAGGTACATAGGCGTGGATGCACGAATGGTCGTGACATCGTAGGTTTCAAGGTGATAGATGACGTCTGAGAGTGCGTCCAGTCCTTCTTGGATGGTAAAGGTGAAGTCGTGGTGCTTGGTTCCCAGGAATTTGGCCACTTCAAGGGCTGCTTTCGTGTCGGGCGCATCTGGCAGACCAATGGAGAATGAGTGCAACTGAGGGAGGAAGGTGACTGTTGACAATTCATCATCATCGTCGATTCCCACAAGTTTGGTGCCGGTCTCTGGCGTACGGTATCCGTTGGTTTCGCCGTTAACCTCGCCGTTGACATGGCCATTGACGCCATTGGTTTGGCTCCGACGCTTGAGAATCGATTGCTGACGCAGAGACTCCCGTTGCGCGATCGACGCCGTCAAGCTCGAGTCGAGACCACCGGACAGCAGCACACCGTATGGTACTTCAGCCATCAGCCGCTTGAGAACCGACTTTTCCAGCGTCTTTCTGATCAGCTTGTAGTCCACCGGCGTGGAGGGAACTCTGGTAGGATCCCACCAAGTCGGCTCAAAATATCTGGTGATCTTGTCTGTTTTGGAGTCATAGATGTGGCCGGGTGGGAATGAGATGATATTGTCGCACACCGGGGCAAGAGCTTTCAGCTCGGAAGCAAAAAAGACGGCGCCCGGTGTTTGACTCGATCGACCGAGGTAGAACGAGGTGATGCCAATGGGGTCCCGTGCAGCGATTGTTCGATCTTGTTTCTTGTCGTAGAGGACGAAGGAAAACATGCCATCCAGATGCTTGGGAGCGTCTGAGTCATATTCCTGGTATAGAGGGATTATAACCTCACAATCGCTGTTGGTCTTGAAGCTGTAGGGGACTTTCAACTGCTTGCGTAGGATTCTGTGGTTGTAGATCTCGCCGTTGACGGCCAAGGCAATCGTCCCTTCGTCGTTGACCAGGGGTTGCGCCCCGCTGTCCACTCCCACAATGCTGAGGCGCTCATGGCAGAGGATGGTGTTATTCCCAGACCAGTTGCCAGACCAGTCAGGGCCTCGATGTCGCAGGCATTTGACGCACTGAAGAGCGGTGGTCTTGAAGGTTGCAATCGACGGATGACTGGGAGCAAAGTGAGTTAGCAGGTCATCCTGTTTTCGACCGCGCCGATCTCGGACAGGGCTCGGCAACCAGGGACGAAGTGCACCACTCACCCGTGGCAGGCGAAGATTCCACACATGACTGCCCACGATTTCCCACGCTGCTGCCCACGACGTGCTGCTTGCTCAGTCTTGCAACAGGAGGAAGGGGTGAGAAAAGGTATGCAAGAGGTGAAAGGAGTGTGGCGGCGTGGGCGTGGGAGGGAATAAAAAGCAGTTCCACGCTCGGGTCCAAAATTTCGAGGCAAAAAGATGAGCGTGGGATGACTCAATAATGAGCGCTGAAAATGTCGGGCTGCTCACTGGAGTGAACGCCGCTGATTTTTTTTTTAGTGACGAGACTTCACCTCAGCGTCTGACTATGTCAGAGTTCCTCGGAATTGCAGGTGCCCCGGTTGAACCTCGTCGGAGCGTGCTCTCAGTCGGGGGATTTGGTTGAGACGCACTTTTGGTTCAGCCTTCACCTTGACTCTCCGCCGTGCCTCGCTTTGACTTCGGGAAAAGATAAGAGACAAAGTGATGAGGCTAGCCATGACGAGCAGCGGATCGGAAGGGCCATTAAGTAAGGTTCAACCCCTCTTTACTTCGCCGTTCATTTCACTTCACTCGCCTGTGAGCGGTGCTGTAATTTGAATTTGAGCAACGGACAGCCAGAGTTGGAGTTTTCGTGCCTGGCCACCCGCGCATCCCGAGGGAGAGGAGGCCCGATTTTCGGCACGCGACCTCTCCTTATTACGAGTATCACATAAGAAGCCGAAGATTAGTGGTGGGAAGAAACGCCTGTTGGTTCTTTGCCTTGCGCTGGACCTGACCGAATGCCTATCATGAGATGCATATATCCGTCCCCGCACTTTCTAATTCAGCCCCTTGTGCGTGGTGGCTGCCCCTAGCGTGGGGGTTACGATCGGACTCCTTCGAAACCCCCCCTCCAGAGGCAAGATCGACCTGTGGTCTTTACCCATGCAGGAATGCCCAACCAAGCGCGGGTCTTCAGAAGCAAAGCCTTTGGAGAAAAAGGCTCATCTTCCGGCTGACGAAAAGTAACACGTGGAGTGTAGACCGTGGCTCCTGTGCTTCTGACTCCTGCGAACTCCATCTGCAAACTGCACTCTTCCTGGCCTCTAGCCCAAATCTTCCACAATATCCCCGCCTGTAAACTGCGACTGTAATTCACGTCCGTTGCCAGACGCCGCGCTTGAAAATCTACATGCTCATCATTGGTCGCAATATCGCTTGTCGACTGCGTGCCAGTTCATCATTCTCCCACTAATGCTCGTCGCAAACCCTCTTCGGTATGGCCCTACAATCTCAAGGTGCGGGGTTCTCTTTGACGACGCTCTTGATCTTTTTCTCATATGCGGCCCGGTCCTTCTTGAACAGGTTGTATGCATCAGCCTGAGCGGGCGACTCCGGGTTGGGGTCGTTTAGGAGGTCTTGGATGCCCAGAAGGATCTGCTTGATGGTGATTGCCGGTTTCCAGCCCTCCTCCTCGTTCAGGATCGAGAGACAAACGGTGCCGGATGGGTAGACGTTAGGGTGGAATAGCGGAGGGGTGAATCGGCCTAGAACGGGTCAGCTCTCCATCCTCAGAGGCGCATGTGACAAGCCGTACATTTTGGAGGTTTGGTAGGGTATTCATCTGGAAAGGTGAGGTTCAACTTGAATAACCCGCCTTCCCAGATTGTCTTCTCTCTTCCTGGTATTCCGACTTCCCAGTTCTTGAGGTCTATCACCCCGTTTGCACCCCTCACGGGTTTGGCGAAAAAGCCAAAAGGATGATCTTTCCGCCATTGCTTCCTGCAAGCGAGTGTCAGTGAATGAGAGTATGCTCACACTATGCGCTTCGTACCTTTCCTCTTGTAGGCGATTGAGACAGAGCGACATGATGGGTGGCTGTAGGATGACTAGACGGGCAAAGGTAGAGAGGTAAGGAAGTCCGTTCTCGCGTGAGGGCAGGTAAGTTTATATCGACAAGGGAGATCTTGGGTGAAAGCCCTGTCAAAGAGTAAAAGTGACAAAAGAACGAGTTGCGACTGAGGCAACTCAAACGTAAGGCTGAGAGGCTGTGGCGAAGATCGCTCGGAAAATCCTCGGAACCTCAATCCCGCATGTCCTAATGGGGAAGGTCAGACGGCTTCCTGCCTCGTCGCGATACCTCAGGCATGGCACGCGTGCACCTAACGGAAAGATATCATTATTCGAACTGAGATCTGGCAAAAGCTAACAGGGTATCATCGGTGTAATGATCGTAGGACATCAACCTTCTCCAAGCGAGAAACGAGCTTGCCCCGTCTTAGACTTCTGCAGCCCAACCAAGGTCTCCATTTCTGCCACCCATTTCCTGGCAAAAGCTTCCTCGGTGAATCGCTTCGTGCTGGCTCGACCTCTCAATCTCATGGCAAGCCTCTCTTGTGCGCTCATTGCCGCCACACGAGCATATGCGGCAGCGTATTCGTCGGCAGTCTCGGCCAGAAAGCCAATGGGAAGACCCTGAAAAGGCACCACAATATCCAGCTTTGGCCCGCCGCTGTTATGTACCACGGGAACCAGTCCCGCCGCCAATCCCTCGACATTGCCGATTCCAAAATGCTCAGCGTACATCCCATTTGTGCCGATACTGGACGTCCTGAGATGGTCGAGGATCACGGAGAAGGCGGCGTCACAGATGAATGTCGTGGCGTCCTGGATCTTGAGCTCTCGTGCCTCGAGGCGAAGGTTGTAGACGTGCTTCTCGTCCGGCGTATTGCTTCTAACGGATCCAATCAACACCAATTTAGGCTTGTCCTTTGCCGCATGGTAAAACTTGGCGAATGCTCGAAGGATAAGAGAATGGTTCTTCTCTGGTCGAAACTGAGCGATATAAAGGACAGTATTTTCTCGCTGCTTTTCACCTTCTGGACTCAACTGGATCTTCTTTTCAAGTTCCTCCACAGGACAAGGTGGGTAGACGATGGCGGCGAAAGATGAGGATGCCTTTTTCGGTTTCCACAATTGTCGTATATGACCTTGCGTCCAGGTAGAGTTGCACATAACGACATCGATTTGTCGCCCTACAAAGCCATACAGCTTCGCAAAAGCGTGCCAGTAGTACCTCTTCCCTGTACCCTTCAGACCCTTCCCAGCACCGGAGTGAATGCCCCTCTCACCAGTCATATCATCCAGGCTCTCCAGCATGTCGGTTGAGATTGTTGGATAGTGGACGTACGCGGCTGTCGGTACTTTTGGAAACAGGTATTTGCAGAAGGCCACGGCGAAAGCATAGCCCATGGTGTCGATGAAGATGTCCGGGACCAGAAGCTGAAAAGCGTCATAGCCTAGAACCAAAGATCCCAACGACTGTCCCAATAACGTAAGGAACGGGTAGTTGCTGGCGAGAACAAAATTGCGCCTTGACAGGTATAGAAAGACCAACGAATGCTCTTGGAGGACGATGTCAAAACGCTTTCTAACGGCCTCGACCACTGCTCCGCGCTCAATGTCGTGGTCACCAGTATAGACGGCGCATATGGCATTAGGCCACCGTCGCTGAGTTGCAGCTATGGCGGCCCAGAGCACTCTTTCACCTCCTCCGCCAGCGTTGCTGCCGAAAGTCAGATGTCCTGGTCGCCGTGCACCAGAAATGGACTCACCAGAAGGGATGGAAGAAACCGACAACCCCATTCCAGTCATCTAGAAGTGGTTGGCCGTTCTCAGCCGTGCCAGACTTCTCGATCTTTTCCCACCCATCTTCCGCTTCCTGGGACCGTTGATGTTCTGCAACAGCCGCCCTCTCAGCCTCGACACGTCTAACGATTGCTTCCTTCCTCTCTTTAGTATTAGTCTGTAGATACCAGCCGAGGCTGCGTAGCCCCAGTTGAATCAGCAAAATAAGTATCAAGGGCAAAAGCGGAACTACCGCCACAAGAGCCACGAAGCGTGAGGTGGCCATTGCCAATTCTGCGGAAGGACCCTAAAGACAACGAGGCTCATACTTTCGATACTGTTGGTCCAAGAAGAAGGAACGCAAGTAGGTAAGCTACTGCCTAGTTACGAGGGCCAAAGATCGAAAGTCAGTTTGAAAGGTTGCCAGGTATGCTCTTGTGCATTCAGCCAACGGTGACGCAGCGTTGGGCCATGCACACAGTCACCCAACAGTCACCACCCATTCACCTTCAAGTCACCAAGGATTCAAAGTTCCCCACAACGCGGCCACCCGGACACGCCTGATGACCACTGCACATGGCTCGCGTCGCTGCATTGGAGACGCGCTCGACACCTTTTCTTGCCAGCAAGCATTGCAGCCGAGACCACTTCTACAGGCCCTTCTCCCAGCACCAAAATATCGCTGATTATGCTCTCTAGTGGCTCATTTCGGTGCCTGCGAACTTCAGGAATCAGATACCAGCCACAATGTTCCCGTCTCGACCCTCGATACAGGTCATCTCTCGCGCGCAGCTTCCACTCCTCGAGGTCTAATCAGTTTCTTCTCGACCTGCTTGAGCCGGCCTCTCAAGCCATTCACTGGGGCTTTCAAGAACTACATACACAGACCGGCCTGCCATGGTATCTAACCATCCCGCTGGGTGCTACCCTGATCCGAACGTGCTGGGTGCCCATCCAGTATTTGACACAAAGAGCACGGAGACCCAGAGAGACCGCGATGCAGCTTACATCTGCCTGGCGAAATGCATATCAAGAAACAGCAAGGATCAAGTTCCCCCGGGGCAAGGAAGCAGATGCGAAGAAAGCAGAAGCCTGGGTGGTCGAACAGTTGAAAGCTAGAAGGACAGCCATACAAAAGCACAACAAGTATCTACCGAGCTGGGTCGAGCCTGTACTGGCCATTTCGTTTATACCCTTGTGGGTCCTGAGCATGAATTGCATCAGACGCATGGCGGGCGATGAGAGAGATATCGTCTCACTCATCTACAATTTCTTCGGGAGGGCCACCGCCGACATCGACGCAGGCCTCGGACAAATCGAGCCGGGCTTCGATACTGAATCTCTGTTCTGGATCCCTAGTCTTGTTTCCGGAGATCCGCTATATATCCTCCCGATTGCTTATGGTACTTTGTCCACCTTTAGTGTGTGGTTGAGGGTGAGGGAAGCCCTCCGACGACCATCACCTGTCTCGGTCGACTCGAAAGAAGAACGGTGGGCACGGTTTTCTAAGACCCTCAGCTACGGTCTGCTTGCAATGCCCGCCTTTTTTACTTTTGCCATAATCCGCACCGATATGGCCACAGCGCTTGTGCTTTACCTCATCACTATCACAGGCACTCAACTGGTGCAGCGGCCTTTGCTTGCCCGCTTGCTTGGGACCAACAGGCGTGTGCCTCCTTTGAGGGCAAGGATGGCGAAGCTAAAGGGTGAGAAGGAAGACTAGCAAGGCTTCCATGGTGGCCATCAATTTTGATGGGTATCCCACGAGCACCTATCCAAGAGCTTGACCCAAGCTCCCAAGCTCTGCCACTTTGAGAATGTATTCATGCTCGAATACCAGAATCTACTCCCGCAATTAGACCCCGGACAAGTCGTCCATTCGAGGATAAACTACATGATATGAAGGTCCACCCCTTGCACCTTCCCGAAGTTGAGAATGTTTGTCCTCGAAGAGTGGTTCGCAATGTCTTTGGGCCATGTAAGTGCAGACAATGGTTAGAACTGAGGCCCCTCCACTGGAAACCCCTACTCTGGAGACAATCACCGCAACGACACTCGCACGTATTCTTAAGAGGGCCTATGCCGAACACATAAACGAATTTTACAGCCCGGTCCCGAGAGACAGAATAATCGTTAAGCTCAGGCCTGAGTCTGAACCACGGAAGCAAGTACAGACCTAACGGAGACAGGTGGAGAGTCAACGACCCAGAATTGTGAACTCCTGCGAAGGCTTTGAACGTTGTCGTACAGATCGTCTACGCAAAAATTCCGAACAATTTGCTAGCATTTCTAAAGTCGCGTCTCATCTCTCGAATAACCACTCATACACTCAGATCGAGGCTTTAACGGAGAATAGGCTCCAGCAATGAGCAGAAGGAGGATATACCTAGTTTCCGGATCCACTGGTCCAGGCAGAGCTGGAAACGATGTCCAGAGGAATCAATCGTGTGATATTATGTTGGGCCTCGTGGTCCATAAAGCATTGAAGGCCCTACAGGCCCCCAGTCACGCAAGGAACCAGAGTCCCATTGCCACTGACCTCGAGACTGACGGGAAAGAAAAAGTCGACATCTACAGCCCGAAAGCAGGGTGTCCACTGGTTTGCTGGCTCACAACTCCAACCGAGGCTTATATTGTACGGTAGCTGGCCGACATGTGTGGTGCCCATGCTGCTGGGGCAGGTTCGCTCCAGCCCCTGCCTTCTGCTGCGCAAGGGTTCTGCGATGTTATCCACTCTCGAGCAACTCTGAATCACAGCATGGCACGGATGGGTATTCTTTTTGTCTCTAAGCTAAAGTCACAGATGTGAATTGAACCCATATGGTAATCTAGTCTCGCGGCACGCTCGTCGGGCAAGCTTCAAACAGATGTAGCAGTACGGAGTAGTAGTCGCGCGTCAACTCCAGAGAAGAGACAGAGAGGGAGCACATGAACACGCCGAGTCAGGTTGTCCCTCACATCCACTGTGATCTCGCTCGTCGTAAGGGATGCACTTTCCACGCCGGTTTGTCGCTTACAGCTTCGCCTTCAAGCCTTCCCCGGTGGCTTTGTCCTTTTTGACCACCGCACTGGCCTCCTCGTTCACGAGAACGCGTCCGTCCGCGTGCTCGGCCTCGCCGAAGAAAATGACCTGCACGGTCAAATCGTCTCGATACCGTCTCGAGTAGGGACTCGGCAGCGTCAAAAGCGCACACACCATGTCCTTGTCCTTCCCTCCCAGCGCGTTCCTGACTAGGTGCGTCGCGCAGTTCTTGTCCTCAACCACAAACCGGGACGACGCAGAGGGTGTATCCCACTGCTGCTGGCGGATTGGTTTCTCCGGCCGAGCGTCCTTGGCACCATTCTTCGCATTGGCATTCACCTGGTTGTGCGAGTTGTCAATGCGGCCTGTTTTGTCCATGTTCCCGCCCTTCTCGACGGGCAGAGCGCTTGAGTTGGCCGACTTGAACCAACTAGTCAACCAGGCAGATGTGCTATTTGCGGAACCGCCCGCATTGTTGGCCGCAAGGCTGTTCTGATGTTCGATCCATTGGCCCACCAAGCCAACGACTTCTTCGTTCGTGAGCATCTCCCATAGCCCGTCCGTGGCCATGACGAGAAAATCGCCCCTGGAGGGTTCGATTGACGTCGAGGTGACGACCGGCTCGGCAGTAACGTAGGGTGGAGTCTTCAGTAGATTATGCGGCGTCCGCCCAAAGAAGTTCTGCTTAATCCGTTCTTGCGTATCTCGTGACCACTTGTAGAATGCGTCTCCGAAGGCGCGGGTGGGTTCTAGGTTTCCCAGCACGCGGCCAGCACGAATGACAAAGTCCTCGCCCGGGTGCTCAGCGCGCATACGGGCTTCTTCGTTGGGGTTGGAGCCGGTCTGGTCTTCGGAGAGGGGCGTTGCGAACCATTTGCCCGTCGAGGGGTTGCGGCGGCCCAGTACGGCGCGGGAGTCCCCCGTGCACGCCACGCGGAGGGTCTTTGATTGAGAGTCATAGAAGGATAACAGAGCGCAGGAGCCGGAGAGAGCGGGAGCGAGAATCTCCGCCGCAAGGCGTTTACTGGGGTTTTTGCTCAGCTTGCTGACACTGTCGAGACAAATCTCGTTGTCTAGTTTCACGAACGCGGACTTGAGGGCTGCGTCGATGGCGGCGGGGGAAGGAAAGGGTGACTTCGCATCTGACAGGGCGGCTTTGTATGTGCGGTTGAGTTCGCGCGCGGCGAAGGAGATGAGGACTTGACGCAATTTGGCCGAGGTCGTCCAGCCGGAGTGGCCGTCAAAGACACCCCAAAACATCCAGTCGGATGATGTGGCGTTATCGGACGTTGCGGCGACAGTGTTGGGGACTTCCACGATCTTTTCGGCGTGGTCATCTTCGATGGGGTCGTTGCTGGGCAGTTGGACCATGTCATAGCGAACCACGCCACGGCCTCGGCCTACCAGAAAGGATTGTTCATTTTTCCGCAGTCTTTCGGTGGCTTGCTCCGGTGTCATCATCTCGAGGACCTTCCGACCGTAATCATCTGTATCCTTTGCCAAAGGACCTTCCCCGACAATACTGCCAGTAAAGAACTGGCCGTTATCTACCACCAATGCTTTCCGATTGGGCTCGTGACCTGCTGGGACCGGGACCGGATTCGCAGTAGGGGAAGCAGTATCGGGTGTCGTACTCGCACTTCTCGTAAGCTGGGCGGAGACCGCCGAAGGTTGAGCTTTAAGGAGATGGTCTGGCCCATCACCTCTGTAAGCATACCATGCCCCAATGGCGCCTAGGGATCCGACGAAGAGGAGGGGTATCCTGGGGACACGCATAGAAGACTGGAACGGCGGTCGGGACGTACTGTATTTGCGAATGAGGGAGGACGTGTGGACATTGGCGGAGGAGGCTAAGACATGGTTCGAGGCCGCGAAGGAGGATGAGGATGACTTGGGGATGATCTTGCGAAGCGCGGAGCGTCGGGCCGAGCGGAGCGCGAACAGAGCGGCTCGACGCATTGAGAGATCGGGAAGAGGAGAGTGAGAGATGGATTCAGGACAACCGCATTGAGAAAGGGATTGAGTGGTCGAACTACGGGTAATGAACGCTGGATTTGTGTCTGTGAATCTTGACGACGCCCTGACGATCATCATCTGGCCACGAGGCTGAGGCAAGATCCCGAAAAGCCAATCGGAGTGTGAGTTGAAAAGCCGATTCTTGGCGAACGTCACTCATCTGCCCGCGGGTCCTCATGGTGGCACGGTGGACAAAAAGTTACAGTATCTGCGGTGCTCATGATATATTTGGCTTTGGTCTGCAAGCGCTGCGACATTGCGCCGTCACATCTCTCTAGACAATCGAAGATCGGACATCATGTCTTCCCGAGCGCTTCGTAAACTGCAGCGCGAGCAGGAGTTGCAAAGACAAGTCGAAGCCGCCAAAAAGGCCTATGAGGAGGCTGAAGAGTCAGAGGAAGAAGACGACGTACCAGAACCCGTCTCTGCGCCGTCTCGCCCAAAGAATGCTTTTGACATGCTGGATGGCGCTGAAGACGAAGAAGAAACGGATGAGGATAATGAGACGTCGGTAGTGCCACCAGAAACCTCCGCAAAATCAGAGACCCAGCCCACATCCGATCCCTCACCACCTCCTCCCGCGAAGTCAAGGAAGAAAAAGAAGAAGCCAAAGAAGAAGGGAAAGACTAAGGCCGAGGTAGTCGAGGAGCAGAAGGATGAATCTGGAGACGAGGTTGATCGAGCACTCAAGGCGTTGGCTGCACAGAGTGGTCGAAAACACGCTGCGCCATCAGATACTCCGAACACACCCAGCTGGGAATCAAGAGCCACAAAACTACTGGCAGTCGACGCTCACAATCTTAATCCGGTCAACGAAATGAAGAGTCTCTTTGGCAGTATCGCCCTGGAAGGTCAGGAATCCCGCTCATCACCCCGCAATCAGCGCCGCCGCGAACAGAATCAACAACCGGGTGGCGTCGATCTAGCCACTGCGCTGACTGGAAGATATTCCACTGCGAGCAGAGGCAAAGAATTGGGAGCTCTGGCGCATAGACGAAATGTATTCGTCCAGGGGAAAGAAGAATGGCCCCTGGCTAATAGTGGTGGGTTGAGCATGGAGTTGGTGAAAGCCGATTCTGAATCAATGGATACCAACGAAAAGCGATACAATATCGTACACAACAATGTCTACCGCGAGACACAAGCACACTTCCGCCTGGCAGTCGAAATGATGGATCCCCAACGAATGATCGGCTTGTTGTCAATGTACCCTTACCACATCGCTACCCTGCTACAAGTCTCCGAAATCGCCAAACACCAGGGCGATCACGCGGTATCCGGGGATCTGGTAGAACGGGCATTATTCTCGTTCGGCAAATCAGTACACAGCACATTTCCGGCCGCTTTGCGAAATGGTACTGCTCGTGTATCGTTCGACAAGCCGGCCAACCGGGAACTGTACCTCGCAATCTGGCGACATATCAAGAACCTCGAAATGAGGGGCACCTGGCGGACTGCCTACGAGTGGGCAAAGATCCTCCTTCAACTCAACCCGTTGACGGATCCTTATGGTGTCACTCTAATGATCGATCAACTCGCCCTCAGAGGCCGTCAGCATGCTCAACTTATTGCGCTGTGCTCAGATGACGCCTACGGCCAGGCTTGGGATTTCCTGCCTAACATCCAAATCTCGTTGGCTCTGGCCTACTTGCGATCTGGCCAACCCCGAGACGCTCGCAAATGCCTGGCCATCGCAATGCACAAGTACCCATACATTCTCTCCGCCCTGGCGTCCGCACTCGACATCTCACCTTTGCCTAAGACTTTGTGGGCAAAACTTCCCACCACTGATGCAGAGAAACTCTACACCGAGCTATACGTTAGCCGCGCAAAAGACCTGTGGAATACCCCTGAAACAATCAGTCTCCTAGGCGAGGTCGCAGAAACCCTACCTCACTATGGTGATGCCATCGCCGCAGCTCCAGAAGCACCCAAGCTGGAGATCTCGCTCGAGGAAGCCCGACATATCATGCTACTCGAGATTCCGGAGTTAATCGCCCTGCTCCCCCGCAAATTCACCTCCATGCCTACCTCTTCCTCCGATGTCCTCCCCCCACCAGACTCACAATCTGACTTCGTCGCTCGGGCACCTGGATCTGGTCCGCGGGGAGTGGACGCAACGATGCAAACCATCTTCAATGCTGCGGGTGCCACAGCTGGTACGGCAGGGAGTCTCCTCACCCGCATCATGAACTGGTTCAACACCCCTGCCACCGCAGCCGACACGCTCGGCGAGTCCGAAGGACAAGCTGCACTCAGAGGACTTCAAGAAGGTCTTGGCGGGGATATTCCTCCTGAGATGATTGAGGAATTTTTGCAGATGCAAATCGAGGACGCGGAGGGCCAAGATTTGGGCGAGGGTATCACTGCTGCTGGACTAGGTCTCGCTGAGGGGCGTGATTACTATCTCCAGATGGACAGCGAGAATTCTACACAAGATGACGACCAGAGCGATAGCATGCCCGAATTGGAGAGTATCCCTGAATCGGATACGGCAGCGGCATCTGCAACCCAGCCATCGCATGCAGCAATGGTTGAAGATGTAGATGATGACGACGAAGCGGGCCGGCAGGCAACACAGCGACGCCCATTACCTGCCAATCGGGGGATCCTTCGACACGTTGATTCCGAGGATGAAGATGACAGTCCGAATCATTTGGCGTCACCAGCCCAGGTTTCCGGACCTTCTTCGCAACGGGCCACAGCCCCTCAAGCACCATCCACCAATAGCCAAGGCCCTGCGGCACCGGCGCAAGACCAGGAGTTGTCAGATCCGCAACGTCTCCAACGCTGGCTCCTCACTACGGGTCTCGCGGACCTGCAGGACAGGCCTTCTGATCCCCAAGCGCTGAGAAGTTACATGGAGCGACTGAAGATGCTGCCCGACCGACAGCAAGATTGGATCGTCAGGATGGTCAGGCAGCGTGCTGGCGAGGATGTTGAGAGGAAAGTAAGAGACGCAATGGCGAGACTCGCATAGCATTTATTTCGGAAGAGAGGTCCACCTGTGCTTGATGGTCGAAGATAGATACCATGTGCCGGATGATAATGCGTTGCTCAACAGAGACATCTTTAAGCGTGCTCTGATTGAAAATGGAACCAGTCCATCGAGTCGAGACAACCGTCGAACGTCTCCCCTTTCACCTTCTGGTTTCATGTCCGGGATTGTTGCAAGAGAAGGTCAACTGCCTATCGATTGCATCGTGCCAAAGCTTTGCTAGATATCTTCATCGATGTGAACCTGATCCCCAGCGACTTCTCGGGAGAGACATCCCCTCAGCTACATCGCCTGCAGTCTATGTAAAGCAGAAATCTCTCTCCATCCATTCTGCTTGGACGGTCTCGACAGGCGCCGTATTGTCGTCTCTTTGTTCCGTCATAAGGTGAATGTCCCAACCAGGAGAAAAATCGTACTGCAGCGGATGGTCGTCGGACTCTTGTGACAATAATCCCAGCCCAACCTCCAGCAACAAGCTGTTGTTCTTCCTCAGGCTCTCCTGCGGCGATTCGTGCGCGAAGTAGCGCACAAACACGATGTTGAACTTGTCCAATGTTGAAGATGGACTGGGGCTCGATCGACTCAGCTCATATCGGAGTTCGTCCACTTCCAGGAAAAGAGCAGACATGTCGGTGCAACGAGCTTGCTCTAGAGACAAGACACTGAGCCTGACTTTCAGGCCTCGATCAGAGATCGTGCCTAGTGCGTCGTCGTAATGGAGCCATACATCTCGTCCAGGACTGATCCAACTAGCAGGAGCCCATCGGAACGGGTATTTCTCTATTTTCGGCCGACGATCGAATACGACCGTCCAGGGAATCTCGCCGAGACCGAGATAGAAGTGAGTCCATCTGTCGGCTCCTTCTTTTTTCATAAGTCCACGGACATCAACGTCGAGCAGCAGACCCATGATGAGAAGCTGATCGTCAGCACGACTGGTCCTTCTCCTGGTGAATGCATTGAAGATATCCACGATTCGCCTGACCTTTGGCCGGGAATCGAATCGTGCTCGCGCCGTGCGATCCAGAGGCCGCGCCTTTTGGAGGACAGCCAGAAGATCGCGGAGGAAGACGTTGGGGAATGGACTCCCCGAGCGGTCGAAGTAGGATTTGTAAAGTCGTTGGATCAGGACGTACAGATCCAGCAGTCCGTCCTGTAGCTCCATGTCGACCCACGGTGGAAGAAATCCCTCTTCGTACGTCCAGAGTCGACCGAACCACCCAGAGGCAAAGACTGCCCAGCCAAGTTCAAGCGTCGATGCTGATACGGAGAGGGAGCGGAGGCTACTGTCCAGAACTATGACTCCAGTAGCATTCTGATATGTCTCTTTCATCATTTCAATCGCCTTTCCACGGTATGGTTCCTGAGATGGAACGAGGAGACCGTCAATCCAGAACCATCTACCAAAGCTCAGACGCAGACCAGCCAAGTGGTCCAACCGCAAGATCTGGCAACGAGGAAGCCCGGCTTCAGTACTGCTGCCCAGGCCATCGGCCCATACGTGAGAGAAGGCGATATAGTCGGCGCTTGGGTCATAAAGATCAACAGCCCCCAACTCGAGGTTGCGACCGTTCTGGCTGAGCTGCACAACGGGGATTTTTCTCACGTTCAATATGGCCCGGACGGATTTAATTGACGGCTTGAGAAAGGCACACTGGCAGTTCGGCGCAGTGTGCAAAGGTTTATATGTCGACAGCTCGACATGGTTTCTTCTGCATTGTTCTGCTGTACAGTGTTCATGTCCTTTCGTGCTCTCTTGAAAATCAGCTGCGGCTACGGAACGTAGAAGGGACGGTGACATTGCGACCTCAGCGCTAGCGACGACAAATCGACACCACCCTTTCGCGACGAGGCTTTCTGAGTATGGCCGCGAGACCTCGAACGGGCCTGCTTCGAAACTCCCAAATGACCTGACTTCCATGCGCAACTCTCTCTCCACGAAGGCAACGATCGCCTCGTGCAGAGCAGAAAGGCAAGGCTCGACACTCAGAAGGGAGGTTCGAAGCTCCGAGAAATCAGATTTGGTGGATTCCCTGAGAATTTCGTGCAGAATGGTGCTTGCCAAGGTGGCACAATCGCGTGCTTCGTGAAGAGTGGCTTCCCGGGCTTCATGCTCGATTGCATCCAGTTCCTTCCTCCACGTCGCAAGCAATAACCCCAGGTGCCGACTGTACATCCACGCCTGGCCGTCAGTATCTGGTCTGGTCAGGTAGGAAACGGATATTGCTCTGCCACAGATGGCTTCGAGGAGGCCAAAGTACAGCCATGACTGGATGTATGCAGCGGTGGCCGCAGCCGCAGCAGACGCGCTGAGGTCCTTTAGCGAGGGGTGAGCGCAATTAATGTCACGGCTGCTGAGCGTATTTTCTGTATCCCAGTCAATTCCATATAGGTCTCTAAACGTCTCAGTCATCGGAAGCGGCTTAAAGTCCGGGCCGTGGAGATAGGATGATTGCACATGGTCGTGTCCAAGCCATAGGACCTGTGGGTTGGCAGGAGGACATGTTCCGTAGATCCTATCGCGCAGAGGCCAGTCATTCACTTCCAGCGGTCCGTGGGCAGCGTCTCTAACCTCTGCTCGGAGGGTTCGAGGCGAGAGATGATGTAGCAAATGCTCCATCACGGTGCGAGTTGTGGGACACTGGGGACTCTGGTGGTGCGAAGTGTCTGGAAATTAAGGAGGCACAACCCAAGGCAGATCTGAAACGAGTACCAGACTCTCTTGGGTCTTGTGCCTCACAGCCATCACCTATGGAGACAACAGAGGAAGCTGTCCTCGTATTCCAACCGAGACACAAGGAGACAGCGAAGTCGAGTCGTGCGGAGCACTCAGCCGTATACGCACACACTCCGGGGGCAAACAGCCCACCGTAATGGCTCACTGCCTGTTTTCACAGGACACGCTTTCCACTCCCACCAAGCTGACCTCTGTGATTTATTCCCTAGATGTGGCTTGCACTTCTTACTCGGAGCCAACAAATTGCACGCCCTGTCCATTGACAGCTTCGTTTCCCGGTGCCCTTCCCACCATGATGAGGCGAAGTGGCAGGGATGACACATGCATTTCTTCAATCTGAGTTGACCAGTTTGATATCGGACTCGAAAAGGAAATACAACGATGTCCGCGCGGCTGCCGAACGAGCCCTCGGGGACATCAAAGCCATATCTGTGACGTCTGAGACTCAGCTGGCCGGCGACCTGTGCCGCAAACCTCAATTCGTTGATCCTTTTATTCTGGCCTGTAAATCCAAGAATGCCAGACTGGTTACTACTGGGACTGCGTGCCTACACCGGCTGACAGCGAGCAGAGCTGTCCCCCGGACAAGGCTTCCTGACGTGCTTGATGCTTTCCAAGATGCGATAGGGGCAGGATATGAGCCGCAGCTCAAAGTTCTGCAAACTCTGCCTTCACTGCTACAACTCTACGTTGACGACATTCGTGGCGAGATCCTTGCGCGGATTCTGGAGCTATGTGCGGTCCTTCAATCCAGTAAGACCGCTGTGGTGAGCAACACGGCTGCGGCAACTTTTCAACAGCTAGTCTCCACGGTATTTGAGAATGGCGAAAGGAAGGACAGGACGAGGACTTCAGGTGAAAGTGAGACTCCGACCCCAACAGACCGTTATCAACGAGGCGAATTCTCCGTCGACGCAGTCGCCCTGTTCGAAGACTTCTGTCTGTTGCTTGATCAGCAAAAGCCCCGGTTCCTGAGAATCGAGAACCTGCCCTCTGCCTTTCTGTTGGAAACCCTACACACCATACTAGCAAGCCATGATTCGCTTCTCAGGTCTGAGAAAGAACCCGAGACAAAATGGTCGGAACGTCTCCTCCATGGCTTGTCACGTAGCTTGGTCAGGAAGGATAATTTCGGCATCACAGTCCGGGCGCTATCAATCCTGCTATTGATCTTTCGAACCCATGGCGAAGGTCTACAGCATGAAGTGGCAGAGGTCGTCCCTCTTCTCGTCGGCGCACTGGAGAAAGATGGGAATCCACCGTGGAGACGGAGTCTCTACTTGGAGTTCTTTCGCAGCCTCTTTTCGGACTTCAATGTCTTGCGAGAAACCTTTGCCATCTTCGACAGTGGCGAAGAGCCGGTTAAGCTTGTTGGTCAGGTCATGTCTGCATTAGTTCGGATTGGGGCAGAAGATCCCTCCCTGATCGGCCTCGGACGCCAGTCAACTGTCCCCATCCAGCGGACAAACGACCCCAGGAGCGACGAAGCAGCGTCAATCGAGGCTCAGGGCCTTGGTGGTGCCATCACAGCGGTAGCCTCCAACGATTCAAACACTACTGGTCTCGGCGCCGAATGGAGTCTGATAGCTGTTCCTCTCATGGAGCAACCCGACAAGAGCGTGGCTCCAGCAATACCTAGCACTTATATCTACACTCTGGTGTTAGATTGTGTCTCCTCATTTTGTGATGGTTTGTCCAAGTTCGTCATGCCCTTGAGCGTTCCGAGTCGAGCTTCTCAACGGGAGAACTCGGAAATGGGCCGCAGAGATAGTTCTGCCACAGATCGAACCGACGATGAACCTAGCCGCAAGCCAACAAGGCCGTCGTCCTCATCTCACAAGTACCAGCGGCTAATAAATCCATTGACATTGGCAAATCACCGACTATCAGCTCAGATTCGAACGTCCGCTGATATGATCGAAGCCTGTTGGCCAGCAGCGCTTGCAACGTGTTCAACCTTTCTCAACTCTGCAATGGACGCGGAATTCTATCACGCCTTGATCCGATCGGTGCAGAAGTTAGCCCAAGTCTCGGGTGTTCTCGAGCTGTCCACACCCAGAGACGCCTTGTTGACGACGTTGGCTAAGGCTTCTAGCCCCGCGAATGCCAGCAGTATCATAGCAAGCTATCAGACTGCGAAGAACAGTCGATTCGGGGGTGCTGAGCACAGCGATGTCAGCAACGGATTGAAGTCCCCAACCGATCCTCCTCCCACTCCGACATTTCAAGGCAACAGCTCTCCCTTGAATGTAAGGCACCTACTCTGCCTTCGGGCGTTGTTGAATCTGGGGATTGCACTCGGGCCAACTCTGAAGAGAGACGCTTGGTTTATTCTGATCGAAACCATGCAGACGGTCGAGGCGTTGATTGCAATGCCAACAACAAGCGCTGCAACCTCGCAGTCTGGGAGTCCAAGGATTGGTGCTTCAGGCAATGACGGACACGCTACTCTTGCGACGGAAATTGCTGCTGTACAGGCAGCGACGAAGAGAATGTTGGAGAGCACAAGGAGTTTTGGTGCGGACTCGTTCACCGAGATCGTGCAAGCCCTACTCCGTCTACTGGGGCAGAATGTGGAGGTCGTCAACTCAAAGTCTGCGGAGCAGCCCATCGCCTCGCCTACTACACCCGGAAGACTGGGTGCTCGGCCGGGACACCAGACGTCCCGGAGCGTGTCTGGATTATGGACAAAGTCGAAGACGCTTGAACTGGAGGTCGGATTTGTCCTCAGCAAACTCAGTGACCTGTCCCGTATCAATTTATACAGGTTCGCGTCATCTACGGAGCAGGCCTGCTCGTGGATATTGATTGGAGATCGTCTACTGCGCCTGTCTCGGGATACTATGATTGCAGCAAATTACAGAATACAGGCAGCCAGCATTCTAGACTTGATCTCCATGGAAACCGTGAAGCTGCTCGACGACTCGCGTTTCGAAGCTGCCGAGGCAGACGCCATCAGGTTGCAGTGCTTGAGGTCCTTATTGCAGCAGTTGGACTCGTTCCAGGACACTCAAGGCGGGAAACATGATGAGGTTGAGCTGGAGATCCACAAGCGGCTTCTCGACGCCTTAGAGAGTATGCTCAGCCATAGCGGAGAATCGCTGAGCAATTGTTGGCCTATCGCCTTGGAAATCCTGTCCGTTACATCTTCGAAAAGAGGAAAGAATAAACCAGAGCTGGGCAATGCCACGATCGAGCAGGCTGAGAAGGACGCGCAGACAGCCCAGATCTTGCGCGTTGCTTTCAGGTCTATACAGCTGATTGCATCTGATTTCCTCGATGTGCTTGATTCGACAACGCTGGCGAACCTTGCCCACCTACTCCGTCAATTTGGCTCTCAGCAATATGACCTGAATGTGGCACTTACCAGTACAACCGTGCTGTGGAGTCTCGCGTCGCATGTCTTGACTAAAATCGACCGCATAGACGTCGAAACCATGCCAAATCTGAATGATGAAGATGAGGAACTTCTATCTCAGACTGTCCTCCGCTCGGGCGGCATCTGGAGCAACATCCTGCTTGAGCTGGTGGGATTGTGCAAAGACGAGCGTGCAGACGTACGCAATGCAGCGATCAGGGTGCTGTTGAAAATGCTTGATGCTTCGAGCGAACATCTCAGCTCAAGCACGTGGGCTATCAGCCTGAGACTCGGGCCGTTCGAAACAATTCGGTATTGCATCCGGCAATATGCTGCTAACAAGACAGATCAGGAGCCATGGATGGCGTCAGCGGCCCAATTGACAGACGGATGCACTCAGCTTCTTTGTCACAATCTCAACGTCATCGCTCAACATGATGGCTTCAAGGATACGTGGCTGCGTATCATGGACGTTTTGAAAAGCATACTAAATACCAACTCTGTTTCCGCATCTTCCCTGGCCTTTTCAAATCTATCAAAGCTTCTTTCAGCGTTAGCAGACCTTCCAAATTCCAGCGAAGAGCTAGTCCAGCCTGCTGTGCAGCTATGGGCAACCTATCAGCCCGGCGACATACGCCATGAATACCCATCGGATGGTCGACCGGGTGACGAGCCATCGAATCAGCAAGCTTTTAGTTCGCATGCACACGTTCTTGTTGAAGCCTACAAAACCAGCTCAGTGGCGATCTCAAAGTTTCTGCAGGGACAAACTTCGACCTTGATGGACTCGATTGAGCGAGGAGTCATGCTGTGCACGCATCCCCCGTACACGAGCGACGTGAAGACACTGGCCCCCGAGCAAAAGGAAGCCTCTGATTGTCTGGCAATCTTGAAGATTCTGCTGCAGGACGACGTGTCGAAGTATGCGGAATTCTTGCTAAGGCTGGTTACATTGACACTGAACATTCGGAACGGGAAAGTCGTTGTTCAGCAAAAGAAATCGGCTCTGTCCAAGTCGATACAACAACCATCGTTCATTGCCTTCACAGCTGCATGCCTGGACAAGTTTCGAGATCTTATACTGGAATGTGCCGACGATGACAACTTCATCCAAACCGTGGCTGTGCAAAATGCATGTCCTGTTCTTTCCGCCGTGGTTAGCACAAAGTACACGAGAATGCCAACGAACAACGAGATGCCCCTGTGGCGAAAGGCGACCGTCATCGCAGCCGTTATGCTTGAAGCATTGCAGAAGCACGTCAGGCGCGGTTCGTCAAAGGATTTATCCCAGCTGGAGAGCTTGGCGGCCCCAATCATCTCCATAGCCGTGAGTATCCTTCAACCTGGCGATCTGTCCAACCCCCCGGGCCCCGAGCACAAAGAAGCCACAATCCTCGAAGACGAGACCTTCGACATTGAACACTTCGAACTGTTGCACAAGGCCATCGTGCCCATCTTCCAAAATGTCGAGGCCATCAAAGGAGACGCCTGCAAGCAATACGCCATCGCGCTATTCAAGGTATCCCTGCTCACCAAACCCTGGTTCTACGACCTGCCCGACGACGTGGCCAGTGAACCCCTGAAAGATCTGATGCGCGTGCGCCCCGGCAGCGTCCACCGACCTGTATTTGCCGTGCGGAGACAAATCTGCCACGCCGCATTAAGAGCCTTATTCGACCTTGTCGAGCGACCACAGCACGCGACGGCCGGTGAAGACGAAAGGGAAAAAACACCCACGCCTCATCCAGGCCCAATGTCCCAACACAAGCTCGCATCCGCCGCTGCGCCTTACCTGATCTTGCGCGTGGTCCATCCTCTCAAGACCTTCCTTGCAGACCAGCGGCTACGGAGCCTCACGCCACCACCAATGGCCCAACAGGTCGAACTACAAGTCATTCTGTCCAAGTTTGTCGATCTGCGGAGCAATGGACACGCGATGGCGGACATGATGATGTTGTCTTCTTCACCTCGGGCGCCGCAAACCGAGACCAGAACCCAAGGTGATCTAGATGTTACTCGAGGGAATCATCCAAGCCCGTCAGACGACAACGACGACGACGACGACGGCAAAGAACACCTCCGCGTCCTCTACGGCTTGATGCTCCGCGTGCACACATTCTGGCAGGGACTGCCGAGGTTGAAGGGCCCAGGGGCGCGGGCGTGGCAGGACGACGAGCCCGGCAGAGGCATCCAGGACGCTCTGGAGCGGTGGCAGAGGGTGGTTGCCGAGGGATGGGGCTTTGCTTTTGCTGGCTTGGAATAGCAGAAAGCCGAAAAATACCGTAGTGAGGATACCGACCGGGGAGGATCAAACCGGGTGGCGTCGAATCGGCACCCTCGAGAGATGATGTTGAGCATGAGACTCACACATGTGATGCGCAAGGGCGCAAGGGAGGTGTTTGGTATGTAGGTCTGCAGCAGTACACTGTCAAGCCCGGACAGTGGAATCGACACAGGTCATAGAACAAGAAGATCCTACAAGAGTCGTGGGAATTTGAGAATGGATTATTCAAAGGTCCCACCCAATGGCTCGACACATATCCGTCCCAGAATACAAGGTACATTATTGTAGCCGCATGCTTGAAGCCGTAGCCTCTCGTCCGCATATGGGCTGCAATCGGAGACAGCGTCTGTGGCAGGCCGTTACGCACCAGAAGCTGTAGCCGCCGGAAGAGTTTCTGACTCAGGGTCTAGACCTACTTGCAGGGGCACTTCAAGAGCCAGGGCAACCTCTATCACGATGTCACACAGGCATGCGGTGTGCTCTGTACTTGGCTGACTTCCACGACTTGATAAGCTACAACCAACCTGTGCCCCCGAGTTGCAGCTGGATTCAGGTAGCTGGTGATCGGAAACAGCACTCCGAAGATGGTCATCCGCCCATCATTGGGCGCTTGGCCCTATAGGGGCATCGTTTCCCGACTTGGTGAATTCAACGGGGTTTGCAATGCACGGCGTTATTTGGCCACTTCTTCAGTGCACAAAAGGAATCTTTCCCCAGACAAGGAGCCGAATCAGGCAGGTGTCGGCGGAGTGATCGCAGGAGGTTTTCCGCCTATGCCGGGTTGGTCGATCGCTAGATGGGGAGCTGTTTCTGGGGCTTGCCGATAGAGCACGATCTCTGATTGTTTGAAGTAGCGACGAGCGTCTGTATGTAACTTGTCAGTGTCGGGACATAGAAAGCTGTTCTCATGCTTCTGGCGTGCGACTGAGCACCAGAGTCTTGGAGTAGCCGGCAGGTTCGGAGACAAAGCCGACCGTGGCTGCTTCAGTTGCCGACACAACCCCAACTCGAGGTGGATCCGGTGCTACTCTCTCGTGGAAGGGATAGAAAAGTGAACTAGACGTCAAGACGTACCTTCGTCAATGAGAACCAAACTGAGATAATACCTTGTGGAGTATTTCTTGTTAACCTCTCGGAAGGTAGGGGTTAGGTCGAAGCCTCCAAGGAAGAGTCTGATGGGGATGGTCTCGCCTGAACTTCGCGTTAGCACCTGGATACGAACCGATTTGCACGCTCAATAAGATCTGAGCGTGCTCTTGGTGTTTCGGGCATCGGGAGACCACCGCGCGTAGAAAGGGAATTCTCACGTACCTCTTGAGGGCGAGCCATCCATGATCTGAACAATGGTTAGCGTCCCTGGTAAGGCGAAGTCATGGGCGAACGTACCTCAAATCTGACCAACGTTTCACTTTCGTTATATTGGTTGGGCGCAACACCTGTTGTCTCCCTCCGAATAATCGAGAGCTCCATGTGTTTGATTTTCAATCGGACCAGTAGGAAGTATATCCTGCCGACGATGACATCCTTCAGGTGGTATTTGCTTTTCGAGTATTCGAATTCAATGTGTAAGCAATCTTCTATTCCGACGTCCATCTTGATCGAACTGTTGGTCTCTGGTGGGATCCGATACGAATAGACCCAGATATCCTTTTCCCGAATGACGTCGGCCATCCTCCTCGACACAGTGACTCTGACGAAGTACCGTAACTTGACGTTGATGCCATTGTAAGATTCGTACTGCTTCTCGACGTTTTTGAAGTTGAAGGGAAAGGTCTGTGGGTGTTGTAGTTCGCCGGGAGCCGCGAGTTCTTGGCCTAACGACAGGAATTCGTAGTGGTTTCCGCGATCAAAGAACATCTCTGTACACACCCAGATCAACCACTGTACCCAGCAGATAAGTCAAGAGCCCAGAATGACATACCGATCAGGCCGATGAATTGGACCTTGATGCCGGTGTGCTCCAGCCTTTTCCCATCTTTCGGTCTGATTGTGACTGCGCCTTTTACCGATTCTCCATCTAGATATAGAGGGGCTTTCTCGCGTCTGTTCTTGTCGAGCTTGACATCGACCGTCTGTCGGTCGTCGGTATCTTCGAGGACGATATCTATGTCGACGGGTGTAGAGAAGAAGAAGGCGGACATGGTGACGGACGGAGAGTGAGCTGGGCGGAGATGAAGGATCTAGATCAAGCCGACAGTCTATGGCGACAACAGCTCGGTGTACAGAATAAGCTGTTGCCTGGTGGGAAAGTAGCTACGGTATATGCTGTGGTGAAATCGCCGTTTGTACACAGTACCACCGTAGTGCACGTCGATCGCAGGTGGTGAGCCGCAGCCCGCAGCTTCCCCTGAAGAACGCCAAGACGCCACTCCGCATTGGGACGAGGATGTTGCTGCCCTGTGGTCACCATCACGCTACGCCTCAGGACTGCCAGAGGAGGAGGCTTTGAACAATGGCAATCTGGCTGTTCGGAGCACCGCTGATCGTCATGTCACTTCCGCTCTCGATCTTGCTCTGGTCGACACGAACACGAGAACACCTCTTAAGCAATGATATCACCTCAGCATTGGGTTGAAAGGAGGTTGAGCAGGCTCGGTAGGTGGAAATGGCCCCATCATGCCTATTTTCTCTTGCGACATCTGGCCAGCCACTCTCTCCACGTACAAAGCGAAAAGCGCCTTGTTTTGTTCTTGCTTCCTGTTGAAATCTATTTCCGGGGGAATCCAGCCATCTGCGTCGGTGTCGAGATATTCCTTCGCGAACTCTCTTGCTAGATGCCATTCCTTGTAATCTTCGAATTGTTTTTCATGTTTCTGGATATCTGCCGCCTGGAATGTGTAGGGACATTCGCCCGGCAAACCTAGCTCGTGCCAATTATTGGAAATCGCAATCAGGCACTCGCGCAGTGGCGCAGGCCCTTCTTCCCACGTATTCCCACAGCGAATGAAGAGTTCCCGGTATACGCGAGGCACTTGCATGGCATCGTACGCGTCTTTGTTGTCAAGAAGGCATCTGATTTCGTAGGCCTTGGCTGTCATGGCCTGCTTGAATCTGTAGTCTGCTTCCTTCTTTCCCTCCTCATCCAGGTCTTCATAGTCGTCAGGTAACTTGGGCTTGACGATCCCAACCGGGTAGTCTTTGGGAGGGGTCAAAAAGACGGGCCAACGGGCCTGTAAGAACATAGGACCTATCTGTATAAATTGCCAGTCAATAAATGCAGAGATTTCAGAAGGGTCGTCTTCCGAGACAAAAATGTTGCCCATGTGCAAATCAGTGTGACAGAGGGTAGGTCTGGAATGATGAAGGAGGTCGGAGTGGGTGCCGACGACTTTCATGACTTCAATGGTGGTCTCGAGCAAAAGGACGTGTTCGGCAGCTGTGCCACGGTGGTTGACGGTGTGGACGCCTTGGGGTTCCTGTGAGATGCGGTGGATCTCTCGTTGTGCAAGCGCGGTTCCAAATTCGGTGAGAGAAAGCCCTAACGATAGTCAGTTTGACAGGCCAGGGATAGACGTGGCAGAGGATGTGCATACAAGGCGCCAATGTGGCATTTTCGGGCGCAGCAGACCAAGCGGGATCGCAGAATCGACCAATACAGTAGGATCCGGATTGATCGATATCTGATGGAACGTCCGATTTCCTCTCATTGTCCGGCAAGAAATGGCGAGGATATAGGCAGCCATACGCTGGGAACTTAATCGACATCAATTGACTCTCCCATTTGGCCAATTTCTCGATAACGGCCAGTTTGCATCGTTCTTCAACGTGATCCCACATTTTGAAGAGCTGGACCCCGGCAGCCATTTCCATGATGATGTACTCTCCCCAACAGGATTCGAAGCATCAGCGCTCCAGGCGTAGATGCATGGTACTGGGATATCGGTATGCTCTCTCACTTCGACTGATTAGACACTAGCATAACTGCGGCAAATTGGATTCTCCTACCATATTGGAGAACAGCGACTTCCGACGCAGTCGTATATTTGGCGAGGCCGGCGTTGGGACAGGGGATCTTGGCAATGAGCTCTGTTCCATCCGCCCTGTGTAGGCGTAATGCTTTGTTGAATCCACCCTCTAACTTTTCGATCTCTCGGACAGGCGAGACCGACGGGCCAGTGTTGGCTGCAATTGCACAAAGAGCGTCTAAGTCAAACTTGACATAACGAGCATCCCGTTGTTGTTGATCTCGAGTCAAAAATCGGCCATTGGTGTACTGAAACAGCTCCTCTCGGTTGATGGATTTGCCTGGGAGACTCGATCAGTTGGCTATTACCTCACTGTTTGCTGGACTTACCACGGCATGTCAACGAGATATTCCTGGAGGAACGCAAAAGGAGGTGGCTTAATGGGGGAAAATGGCGTATTTTTGACCACGGGGGCATGCTGCGAGCGTATGTCGCCGTAATCTCGCAATGCCTTACATGTCTGGAGATAAAACACGAAGATTACTGGTGAGCCGGAATGCGCATGGAGAATTGAGCTGCGTTGTCCGGCTGCAATACTGGAAACGATGGCACGGATGGGACTGGTACTGTGGCCTAGAGCTGCCAAGCTTTGTCTCCAAGGCCTTTTTCAGAATCTCCTCACCTTCATGACTGATCCGCCTCATTCTCAACCAACTTAATTAGGTACACAGTACGGAGTACTCCGTACTCCGTACATGTGTGTTTCATGGGCTAAACGTACGGAGTAAATTTGCAGTTGTTCTGCCCAGCCCATAGCCAGTGCAGGATTTTCTGGCACGACACCAGCCCCATCACAACCTTTCTCTCAGTCCTCTCGCTTCACTGTGCGCTTCCTCCGTCTGAGTCCGGCGAACACTGAGCAAATCTCGGGGGCAATGGCCTTCCCTGTGCTCTAGCCTGCCTCGCCTGTGCGACTGCAAGGCTGTGACATTGCAGCCATTTAGTCCTGAGGTCGCCGCTCGGCTATTGTCGGGTTTGCACATCCGACGCTCACTCTTTCCTCAATTGCCGACGTTCTGCAGCTTCCTCCCCACAGCCGCAATTCTCCAAAGTTTCTTTTCCTTCCTGATCTCCGAATGCTTTGTCGTATTTTGAGGCTTATCTCGAGTTGAAAAAGTTGCCCATGCACCGATCGTGCGGGTGCCATCTCGGTACCGGTGCCATGCTCCCACCCGATTTGCTCATCTGCCAGTTTCTGCCAGTCAAGCATTTGAAGGCCGCAGACAATTTATCCGGCAGTCGTGCGAGCCCGTGCCCGGTCTGGGTGTATGGTGTGGGGTAAGAACCGGGCCACAGTCACCCTGAGTTCAAGATCCAGGTTTGTGCGATTTCGTGGATTCCTGCCGTTCTCGAGTCTCTTGACGGTGCTTCCCTTGACGGATTCACCGCCACTCCCACCGGCGATTTCGTCGATCTTGACGGCCGTTCTCACCCTGCTCACCCCTCTGTGAGCCGCATCTATATTTGCGCCAGACTCCCAACCCAGTACGTGCCTGTCTCTTCCATTCTCAATATCACTATCTCCTACCCCACGCGCTCGTACCCGTGTTTGCCATTAACTTCCCTGGCTCGCGTGATTCCCGAGTTTAACCGCCGTTTGTCGCGCCGAGTCTCGTTGGTGACATCACTCGTTCACTGCCTCTAACCAACGTCCACCATGTTGTCGACAGAGCGAACTCCCAGGCCTCACTCCTTCCGACACCCTCACCGTCCAGTCTCTCCGAAATACAAAATACCCATCCAAGTCATGCAACCCGAGTCCGACCAGCACTTTGAACATATCTGGATCATTACCGGACCTGCAGGATGTGGAAAGACAACCGTCGCCCAGCACCTTGCGACGGAGCTGTCACTCCCCTATATCGAGGGCGATGATGTACGTTGCTACAACGTTCCGAGAACTTCTCCCTGGCTAATGCAAGCTAGTACCATCCGACCGCCAACAAAGAAAAGATGGCCTCAGGCACCCCCCTCACAGACGCCGACCGATGGGATTGGCTGATTACCCTCCGAGAAGCAGCCATCAAGAAACTCCAGACTTCCAACTCCGTCATAGTCACATGCTCCGCCCTGAAACGAAAGTATCGAGATGTCATCCGCGTCGCGAACTACGAACACCCGTCAGTACAAGTCCACTTTGTCTACCTCAAGGTGGACGAGTCAACCTTACAGGCAAGAGTCGCAGCTCGGGTCGGCCACTACATGAAGGAGAACATGGTGCACAGTCAAATGACCACTCTTGAAGAACCCGAGGAAGACCTCGAGTGGGATGTCTTACAGGTGGACGTGCGCGAAGACAAAGAGATGGTCAAGAGACATGCGCTGGAGCTGGTACAGGCGAAACTGAAGGAATACGAAGATATGGAATTCCCCCACAAACAATGACGGCGGCGTCAGGCGAAGAATCCCCAAGATCTGACCAGGCGAAAGAAATATACAAGAAGACAGTGATTTGAGCATTGGCGTCCGGCGCGTGGCTTCGAATGGGGGTGCAAGATCACCTTGGGCGGAGATGATTCGAATTTGAGAGGACTTATCTTTGGCGAGCTTCGGGGCGGCTTCAAAACGGGTCAATGTGAACTAGGGGTTCAGCCTCGACCGAGATGACTTTTTAGTACGGGCCAAGTTCTGAGAGCAAGCAGAAGTTTGGCTGGGACGGGTTCGGTACCCTCGGCTTCGATGCCGCTGTTAGCTTTTATTGGGGGTATGCCACAGTGCCTGGACTATAGACCTAGTCTCTGGCGTCCAAGATTATCATTAGCTCTTGGCGTAGAGGAAGAAATCCAGCTTTAACGTCTGAGGTATACATATGCGGGCCAAAGACCACCAGTTAAAGCGACAATATACAAACTGTCACTACGCTGTACCTCCTATCATCTCAAGACAGACGTCATGTCGATCGCGAGAGAGTGAGAGAGAGGTCTGTCCGGAGTAGATGTGTATGATATATTTTATATCAGCACATTCACTTCCGCAATCGACCATAGGATGTGTGAAAACAGGGCTTCCCGTTCGCTCAGCCGTACTTAAGCCACATGCCGGTCAGTTAGTACTAAGGTGGGTGACCACTTGGGAATCCTGACTGTTGATTGTTTTTTTGTTTGGTTTTCCGTTTTTAGTATATACTCCTACGAGCAGGGTGCGAAGAACAGGAGTACTGTAATTATGTATGTATTATGTTTGTATAGAGGCCACGCTACGCCAGCTAGTTGATTCAAGGCGAGTTAGGTAGAAATGAATTCTTCGACTTCGACCTTCTACTTTGTACATCATACTTGATGTCGATACCTCGTACAGAGTCAATGCAAAGCTACGTCGTGGGGAGGAGGAAGCCAGTGGATGGACGGACGGACGGACTGACGCACTGGAGGATAAAGTAAATACGGAGTACTCCGTACTGAAAACTTTGATCGAAAAAAGCGAACGAGGCTGCGCTGAGCTAGAACGACCTTACTACGTACTAGGTAAGGGGCAACGCAACGTAACGTACCTAGGAAGAATACCGCAGTTTCGCTACAGTACAGTATATTTTCTCCTTTGACATTCCTACCCCTTACAACGTACGTAGACGTTACGATATGCCATATACGGTATACCGTGGAAATGGAGGGAGCTAGCGGGTTGGCCGGTTCACGTTTGATCTTGATGTGGGTTAAAGGTACAAGGTACTGTATTCAACTCAACTCAGCTCAGCTCAGCTCGGTTCGGCCAGTCTTGGACTCCACCATCTCGGGTGCGAGCCTGTGTGTGTGTTCATGATGAAGGTGCCGGGATCAACGGGGTATCTACTATGTACTGGGTATGTACTCCGTACTAGGTATGTAGCTTGGCTGCCGCGCGTGAGCGATGTATCCCACGGCTCTCGGCCGAAATCCATCACCCATGGTCAGTCCGGCAGTCCATCCCTACGCCTGTCTGTCTGTCTGTGTGTCTGTGCGCCTATCCATCATGCTCTTCCCAATACACGACATTCGATTAAGTACCGTATCAATACTTGCCAGATTTCAGTCAGACGCACTTCAGCTTGCGAACCCCTTTCTTTCCATCGCGGACTTGACATTCTTTCGAGCAATCCTGCGCAACCTTACACCTGGCGCATCTCAAGAGTTTTCTCTCCGCCGACGCCTCGGCTTTGCAACCCCAGCAACATGTACGCAGGTCGTCGAATCCGGCACGAGTATAGTACCCACCACGAGTATCGTGCTAGACGGGATGTCGGATCAGCTGGGTCGAGGTCTTAGAGCGTACTGCGGCTTTACTCTCATGGTACAATATCCGCAGAGACGTCTGGTACACGAATTGGGCTACCTCTTGAGGGTCCAACTTGACAATGTTGAAGGTGGCGCGATTCCACATGAGAATGGAGCGTCCTTGAGGTTTCCCGTCTGCTTCACTGAGGGCTCTCAGACACATTCGGCATGGGGCGAGTATGTTGAGGTATGCTCCAGGATGAAGAGTTGGGTAGAAAGCAAGATGATTTCGTTTTGCTCGCGCGAAGAAAGGTTCCTGAACTGCCGGACCCGGTGGCCAAGTGCAGACCGTGGACCTTGAAGGCGGCCTCTAGCAATCGTCGTTGAAGATTCCATCTAGATGCTTCAGTGTCCCAAAGAGAGTTCTCCCGCTTTTGGGGTGGGACATCGGTGAGAAAATGCTCTTGACTTGCTCTCATGCTGCGGTGGTATTGATGTGTTCGTAAGTACGGTGCGCATCTGCGACACCCGAAAAGATGCATGTGAGGAAGAACTGACTACCAGCTGAGCGATCCGGATCTCGTTTAAGTGCACCTCGATATCACTTTGACGTTGCCACTGTGATGCCCTGTCGAAAGGTCAGAGCAAGATGACCATGATTGCCCAAGAAGCCAGGTAGGTCCAACAATTGATCCCACATCCATTCAGCCTCATTCCAACATTCGTCGGCGCTTCCTTCCCTACCTCCCCTCCTGAACCCACACCCAACGAGCTTGTTGCTCCAGGTGGAATACTACAACTCACACTCCCACAGACATAGCCACTCGGACAACATCCTCCACCCACATCAGGCGCACATGTCATCCACCCTGTTGCACAATCTCCCGTCTGGAAATTGCCCGGGGCGGTAATCCCGCTCCCAGAGGGTGCCACAATCGTGAGACTTGAACCAGAAACAAGAGTTGTGGAGGCAGCCGCAGGGCACGATGTACTGTCGCAGTCTCGCCCGATTTGGCAGCATCCGCCCTGGTAGTATGCGGAGCAGGCGTAGAACCCGGTTGGACAGCCCGTGACCGGATAGGACAGGGAACTCGAAGGCGTGGTCGTGGTGGTTGTGATTTCCACCGTCGTCGTCAAACTGGTCGGTCGGACGGGTGGTTCCGGTGTACCACTCGATTGCGAGGAGGCCGTCGACGTTGACAAGGCAGGGCAATTGGCGGAACCACACGCACGGTCTGTCGGACAGCAACCGCCTCCGAGACTGGCCGGACAGGATCGGAAACCCGTTGAACATGTTAGGGAGAGTGAGGCCGAAGACGTCACAGTTCTGGTTATCGTGACGGTTGAGACAAGTGGTGGAAGCGGAGTGACGCTGGGACTGGAGGTTGATGTCGGAGTTGTTGACTGCCTTGAGCTTGTTGTAGGAGAGGAAGGCTGAGATGGCGTGACCGTCGTGTAACTCGTGACAGTCGTAGTACTCGGACCCGGGGGCGTGGTCGATGCAGTCGCTGTATTTGTCTGTATACAGCCAACGTCATAGCATGCGTATCCTGGCAAACAGCAACCTCCACCTGGGTTATTCGGGCAGGAGGTATACCCACTTGCGCAGTTCGTGGAAAGTGCATTGCCGCAGATCTGACCGCTGGGACAGCATCCCACGTCGCCCTCACTGGAGCTCGACTCCTGAACGAGTTGGCAGGTGTATCCCGCTGCACAGCAGCTGTTGGGTCGGTCAATGGATGTGCAGGCGGAGGTGCCTGCGGGACATTGGAAGGCGCGTTTTGAAAACAGGTGCCAGCCTGGAAGGTGTCTCAGTAGCCGGGTTCGTCCCTCGTGAGCATCATGTACTCGGACGGGCAGGTCGATGGAGACCCAAAGTGTGGAATTCGACCAAATCGAATGACCGTCCCAAGCCTCCTCTTGCTCTTCTTCAAACCCCCAATAATCCATGTAGAACTTCTCGCCCGGGTCCCCATTCAGCTTCTTCACTCCGGTCGGAGAGCTCCTTTGTAACTTCTGCTGTATGTCAATGTCTCTCTTGAGGAGGACTTCATCCTCGGGGTAGTATTTCGAGTCGGGTGCGAGATTGTACGGCCACCGAAGGTTCACAGTCTGTGCAGCAGCTGGGGAGATGGAGGCAGAGACCAAAAGGAGAAGGGCTGAAGGCAATGACGCTAATCGCAGCCATGGTGCCATGAGATGGACTGATCAAAAGGACGCGAATGCTATAAAGATGGCAGGCCGTTCATCGAGATATGAATGGTATCGGAGACGCGAATGGAGCAGCTTGACGGTGAGAGACGTCGGACGAAGTAGCCGCCAGGATGTCAGAATCAGTACAGCAATTTCTACACGAAGGACGTGAAGACATGATGGAGCAGAGGACTGCTGGCAGCCAGTGTTGGCAATGTTGGCAGAAAAGATGGCTGGGGTGAATGAGATTCGAGAAATCGCAGCTCCGGGGCGGCGACTAATTAGTGACTCGGCCCCGGACCGGAGTCTCATCCCGCTCCTCCACTAACAAACGTCAGTGTCACACTCTCCGATTGCACGTGCATCTCCTCCTGGGCCCGATTCCGCTAACCATTGTCAGACATTGTCTATCTAGCATTGCTTGCGCAGGTCAGCCTCGCATCGCTCATACTTCTTTCCACGGCGAAACTCGGGAGCGGGAGACCACCCTAAATGTTCACGTCTCTCATTACGATTGCTTTTCAATAGGTGCCGGCCTTCAGACCTTTCAACGACCCCAGGCTCAGGGCCAACCCTTGGGAACGTGACCGGATCCGGATGAAGCCGACAATCGAGTTGTCCGCCGTCTTTTCTATACTCAAGTTCGCCAACGCATCCTCACCTATTTCCATGTTAGTCGCGAACTTTGCGGTCAGACAATATTGGAACTCACCGAAGACGCTGCGTGCATAGAGATTGGCGCTCAAGAACTGGCAGTCGCCTTTCAAGCCAGCTTCGGGCGTCAGACACGTCATGTTCGTACTCTTCATCAGTTGATCCAAGAACTCCCGGAGGCTCTTGCTCGTCGCTTTGCTGTTGATGTTCACCTTGTTCTCCCATTCGAACTCTGTCCACATGGTCCGGAAGGCTGATTCTGAGCATGTCGCTGGCTGGATGTAGTCCATGATGTCCGCATGTATGTCATTTAGTATCACCACGTGGGTATCCGTCCCGGATGGCGAGTCATACACGATATTGCCAAAAATGACGCCCGTGTCCGTGCTCGACACTTTGATGGTCGACTGCACATTCAGGAAGTCATGTGGTCCCAGGTTGTGCGTGGTCGGCCGCTCAACCACTTTGAGGTCGCCCAGCGTCGCAAACTCCACCGAGAGATTCTGGAGTGTTTCTTGCGTCTGGTTGACAAGTAGCACGTCGAGGATGATGTCGAATTGGTGCACCTTGACATAGGCCTCGGCATATACAGGGTCTGAGAACCCGGTGAGTTGCACTACCCGGCTCAGCTTGGAGGACAAGTCTTCAAAGGAAGCATCGCCTCCAGTCGCTTTCTCCAGGTCAATCTCCATCTCGTCCATGCCGTCCTGGGCACTTTTCTTCGACAACTGACGTATTGAGAGAACGTCATCCACCTGTGTGGCTGTCTTCGCCTTCTCGACCGCGTCCTTGTCTGCACGTTTCTTCTCCTCAACCTCCACCATGGCACGGAAGGCTTTTCTCGTGTCGTCCAAAAACGATACTTCAAGCTCTTTACGTTCTGAAAATTCTGCCAGTGCACGTACGCAGGACATTATCCGGTCCACTGAGTCCTCGTCAATGGGTGCCTTCACAAATTGCGACTGTCCCACCCTGACTATCGAGATCATGATAAGCATGGCTTCTGCGCGCAAGGCGTTGGTCCGGGCCTGGTCCGAGGAGATCTCCGAATGGCGCATGACCAACTTTGTAAGAGTGGCAGAAAGCACCGTGGACAAGTAATAGTCGCCGTCAAGAATAAGCTGTCTGAGCGGTGGTTTCTGCGCCGCCTTGACTGCCTCCAATCTGGCTTTTGCTGCAGAATCGCTTGTGAGGGCCGTCTCCGTAGCATACGTCCCATCAGCCAGGACTTTGCGAGAGCCGGTAGAGGCCGCCTTGGCCGCGGCATGACCGTTGACTTGGTCTTTTTGCTCGCCATCCTCATTGGAGTGTTCATCCAGTAACCGCTGTTCAGAGGCGAGAATGGGAATCTCTCCTAGACTGGCCCGAATACGCTTCCACGCCTCTTTGATGTCGTTTTCTTGTAAGGAATACTCGCCGATGACCCAGAGCGAACCACGATAGACCTTGCCAGCACGGACCTCGCCCAGAGTCGACACTAATCGTTCTATGATTGAAGATCTGAGCTTGGGGAACCTCTCTACCACCTCTTTCACGAAGGAGATGACGTCCACGGCAGAGCTGTTGTTGAAATCCGCAATGAAGTCCATGAGAACATCGACCACGCTGGCCGCGATCTCGGAGAACTTGATGGCGCAATGATGAATCGACTGAATCAAAAGCTGGCGGTATTCGGAGTTCTTCTCGTATTGCTCTACCACCGTCTTGCTGAGCTCCTTTTTGAGTAGCATGATGACTTCTTGCACATTCTTGCTCGAGACCATCTCCATTGCAATTGACAGAGCCTTCCTTCGCACGTCCAGATCGGGACTCGACAAAACGCGCAGAATTTCCATGGTAAGGTCATCGAGGACTCCTTCGTTTCGTCTTCTCAATTGGTCAACTCGGTCGAGCACAATCAGCTTCACGTTGTTGTCCGCCTCTTTAATGCTGAGTTCGATCAGCTTCCCAGCCGCTGCCTTGACGGCTACGGGATTGCTCGTCAACGTCGTTAGCGAGGTCGCCGCTTCGTATACGACAGTGCTAGTGTTCGCTTCCAGCAGATCGAAGATCAGCCGCAAATATCTCGCCTTGTTTGCCTGGTTCTGGATCGCATCCTTTCTGATGAATTCAAGCTCAACCAGCTGTAGCAGTTCATCTGCATTGGGCACTCCGTCCAGGACACCAATCAGGTATTCCAATGCTTTCTCGTGACTTATGCTCATCAAGGCAGCAAATGCATTTCTCTTGCATGTCGTGTCGCTCTCTCCCACGAGGAAGGTATGGAGCATTTCAGGGGCATCGGGAATAAGGTGCTGGGCGTGTTGATAGACAGAGGCCAGGGCCCATACGGCGTTCTTTCGCACATATGCATGTCTGTGGTCGAGGCAGGTCTGGGCGGCTGAAAGGAGGGGTTCAATCAATTCGGGTTCTCGGAGTTTGGAGAGGAATCGCAACGTGTTGCCCCGGACGAACTCGTTAGGATGTTGAAGGTCGTTTCGGATACCGTTGCTGGGCACCATCAGTACAACATCCTTTTAGCAAACCACGACCGCTCTCAAGCATACCAGACCAAAATCATTTCCTGCTTCAGCTTCCCGTTCGCATCCAGCTTGGGACAGATTTCGTAGTAGAAGTAGAGTAATTTCTTCAAAGGCTTGCTCTTTGAGGGCATGACGAAGCGGATAATATGCATTAACAGATTGGGCATAGGGTCGCCGTTGAGCATGGTGGTGAGGATCCTTCGCATAGTCTCTAGCTTCGTCTCATCCGTGCCCTTTTCCAGCTGCGTCTTCAGATCCTGCTGGTTCGGCTGGTCCGCGGTGTTGTCCAAGTGGACGAGGCTGTAGGAGTTGTCGAGAAAAGCCGCCATGACTGCTAGAAACGCTTCGAACACAGAATGGCGCAGTATGGAAATACACTCGAGTCTTCAATCGCAAGGATGTTTGTATGTTCACCGGACAGTGGGCCACAACAGAAGAGGCGTCAGCGCATTGTTCCACTGGTCCGGCGGCAACAGACGGAGGGCCAAGAATGAAAGAGAGATGAGGCGTCTGAAGGAGTGTGAGGGCGGTGGAATTGCACGTAGTCGGAGTCTGAAGTCTGTTACTTGGTGTTCAGCGATCTGTCCAAATGTGGACAGCCTTGGCGGTGTCGAGATGCGCCTGCAGCCCGCAGCCTCGAGATACATCGGGCATCTCTCCAATATTCAAAGTTGATACCTAATTCTTGACGCAACCGCCTCCATCTCTCCTCCCCCAGACCTAACTCAGAAATCCGGCTCCCTGGGCTATGGCGAATCCCAAAGATACAAATGAGCCATTCTACGTGCGCTACTAGTATGCATGTCTCATTCTGTGTCGACACCAGATACTGATTGAGACCAGTTCGGGCCATTCTGGAAGATTTGGGCATGAATTCCTAGGTATGAAACAAGTCTGTCTTTTCTGAGGCGTCGCGTTGCTCATCGGTGGACAGAGTTCGACTTCAGGGTGATCGGGGATGGACGCAGTGCGACAGCGAGATATGCCAACAACTCCAACTACCGCAACGACTCGCTCATCCGCAAAGAGAGTTAGTCCTCGGCCCTGCGTCTTCCGGTAACTACTGACTGGTTCCCAGTGTGTGTCAGCTCCCTCCTCATCTCCGAGATCAAACGCATCATCAAAGACAGTGAAATCATGAAGGAGGACGATTCGCGGTGGCCTCAAAAGAACAAGGATGGAAGACAAGAGCTCGAGATTAGGCTCGGCAATGAGCACATCCAGTTTGAGGTGCGTCGCATGCGAAACTCTGGGATATGTCGACCTAAACTGACACTGAGCAGACTGCAAAGATCGGCTCTCTTGGAGATGTGACGGACTCGGCTGATCCTGAGGGCCTGCGAGTCTTTTACTACCTGGTACAGGATCTCAAAGCCTTGGTGTTCTCGTTGATATCGCTTCATTTCAAGGTAAGCGAACTTTGGGAAATTGCCGAGATGTTAATCTGAGCGTTGTGATAGATCAAACCCATCTGAGTTTGCCGCTCACGGAGTCCATGACATACTCAATTTATCAGCTACCCAGTACCGCTCGCAACCCTTCACCCGTCTCACTTGACCATGGCAACCAGCCGCCTCGCTATTCCATGCATCTTGAGGGCAGAAAAGACGTGGCGAGGAGGCAAGAGGAAGCCCATGTAGAACTTCCAGCGCGATGACCAGGGACGAAAGCCTGTATACAGAGTGAACGGCTGCGGGCAAGCCCGGCTGGGTATTACCAACCCATGAGCGCGACCACTTGTCAGTTCCAGCTTAAGCTGGTTTGGGCGATACGATTTGAGCTGGGACTGAGGGCGCAGTGAAGGCGTGAAAATGCCAGTTTACAGTAGCTGTACCCCGCAAAGCACAAACCCTCCCGAAGTCGGGGCAGGACAATTTAGACGTCAAGTGTCGGCTGTTGGGGGTCGAATTTCTCCACTCGACGGCGTTTCCCTCCTTCCATCCACCCATCGATTGCATAACTTTATCTCATCATCTGCTTCCTTCTGGTGCTTCTGATGTATCTGGTGCTCTGACGCGGGAATTGTGTTCCCTCCCCGTCCTTCAATTCTACCCACCACTTTCATCGTCTGGCGCCGTCCTTGTCTGCACCGCTTTCTCCTTCCACTCCTCTCCATATGATAACCTTCCGGCGTTCCTGTATTCAATGCCAACTCATGCGCCCAATAGGCCGTTTAGTCCTCCTGACCCCGAGATAACCCAGAGCAATGTCGCGTGCCCAGCTCCATTGACTCCCCCTTCAGATAACGGCGCGGATGAAGACACAAGACGGTTGAGTACTCGACGGGTACCGCACGCCGACGATGAAGTAATCCGGCGACCCGTCAGCGACAACACCGCCGCTGGCATGGCGTTGATGCAGGAAGCAACTATGTATGCGACTGGGCCCTCACTGGAAGAAAAGATGCATACAGACGCTGGCAATCGGTCATCACTGGCAGCCGACGGGGCAGATGACGAGGCTGGATTCGAAAATTGCATCAATGTGGATCGCGACATGCAGACGGAAAGACTTGAAGAGACCGTGCCCGTGGCTGATGTCGCCCACAGCGACGAAAGAAACACCTTCAATGGGCAGCCTGGCCTTAGCGACAGAATGCAGTTGACGGACGCTGAACCCGACTCAGGTCTCTTGTCTCCACCGTTGAGTTGTGCTGCCGACGGCAGGACCAGCAGCTTCAACGTCTCTGGAGGCAAGCCTGGCATACCTTCGATTGACCAAGAACTAGATTGGTCTAATAACCACCTCAAGGACTGGGACTTTTCGTACCGTCGTCTCCGACCTCAGTACCCGTCGGCTACCTTTCAACCATATTCCAAGTTCAAAGGGACTCAGCAGTCCGACCGTCAGATCTACAACGTCGAAGTTACCATTTTAACAGTTGACATCGAGCAGTCCAACATGTCTGGCTACCTCCAGATTTGCGGACTAACTCCCGACCATCCCACGTTGACCACATTTTTCACAGGCGAAATTATTGGGGGACCCGATCAGAAGTACAGCTTCCGTACGGGGGATCCCGGCTGGGGCGCAAGCGACAAGACGGATCTTACGCACTGGGCCCGGTTTCCGGCATGGCGACCTCTCAGTCTGCACGCGAAGCGCAACATCAACTTTGTATACCCAATGAACCACGAGAACTGGTGGCAGCAAGAATACATCTTCATGAGATGGAAGGAACATTTCCTCGTGCCAGACTACAAGCTCAAATCGATCCAGGGGGCAAGTTTTGAGGGCTTCTACTATATCTGTTTTAATCAAATTGAGGGGAGGGTGAGTGGAATCTATTTCCACTCCAAAAGCGAGAAGTGAGTACTGGACACTACATCTGCCTTATGCGATACTAACCGTCCAGCAACAGATATCAACAGCTCGAGTTGAAGCACGAGGGAAAGCCGGGCGTTTGGGGCATGGGCGTGTGCCCGTCAATCGAGTTTCGGTGATTGAGCTTCAGCCACTACTACAGACGACTTTATGTGTATTCTCGGAACCACTGTGCGAGCTGAGATAGGAGCTTGCTCATGCTGCGGGAGCATTTATGTATATTTTGGTTGCCCGCGACAGAAGCGGGGCAGGAGCTTTGCTGGATAAATAGATTTGTGCCACATTACGATCTGGCGATTGATCGCTCTCGCCAGAACAGCGACATGCCTCCTCTTTGCCATCGGTTATTTTCCTTGCTGGTAAGGACTGACTGAGCGAGTTGACACGAACGTTAAGGTCTAAGCAATCCCTCCTGGGCATGGGGAATATACACAGTGCTCAGAGCGGAAGGGGTGCACATGCTCCACAACGATGACAATTAATCATTCTGCAAGATGATGTAGGCCTACGTACTCTTGAGAGGCTTGATACACCTGGAGATGCCCGGGGATGGGCAGGACTGGGCCTTCATTGAGACCATGCTTGCGCCGGTGTCTCTCCACGCTGCACGCGGCAACCCACTTTCAGTTTGCCTCTCAGATTAGAAACTCTCCTCCATGCATCTGGCCACCAGCGACTGATGCAGTCCACCGAAATAGACCGATAATCATTCCCCTCTTCTTTCACACCTCTGAACCATCTACAAGCACAGCATATGTAGTCAATTTCCTTCGTTTATCGCTTTCGTTTGTACTTGATTGTCGCATGTTTGCTGCCGCACCCTCTATCCGTCTCATTTCCACTCTCACTCACCAGCGGCGAAAGTGCGGCTATGGTGTATACGATCCCCAGCGTGACAGACGAGACTAACTAACGTAAAGAACCGAGACACTATGAATTGACCTTCAGTCATGGTATGTTAGCCCCTCTATCCACTCCGCCTCGCGGACCTCTGATGTGTACTGACCTTCTCTGCCCGTTCTACACAGGGTTGCTGTGCGTCGAGACCTACGCACGACGATGATGTGCCCCAGGCTGGACGCCCAAGCGTGTCTCCTCCGACCCGACACACGGCCCAGGCAATAACATCCCAGACTGCAATTAATGGTGCAACAGACGACGGGCGCTCCCGCGACCTTTCGGTCCACCAAAGTCACACCTCCAGATCAGCGCTCTCGACGCCCCGGCAGTCTGTGCAGAATGCACAATCCCAGCCAGGCCGACAGCCGTCTCTAGCAGACCCGTACGACCTGCCCCTCGAGCCCCCAACACCATGGAAGAGCAAGAAGCGCACGTGGACGCGCTCGCAGCTGCTGAGAGAAAGGTACGAGTTCTTCGAGACCCGCGTCACGGGCCACAAAGAGGTGTGGAACGGCTTGAAACAAGCGATCGAATGTCTGCGCGAAGGAGATCTGGCCGACGCGCAGGGCATTTTGTCAGCCATGTCCGTAACACTGCCGACGGGGAAACTGGAGGACGGCGCATACGACGAGCACGGCAATCTCTACAAGATCCCCCAGGCCGTCATCTCCGATCCTGATGACGTGGTCGAAGACATGAACGACATAGATTCCCAGACCGTGACGGGCGCGAGTGATTTGGACGCCATCGCCGCCAAGTTGGAGGTAACCGACCCTGGGGCCGGCGACCCGCTCAGCCAGGGCAAGCAGACTTCTGCCGCAGAGGCCAAGGCCAAGGCCGTCAAAGGCAAGACGGCCGTGCGCGACGCCGTCAAAGTCCGATGCCGCCTCAGCGACCGCGGAAGCCCAGAGTGCGATGTCACGGTTGTGCTGGGCCGGAGCGAGAGGGTGGCTCTGTTGTCTGACAGAGTTGGCGTTGAGAGAGATGTATGCCAGCCCTATGAGTGTCCTTGCGTTCTGCCATGCCCCATCTGGCTGACTTTGTTTGTCGCAGATCCCCAGCAGAGCGAGACTCCGATTCGCGTATCTAGGCAAGATGTTGGACGCCACCAAGACCCTGGAGGAACAAGGCTTCAGAGAAGGCGACGTCATCCAGGTCTTGGTGGTAGGCAACTGGAAATGACGGCCTAAGAGTATCTCAGTGCCAAAGTCCAAGTCGGGCTTCAAGGGAATAGTCCTTGAGCAAGATGGAGTCTGGGTAATCGGCAGGCGGGAAGTGGCCGAGGGCGTGGATATCCCATTTCTCAGCCCGCAATGTTTCATGTTCAGATACCCTGGGTACGCATTGTGTATATCTAATTTAAGATGTACAAAGGATCCCGACGGCGTTATGGTCAGGGGAGGAACCCCGAATCGAAAGGGCAGAGGGGATGGATCTGTGCGACAGGGAGAGACTCTTACGAGTCGTTCCCGTCCACGGACACGAGCCCAGGTTTCATGACACGTTCGTAATGTCCACTCAGCTTCAACCTGGCCCTACTGTGAGACCACGTTCTTTCTGCAAGTTCAGCTTTCCTCCCGGGCATTTGGTTCACGTCCACTTTACGGACATCGCCATGGTACATACTTTTGCCTTAAAAAACAGGTGCGCGCTGGCCTCGCACGGCAGTCCACCGCTTTGATCTACTGCCTCTGGAACGCTGTGATCTCCATCTCCTGCCTCGGACGACTTGAGAGCTACCAGCTTTCTCTCAACCCGAATGTCCCTCCAGGCCAACCCCTAGGCGAAGGCGGAGTCGCAACACTAGCAGCGGCGCTGGCGTACACAAAGCGGCCAAGGCCGCTGATGACTGGAACCAGCTCACTCTTTGAAGATATCAGAGGGACCATGGGTTGGGGATGGACTGCGGGTGTATGCCAAAGGATGCAAAGTGGAAACCTGGAAAGAATGGAGCAAATATTGGGCTCGTTCATGTGGATGGCGTTGCTCGGCGAACATCTATGGAAGGCAGATACATAAATGCGTCACTACATCTGGGTAAAGACGAACACCTCAAACAAAGCCTTGCTTCTGCTCCTGCAGCAGCATGTAGAGGGTCTGGACGATCGCGGTGTCTGCCATGCGAGATGCCAGCCGAATTCTCATCGCCCGCTCACTGTTCGGTCACTGTGGCATTTGTTGGTGATCGTCTTAGCCGACCTAGTATACCACTAAATCACTAAAATGCTGGTTAAGGAAGAATGCGTGCTCCAATTGGTCGAATGTCGCACTAAAGTAATCGGATTGTGATTCTACTAAGACTGATCCCATCCAATTTTGCGTGCCTCATTTCACATTCGACTCACCTTTCATTGACCAAGTGAGCAGGCATCGCGATTCTGACTAGTCTGCCCACCTTGGCTTGTGCTGCCTTTCTTCTGCTTTCCTGTTTAATATGCCTTCATCAACATTGAAGCCATGTCCACCTCCACCATCCGCTCTCTCTACACTCATCACCAGCTCAGGAGCCAAATGCGCCTCCGAATCACTGGCAATCTCTATCTTGCATAACCTCCGGTATCAACATAACTGGACAGAGCTCAAATTACACCTGGTGTACGTGAACCAAGTGTATCATCCCTCCCGGGACCCGAGCTTGGAGGCTGCACTTGTAGACCTGCCGGGTCTCAATTTCCATCACTCCAACTCATCTTCGAGGACCGCTTCTCCCGCACGGTCAGGGTCGAGCTCCGGATCAGCGACGCCCACTTTAGACGGCACATCTCCATCAATTGGCGCCTCAACTTTACAATCTCTGTCGGGCTCCATCCCTCTGATTTCCGGCCTGCCTCCACAGCACAGCTACATCCACCCAGACCTTCAGACGTATCTGATCAAGCACACTGTCCAAGAAACCGAGCTGCCGGTTCAGCGCGAGTTTGTGCTTCCATTGGCGCTGGGAGAGAAATGGACGCTAAATAGATTTTGTTCCGTTTTTGACGCCTTACCCGAGCGAGAGGCTGTCCGCGTCGAGCGTCCGTCGAGCAGGGGCAACACCACTGCCCAATACAACGGCAGAGCTAGGGTCGCCGGACCCGGCGACGTCTACGAGCACACAGACCAAAAACGAGTCCTTCTCGGTATGCGGGCGAACGAAGGAATGGGCGGCGATGGCACCGTGGTATACTATATCATGCAGGAAGGGGAGGTCAAGCCTAGGCAGAACGGATGAAAGGGCTGGAACCAGATCTCGGTGCCAGAATGGAAATTTACGAAGCTGCGTTATATGATGCCATGATATGATGGCCACAACTGGTTTGTCGACTGGGCTTCCACGGATGGGACGACGGCACGGAAGAGCCGTCAAACGGCCTTTAAGATCGAGGTCGCAAGAGTGGCTGCGCAAAGCGTGCTCTAAGTGGCGTTCGACGGTCCTGCGCATGCACGGTAAGCCACCTCGAGAGCCTCCGGTACATCCCAGCTCAATAACTCCGTGATACGGGATCAGGCGAGTCTTGCAGGACTTCGTCACTCGGATACTCCATCTTCGTCCTTGTCTCGAACCGAGCGGGCCTATCTTCAGCGGGTAACTACTGTGGTGTTGGATGCACTTTCAACTCCAGTGACGCCTTCCACACAAGGACTATATCAACATCGACGGTGCCAAATCAGTACCGCATTCGCGCATATGGCAACCGTTGGCTAAAGCCTTATGCATTGGCAGCTGTCGAGTATTTACCCTTGATCTTGACAGCATCAGAAATGCGTGACTGTTTCTCAGGCTATCTCACCAACTTCACGGCGACCAGTATCCTGTGTACCTCTTGCAACACCTTCTCCAATCGTCTACCAAGCATTTGAGGCCATAAGCTATGCCTGAAGACCAGGGGTTGCAGACTGCCCTTTAGAGGTGAAAGGCTGCCCCCTTATTGTACGATCACGGCTGCCTTATCTCAATCGTGCGCAAATTATAGAGGACCCGGACCACGATCCACTCACACTCGCACCATAACTGGACTGGATTTTGGACCGCGATGCCTGCACGACCGCCCGTCGGTGGAGGTGCTAGGGTCCGAATATTCCATACGCCCCTTTGCGGCTGAACGCCGCGGACACGACCAGACATTCCGCGGGCTATTCCCTCAGAGCGGCCACGAACGGGGACGAACGAAAAGGCAGTATAATGAAGCTCAGGAGAAATTTCTGGAAAAGATCATTGGCGTCGTCGCACACATTTTGTGTCGGAGTGTTTGAGCAGGAGAGCAGGACTGCAGCGCTGGGGATTTTTACAGAGATACAGTACGTAGGTAGGTCGACTTCAAAATTATCATCACCATCGCCATTGCCATCACCATCGCCATCAATAGAACATAAGACCAGATAGTACTGTAAGTGCACCGCAGCACTGCCGGCCCAACTTCTCCGACATGCATGTCCAGACTGACAGACAGACCAACCTGGCAGGCGTGGCTGGATACTGGACTGTAGCTGAATTAGTGGTCAATCCTGCCACGGACACGGACACCATTAGGACTAAGCACTGAATCTTCCATCACGGAGTACTTATATCCGCCCAGATACAGTGATGTACTTACCACACGTCACACCACCTACGCACATAATCCCCATTCTCTAGAGAAATATTTCGTCCGAGGCCGTAAAGAAAGGGGGGGGGTTAGGGGGGGTTAACCTAAGTACTATGTATCCATGTCGATTGATGGGTACCTAGGTAGGTTCCGGTGTCTGGGATGCTGTATATACCCGTGGACAGTAGAAGGGTACTCCTTACTGAAGTCACTCACTCACTCGGGCTTCTGCAGCGTATAGAGCGAACGCATTGTTGGTATACAACTCCGCCACGCGGCCCTCTGGGATGGAGGCAATCCAATTGGTGACTATTATAGTTATGCGCGAGAAGACGCTTCCAAACACACACAACCCGGCTGATGGACACAGATTAGGGATACCGGATTGCACTTCCTCCCTTCCCTGGTAGCAGGTGGCAGGATGGCTTCCACAACAACGATTATGCTTTCGCCCCTCCAACACAGTCTCTACCATAACGAACCTTATGGGAGGAAAATCGCCATATCGTTAATGGCGAGTGAACCATTCATGTCCCTTCAACTTTTCGGAATGGACGATTTTGTGAGTGTCCCCGTGTCTGAAATGCCGATGGTGCTCGTGCTTTTCCAATTTCTTTGCTTCCTTGGCATCATCCTTCGCTTTCCTCTCCTGATAATCCTCCACAGACTCCAGGACGTCGTATTCCTGCACGGGGATGCCCTCGATTTTCTTCACGCGCACGCCTTCCCGGAAGGCGACGAGTCCAGCGAAGATGGCGACCAAGCAGCCTAGGGTAATCCAGACGCCGGTGCCCCAGGTGGGTCGATCGAACCGGTTCCAATTCCACATCCATACGCAGAGCAGGACTTGGAAGATGGTGTTCCAGATGTACAGCCAGATAACGGCATCGAGGGTCCACGATCGACTAGGGGGAGCCCGAATTCCCGTAAGGGGCGGCTCGGGCATGGACGTGGCGGGGAGCGGAATCGCAGGGTTTTCCTCTAGTTTTGTGATCTCTTCGGCTGTATATGGTGGTGGAGCTTCGGCTGTTGTGGTCGCCGGGTGCTTTTTCGGTTGCGCTGGGGGAGGCCCGACGTGTTCTTCTAGTTTGTCCGAGCCGGGGAGTCGGTACCAACCTCGATAGATACCCGCCAATTTCCGGTGATAGGCTTGATTGCCCCCGAGGCGCCAGCGCATGAGGTAGTAGAAATCTCTGCCTCGCCAGGGCAGTAAACCAAAGGCTGTCACGCAGAACAGACCGTTCAACACTTGCGAGTCGATTTCGATCCACTTCTGCCGGGCACTACTGTCGTCTTCACACGAAGGATGGCACATGGCAGGTGCAGCTTTGAGCAGAACGAAGAAGATCATTGCGCCCCAGCCGACCACGTTGAGACCGTAGATGGTGACGATGACACCGAACGGCGTCTTGAGGAATTGCCAGTAGGCTTTGAGACCGATGTTGATGGATTGGGTCCAGGTGTGCTTCTTCGGGAAGCGGTAGCCGTTCGGGTACGTGCCTGTCTCGTCCGGGCCACTTGCGACGGGTACTACTTGCGGCCCGCTGGTTGCGATTGAGTGTGGTACGGACTCGCCTCTCCTCGAACTCGAATCCGTTTTTTCTGAGCTAGATGTATGAGATAAGCATGGGCTGGGGTTTAAAGATGGCAATCAAGCGGTCACTGACATTGAGGGTTTCCGTGTCTTCGAAAGTCTCTTGGTGGAAGGACTTCGTTCCGAGAATCGAGGCGTCCCAGGATAACTGTCCGTGCTAGGTACAACCTGGTGTCAGCGAGTTACAGCAAAGCGTCACTCGTCGCGAGGACCACTCACCCATCGAGTCGGCCAATCTCTTCTGCTACAGCATGACGAGGTTCCGATGGTTGTGTTGAAGATTCCTCCTCAAACAGTGGCGCCGCCTGCACCGTCGCTGGGGCTCTTTTTGGGAAGTATTCATGTGTTTCTTCGGCAATCACAGCAGGTGCATTGGCGGAAACCGAACTCTTCCTCGTCCTGGTACTCGCAGAGCTGGTTCTGGCGACTCTTCGTGCGTGGATCTCATGCGGGTTCGTCCCTCGATGCTCCATCTGGCCCTCATGTGTCCATCCCTCATCGGCAAAGGCACCGTTCCTAATTTCTGGCAGCGTAGGGATCTTGGAGCCAATTTCGGCCGTGGCCTGCCACATGCCCAGGGGAGGATTGCTCTCGAGAAAGGACTTGCTCAGGGAGCCTGTTCGGGCGCGGGTTCGCAGGGACGAGACTGCCTGAGACGGGGTTTTGGAGAGGCGGGAGGTGATCGAGGGTCGTCGACTTGGGTCCCTTGTGCTGTCGACAGGCTTCTCGCTGGCCTCGTCATTGTCGGGGGTATACGAGGGAAAGGGTTCGGTTTTGGACAGTCTTCGCGCCGACGCCATTGTGGCTCGAGAGGGTCAATTGCCACTGCTGTCAAAAAGTGGCCTGAGACTGGTACGCAGCCAGACCGAAATGAGGTGGTCGGGCTCTCTCGAGTATTTTATGTCCTCTTAGCCTAACAGACAAACAATATCATAGAACGTAGTAACTGGTAGACAAGGAGGCAACCCGGCAAGGAACGATGCTTCATTTTATTGATGGAGCTGAGACGGTTGTGGCAGCCTTTATTAGAGGGCGCATCAAGCTGGACATGTCGCATTTTGGTGGTTGGAGACAACGCCCCAGTCGCCGCCGCCCAGCGACAGGGACCCAGACGGGCATCGGCAGGGTTTCCACTTGACATCCAATGGGCATCTTTTCCAACCCCGAAGTGTCACAGATGGATCTTTCTTAGCAGCATCCATCTCCACCGCGGCCCACCCTATCGACCTGGAGATGCTGAGCTGAGCAACAACTTCCATCCCTTTAAGGTAAACGCCATGAAGAAGGCCGACTTAGTCATACGAGTACGTGCGTCTTCGCCATGGCTTTGCTCAACCCATCCAATCGTCTCCACCCAGTTATGCAGCTCGCTCAGCATTCTGCATCAAAGGGGCTAGGTTTTCCTTGGACGCAACCAACTAACGCTCACAAGACTCCCTCGGGTTCGGTCTCGAGCCGCAACGTTGAGGGTTGGCGCGTATGAAACATGCCTGGTTGTCATTCTTACCACAGCCGTGAAGGCGTCTTGATCCGTTTGTCACTGCGGAGCAGAACTTGAATCGTACGAGGTTCTTTTAGAATATGATTTTCCTGCACTACTCTCTCGGTTAAGCCTCGAACTTTACGCTACCTGCACGTTCAGTGTTAAAGAATATGAATTGACAACCTGTGCTGGGGTCATACAGCTATTGTACAACTGGCTCAAAAGCCCTCCGTCCAACGCATGCATCTCGATGTTCACCTCACTGTCTCATCACTCCTCAAGACATTGCCCTTCAAATAGCTCGTCCGTGAGCATCGGTTTTGGTGCCAGGGTCCAGCTTGTTCAATAGAGTGCTGTCATGAACTCTCTTGCTTTCTGTGAACGCGCTCGTCCCGTGCCCAGGCACGCCAGACCCTGCGCCGGTTGACATTGTGCCAGAGGTACCCTGAGTTCCGTACCCAGCAACGTGAGAAGTAGGGTCATTTCGGTGGTCTCGGTCGGAGCTGTGGTCGCAGTCAGCATTTCGAACCATGCGTTGGCAAAAATGAGCACCTACTCAACACGTGGATCAGCCTTGTTCGCGATATTTGAGTTATGTGGGCCCGACGTGGAAGTTGATGTGGTGCCGTGGCCTGTCGTGCCGTGACCTGCTGTGCTATAGCCTGATGTGCCGTGACCTGCCGTGCCATGACCTGCTGTGCCGTAGCCTGATGTGCCACTACCGTATCCTGGCACATTGGAATTGGGGTTGGCTCTGTGATCAAAATCGGAATCCACGCGAGGGTCGACCTTGTTCATCATATTGGAAGAGTGTGGCCCGGCAGTGGCTGTCGACGAGGTAGTACTACCGTGTCCTGGCACTGCGGAGTGTGGGTTGGCTCGGTGATCATAGTCTGAATCAACGCGAGGGTCGGCTTTGTTCATCATGTTGGAAGAATGCGGCCCGGTAGTGGCTGTCGACGAGGTAGGGCTACCCTGTCCTGGCACTGCGGTGTGTGGGTTGGCTCGATGGTCAAGGTCCGAGCTGTGGTTGCGGTTAGCATCAAATCCATTATCTTCCTTGGTGAGGACTCACTCGACGCGAGGGTCGGCTCTGTTCATCAGGTTAGAAGAATGTGGCCCGCCCGTGGTCTTGTGGTGCGTAGGAGCAGTATGGCTCGGTCCCGTTGTCGTGCCGACAGTTGGATCTAGCGTGTTGGCTGCGGCGGAATGGTGAGGGCCAGTAGTGCCATGAGCCGAGGAAGTTGTTGTGGTATCATGATGAGTCTTGCCGCCGGTGAGGACGTCCTTTGCCTTGTTGACGAGGTTCGCCATGTTGAATGCAAGCAGGGATTGAAGTAGTGTGATAGGGTTCTGGGGTCAATCAGAATGAGTATTTATCGAAGCTGTAAAGATGTCGGGTGACTGATGCAGTAGATATGAGAAAGAGAAGAGGTGGATAGAAGAGAGAGGTGATAGGTCGGTTATAACTCTGAAGCGGCTGCTGTTTGCACCTTCCAGTCACCATGCTCTTGCCCTTGGTAACCTCCTCCTGCGGCGAACGGAAGTAGCCAGGTTGCGTCATTCTGGCTTCTAGAAGTCTGATGAGGCCCAAATGGCGACATCACATATACGCGTTACTGGGTTACGAGTAATGGCCTATCCTCGTATTAGCTCACCTGGCCAGCGATATTCATCAGATCGAGCTTCAAACCAACCTCTAGCCTTACAAGATGTGTGGCTGAACCCTTGTGATTGGCTCTTTGGAAACTGCAGCCACAGCCGGATTGTCCAGTCGCGTCATTGGCACGTCATAGTTTTCGCAGCTTGACGAAAGTGGGAACCAGCTGTGGCGTTAAACTCTCCCACTGGCCCTGGCTGGACCCTCGTTTGCATTTTGGTGCCAAGTCTGGGGCATGGCAACCAGCTTACGACGAGCCAAGAAATGGGTTCTGCTTAGGCAGTCGGCTCGCAGCGTTCGCCAATCGTGCTGGCAATGAAAATCCACAACGTGGACAGAGAAAGGCGGTTCATCCAGTCGGCCTTGCGGGCTCAAATCTCCTGTCACGCTGCTCCTCCGTTCACGACATACTTCGTCACAGACTGTTTGAGAACTTGGATCTCATGTTGTGTCTTGACAAACACTTCGCGGTATTGGTCCAAACTCTCTTGCACGACTTCAGTCCGAGTTTTCCGGCCTTCGCAGATCGCCTTCATCTTGACCTCCATCTCTTTGCGCAAAAATGGCTTGCTGACACTGACGTCGAGCCCCACACTGTCATACCCTTCGATCAAGGCGACGCCAAGGGTGGTAGGAATGAATTCTTGGACCGAGTTACGACCACCACCGGACCGGGGCCGCGTAGAGACATAGCATCGATCTTTGATCTTCTGAATGTGCTCGGCCATGGTTGCGTCAGTCCCGATACCGTTGGCGTCCATAAGAGCGATCAGTTCGGGCTCGGTGAGATAACCGGGCGCCGTAGTCTTACCGTCTACCATGTTTGCTTCTGTTGGTTCGAAGGTCTCCCCAAGAGTATAGTCCGGGAGTTGCTGACTGCTCTCCCACTTGTCATATACGTAGACGTCAAGGTAGTTTCTTTCCAGGACGAGGAGGCCGTGAGTACGGAAAGTCTCATGCCCCCAAAGTATTTCAATGTCGGTAGTTTGTCCTTTGGCATCTTCTGAGCAACAAGCCAGGAATCTTCTGCACACGAACTCATACACTTTCTTTTCCTGGTCATCGAGCACGTTAAGGGCTGCAAAGTTGACCGGGTGAATCGGCGGATGAGCTTGATCATTATGACGACCGGAGCGTGGAGATCTGAAACCACCATTGACTAAGTGTTGCGCAAACTGTGCCCATGGGTTGCCCTGTGTCTGTCTCTGGATGATGGCGTTGAAGTCGAACCCCTGGGGAAACTGGTCTGTTTCCGTACGAGGATAGCTGATGAAACCTTTCTGGTAAAGCTTCTCTGCAACCGTCATAACTTGTTGACTGGAAAGACGCAGAAATCGACTGCCCTGCATCTGAAGCTCGACCGTGGTAAGAGGTAACGGTCTCCATTTTGAGGTAGGCTTCTTCTGCACTTTCGTCACCTTGGCGATTTTCGAGTCAAGACACGCCTCGAAAATAATGGTAACGGCGGCTCGATCGAAGAGATGGACTCTTTGCCAGCTGAAGTTGACCTTGATCCTGTCACGGACATGAATCAACTTGATTAACCAAAAGGTCTCTGGCTTGAAGCTCCTGACGCGATTGTACCGGTCGACAACAAATCCCAGGGTCGGAAACTGACACGAGCCATAAGATATGACCTGATCCTGAAGTTTATCACTCAGTGGCTGAAGCTCGAGACTTTGGAGCCTCGTGAAGGAAGAGCCTATCCGTAGGTCGAGCTCGATTCTGGCGGCAACAGCACTCACTTGCCGCTCGTCCATATCAATCGGGGAATGAGCGGCAAGAACAATATGACTATGAAAATTAGTCGCAAACAAGCAAGATGTATCAAGCACTCACGCCTTTTCAGTGTTGTTGAACCTGGCTCGCTTGACGATGATGCGAGGGTTTCCTTTCTTGGCTTGGTCGCGTACTTCGCCGCCAATGTGCTCCCCTTCGCGATCGCAATCTGTCCAAATATACAAGATCTTTGCATAGCGAGCTAGCTGCTGAATGTTTTCGGCGACGGATTTCTTGCCAGTGTCGATAGTGACTTCGGTCTCGGCCTCGAACAGCTGGCTTGGAGGACATGACCTCCAATTTTTATACTTCTTGTCGAAGTCCAAGCCAGTCAAATGGCCCAAGACGCTGGTCATCGTAACCGAGCAATTGCCCCACGGTCGGAAATTGAAGTCAAACTCATAGTTCTTCACATACACGTTACCACGGACCGGTTTCTGTAGAGACGTCAATGACCATCCGCACCGTAAGAACCTACGACTACTCACAGTGGTTACTCGACCGCCAGCCAGATGATGAGCGACTGCTTTGGCAATAGCGGGTTTCTCTGCAACGCAGAGGATTTTTGTGACAGGCATGGCTCATCATGAATGAACGTCATATTTGGTGAGGACGCCGGCGGGGAGGACAGACCACGGTCGACACAGTCGGAATGTCGACAGTGAGAGCGGCATCAAGCAACGCGTCTCGCAACACGCATGAACACGCCCACACGCGGCGCAGTAATCCTCCGTATTTTCGCCACAAACTGTGTGGCTAACACTGCGGGGTTCGCCAGATCGGGTTCCTGCAGCGTGGCGCCACTGCGAGATCTTCGGCTGCTGGAGAGGTAATCATTGCGTCATTACATTATAGCAGGTGCTTCGCGCAAGTTCGCTCCAGTACCCTTTTATTAACGCGACCCAGCCTTTCGCGCCGGTGTGTCTGGCTGTCAAACACTCCATCCCACTATTCAGCGCTTCAAGATGGCGCTACCGATTGTACAGAGCCTGAAACAGTGCGCCGACTACGATATTACAGTTTCGCCATTCCTTTACCAGTTTGCAACTCTACCGGAAGCCTTCTTCACCTCGGCGAACAAATCTGCTGCCTTGAAACAATTGTATCTAGACACGAATCCTCTGATAACCTCTGTCGGCTTCGCGTTTGCCTTGGCGCCAGTGTTCTTGGTCGTCTCGGAGGTCAACAAGAACTATTCACAGGTCGACCGCGTCTGGTCCATCTTGCCGACTATCTACAATCTGCATTACGCTGTGTACTCTCACCTAGCACGCGTGCATACTGCACGACTGGACGCTTTGTTGGTTATCAGCGCCCTATGGAGTGTAAGGATGTTACTTGATATCCTGACTGGCCAGCCGCTAACCATCAATCCAGTCCCGCCTAACTTACAACTACTTCCGCAAAGGAGGCTACTCAATCGGGAGCGAGGATTATCGTTGGGCCATCGTCAAGGAATATGTCGGACCCACCTTGATGTTCCTCTTCAATGTGGTCTTCATTTCGCTTGCCCAGTCTCTGTTGCTTGTTAGCATCACAACGCCCGCATACCTCCTCCTGCTCACCGAACGACTGGCAACTTATGACGGGCCCATCAAGTCATGGAACTTGGTGGACACTGCTGCATCTGGGGTAATGCTGCTGCTTATCGCCATTTCATTCGTGGCCGATCAACAGCAATGGGATTACCACCAGGCCAAAGCACAGTACCAGAGAACGGCCAGAGTACCTCATGGCTGGCGGCGGGCGGAGCTGGACCGCGGTTTTCTCACAAATGGGCTGTTTGCCTATTCCAGGCATCCCAACTTCGCAGCAGAACAAGGTGTCTGGGTCACGCTCTATCTGTGGTCGTGTCTGGCTACAGAAACGGCGTACAACTGGAGTGGGCTAGGAGCGGCAGCCTATCTAATGCTTTTTCAGTCAAGTACGTGGCTGACCGAACTGTTGTCTGCGCGCAAGTACCCGGAGTACAAAGACTACCAGACACAAGTTGGAAAGTTTCTGCCTATACCTGGCTATACACACCCAACTTTCCATCACCACCACACGCAGCACGCAAATGGCTCTGCAGCAAAGGAAGAGGATGCGACGAAGGCCAGGCAGAGATATGACTTGAGATGAATATAGATCAAGGTCGCCCGCAAGAGTCGTTGACGCATTTGACGGTTCAGGTCGGTCTGTGGCCATCTCTGTGGTGCATTGATATGCCGCTTTATCAGACCGGAATTGGGCAACGAATTGAGGTAGATCTGAGACAAGGGCCGAAAAGAGATGGTTGAGGATATCTACATCTAGCATTCCGAGCAGTTTTTAGATCTCCAGCATTTCCGAAGGTCCCACTGCCAAACCACTCCGTCAGGTTAAGCACAGCTTCTTCAGCCTGGAGCTCGGAGAGCTTCCTGTGCGAAAGAGCAGACGCGGGCTTCAGCATGCGTCTACTGGGCGTGACCGCCTGGGAAGTCGGTCGTAGAGAGACTTCTGAATGCAGCTCCGTGCAGCTCGAGCCTTACATAAAGTAAGACAGATTGAGCAACGGATGAAGTGAATGTGCGTGTTCTTGGCGGTCGTCGCAGCCCCGCTGGATAGTCCTCAGTTCAACGGGCCCATCCGTGTTTATGATGAGCACGACTTTTCCTCCTCTTCGCAAATGTGGTTCTTGTACCTGCTCATGAGCCCGCGCGTGCAGTCGCAAGACCCCTGCAATCGGCTCTCGATGATGTATTGCATTTCATTGGGCGTAGTGGCCACGTCCAGATCGCCATCGTCATCGGGCTGCTTTGCGAATCGGAGATGCAGCAAGCGACTGACAAGTGACAGCTCAGACCACCGCAAGCTCATCATCACCTTTCGTCCGGCCTCGAATCTACGCGATGTACCGTACGAACCACCAGCATGAGTGTTCGCCTGTACCGACTTCTAAAGTGTCCGTCTCTTGGTTCAGGGAGTGACTTCGACCTGATCATCTCTATGTCTACTGAGGACTTCACATATTCTCCTGCCACACCTGCTTCGGCGTCATGGATTTGGAGAGAATAAAGCAAAATCTCCGACTACGTTCTGGCCGATCAAAGAAGACTCACAAGCAACCCGTTGTCCGATCGAACGCCATCCCTCATGTTGATGAAGTGAATCAGAAGAACAACTCCAATGGTGGGGCTCGCAAGTCTAGCGGACCAGCGAGGCACCCTGCAGCTGGTGTCGACCAGCAATCGATCCCAGGTACTAGCAAAAATTCCGAGACACCTCAATCTACCTCTAGTGGCGCGGCGAATGTGGCAAAACATCGACCGCCTCTCATGCATGCCTCGACATCGTCAAACCTGAAACCATTGGTAGAAGCCCAGCCACAGCGTTTTGGAAAGTCCGGAATGGAACGTCCTCGCCAAGGTCCTGTCAATGAGCCAGCGATCACACGCACCATGTCTGAGAATGACACTGGAACCGGACTGCTGGACGAGGATTCCTCGTCTACCTTGGATTTCGACCTACGGGCTCCTCCCCCGCGCCCAAAGCCACCTTCAATCGAGACGCTTTCGGAGTCTCTGTTCTCAACGGGTCATCTCAATACCCTCTTACGCGACGCCCATCATCTGGCACGGTTTACGTCGTTTCTGACGAAATACCGGCCACAGTACCATCCGGTTCTTCTCCGCTACTTGGAAACTCAAAAGGCCATAAAGGCTGTCGAGTATGCGAACGCTGTTGCCGAAGGTGTCCCTCTGTCTTCGGACAATGATATAGAAGGCTCATCGATTCCTCGGGCTTATGTCGCGGCAACGCTGGACAAAGTATTTGAGGAGGCGAGCACTGCTGCCTTTCGACTTATGCTAGATTCTGCCCTCCCAATGTACATCACCTACAACCTAGTGAAGGTGGTATCGGAATGCCTCGTCAATGAGATTACAGGAAGACAGACGCCTCTGATGCGGGATCTGGTCGGAGGCTTGTCCGAAGTCTTTTGCCTTTCTGACCCCAAGCAGGAGGACAATCCAATCATCTATGCCAGCGAAGAGTTCTATCGGTACACGGGCTACGGTCCGGATGATGTCATTGGGCGCAACTGTCGCTTTCTCCAAGGGTCAAAGACCAAAAGAGAGTCCGTGGCACGACTGCGGGAAACCATTGGCAAAGGCGAAGACCTTTGCGAGACGCTATTGAACTATCGGAGAGATGGCAGGCCGTTTATAAATTTACTGATGATTGCCCCACTTCACGACGATAAAGGGAACGTGAAATATCACATTGGCGCTCAGGTCGACGTCACAGGTCTGGTCGCGCGCGGGAAGGGGCTCGATGGGTTCGAGCAATACATGTTCAGTAGCGAGATGAAGCGACGTGAAAGAGAGGCTCGCGGCAAAAACCGAGAAACAGACGAGGATGTCCGAAAACCCAGGGCTCTGGCCAAGTTGAGAGAACTGAGTGAGATGTTCGATCTAGAGGAGTCGGCGGTGGTACGCTCCCACAGTCGATCAGCGTCAGCGTCAGGGGATGAAGACGAACGCAGTATCGGCAGCAGCCGTAGAGGTGGACGGAGGGTTCTTGCCGACTCCGATCTTTCCTCCGACAACGACGACGAAGATGTTGCCGACAACGCAGACAAGACATGGAAGCTCGGACAGTCGGGACGATCAGGCTTGTCAGGGAGGCTGCCAGGCGTCTACGAAAGCTATCTGCTGGTCAGGCCAGCACCTTCACTTCGTATAATCTTTGTCTCGCCCAAGCTTCGCGGCAGGCTGGGTAATGTCATCCAGCATCCCATTCTCTCGCACCTAGCTGCTTCCGCCAACACGCTAAGCGGCCTAAAGGAGAGCTTCGGAAATGGGGTGCCTGTGTCTGCGAAAGTCAATTTCCTGCTAGAAGCCGGCAGTCGACGAGATGGGACGGCAACGCGGGTCGGGACCAGACTGGAAGACGCAGGGCATGGACGAGTTTGCTGGATTTCCGCGACACCGTTGCTCGGCAGTGACGACAAGATCGGTGTATGGATCATCGTGGTCGTCGAGAAGACAAAAGTACCGACGAAGCCACAAAAGGAGATCCTGACGAGGTCAGAGGCAAACCAATTGCCACAGCAATCCGAATCGAATCATGCGCGAATGGATCCGAAAGGCGCGAAGCCATCACTTCAGCAACAAGGCTCCCGCGCCTCGAGCAGTCCACCAAAGCAAAATCGCGAAAACCACAACCCTCCCATCAAGCCGAAAAGACTCCAAGACACGCCAGGACCTGCTCATGATTCGCGACCACCGTCCGCTCACCCTGAACAGGCACAACGAGAGGAACGAACAGAGGACTCGAAAAATCACAATCCCTCGCAAGTCTCGGCTGAGTACGAAACACTCGTCTTGCAAGAAGGTGGAGAAGAAACCAGTGTTGCCCTTCCCAATTCCACCAACAACAGCCAGACCGGAGTTCAAAATGACACCGATGTCGATATACCCACGACCGGGACAATACCACCAGCCCCAGACAGGTCAAGCGGCCCTGATATCGACGAGGGCAACGACGATGATAAAGAAGAGTCTTCAGACACAGCTGTCGTCATCAACCGTGAGCAGTCAACCCCAGATGAAACCTCCCAAAAAGGTAGGATCAAGCTCCAATCACCGGACGATGATGATCTCGATCAGAGTTCCAACACTCCTCACAGCCCCACAAACCACGAAGATATTGGAACCAACCACATGCTCGAGGAATCCTCTGAGGGTACTGCTTCTCCACCACGGCCTGGAGCGGGCAGCAAGGATACAGGTGCAAGACGAAGCCAAAGTTACATGGACTATCTTCGTCATCCCGGCAGCAGACCTTCGGGCGAATATAATCGCGCGGTGTCTGGAAGCTTTCTCTCAGCTAGGTATGACTCGAAGGGCGAAGACCAAGGTGATGGAGACGATTTCAATGGTCTCGAGTGCATAAGATCGCCCTACAGCGTTGATTAATTGTTGGAGGTGGGCTGGTAATTGTTATAGGTCCATATGAAAGCGCGCGTATTCAGGAATATGGTGTGCCTGCACTTTGTTTAGCGTTAGAATCAGCCACTTGCTTCAGAGAGCCTTATGGAAGAGAGGATAGCCGAGATGTACAGAGTACTCCGTACAGTGCCTTCTACTCCGTGGATGTACTCCGTACAACTAGACGCAGATTGGCTCTTATCGGCTAGAGGTAGGGGTTAACTCGCTCTAACCTATTTAGGAAACCAAGCCTTGGCGCGCTATCATTGGCTCTGTGGTCACCAACTTTTTTCTGCGGGCTTCTCGCCTCGTGTTTTCCAGACAGCATCTGATGTTTGCATCCAGCAAGTCTCCCTTGAGGCGTGACAATGTCTGAACGAATGGAGTCAACAGACCTTCCTAGTGTCAAAGACCTGGCTAGTAGTGGTAGGTGCTTTCCCTTACATGATTATGCTTGTCTTCTTTGGAACACCGGGAGGATTTCTTGTTCACTGGCAAACCATCATCTCCAGTCACTTGAACATCAAGTTTGCTTCATCTAGTCCTGGATTCCAAGTCTCTGTCACAGCAAGCAGCAAATATGCTCGCTGATATGGAGCTCCGTTCAGTTGGCCCCATAACTAACGTGGGACTTTGCCAATTGCTTGATTGCCAAGATCGCAAGATCGAGCGTTACATCGCTTGCAATATGACTGTCTTTGTCCATGTTGTTCTCTGATTGCTGACCCTCCTTTGAAATAGAAGCATCTCTGCGCCGCGCTTGTCTTCAAAATATCATCACTTACCTGCAAGACCGAGACTCCTCAGCACCATTGACGCCAATTGAATGTCTCCAGCTGTGGCGAGGCTTCTACGTTGCACTCTACATGCACGATAGCAAGAATGCATTATCGGTTCAGAAACTCATCGCCGACCTGGCCGGCATAGTCAGGATCATGGACCAAAAGGACCAGCAGCTTGCCCCCGCCATAAACGCTCCAAGCCAGTCCTGGCTAGAAACTTGGATGACGGCCTTCTGGGAAACACTTTGCAGGGAATGGGCTTCTATCGACCAGTGGCGCATGAACAAAGTTCTCTTACTTGTCCGCTTCTTCATCAGAGAACAGTTCGGACTTGCTTTGGAATGGGCTGTCAAGCAAGATCCGAAACTGAAAGATCAAGTGGCCAGGCAACTTCGCGTTCTCGAGGCTTGGCCACTTAGTCCTCGCGAACGCAGAGTTCCAGATGGCTTGAGACTGCATGTCCTGGATGTGTGGACAGAAGAACTGGCCGGGCAACTCAGTGCAGCCCAGAAAGCACTCGACGAGGATGCGGAGAACAGTGACCCTGAAAGCAAGAAGAGTATCCTTTTGAGCTTGGCGCAAGAGTTCATGGAGCCAGTACGAAAAATCAGCCGGGAAGCGATTAGCAAAGGCGTGAAGATCAGAGCCAAGGAGGCTGTCAAACTGGCCGAGGAGCAGTTATCGGGATGAGCAGCGGACATCAAGCACAAATGCACTCTTTCACAGCACCGTGGTCAGGACGTCACTGTTCGGACAGTCAGAACTGCCAGGAATTCACCAGCTATCGACATTCACAAGACCATTGACCGTGAATTCCAGCAAACGACATAAATATATTTCATCAAGAGAAGTTTTGCAGTGAGGATCATGCTTCGGTGTCTAAGTCATGCCTATGCTCCCGGCAATATACAAGAACAGCATTCAACCGCTTTTCACGAAGCCGGAGTGACAACAAGAAGACCATGTCCCGCTACCGATAACCAGCACCTCAAATTCACTGCACTGTCGGCCACGAGAACAACTTAATTTGGAGATAGCGTCAGTGACAACATGCCAGCTTCACTGTCGATATGAGATATGATGTATATCTGCGGTCTGCCTCCAGACTATAAAGAGAGCTGAGCTTCCACATTTCTACCGATCTCGCCATCCCCGACACTCTTGTTTGCGCTCAGACACAGTTCATTACCACGACAATTGCTCCTTAGCTATCTTTATCCGCACACCACGAACATGATGGGCTTCCAGACACTTTTTTGCTCGGCCATACTCGCCTGGACACTTGTGTCGGCGAGGAAATGCCAAAACATCACCATCCCCATCCAGATCTCAGCCCGCAATGGCGCCTTCGATGTGGCAGTGCCTCACTCCGGTATTGAGGTGACTGGCTTCGCTCTCGACTTTGCTCGGCAAGGCTTCAACTACTCGCAGTCGGTTCTCCAAGACTACACCACGGTCACGGGGAGCTACCACATCTCAGCGACCCACTGCTCACCGGACAACGGCCCAAGCAGTGTCCTACAGATCCTCACGCATGGCATCGGCTTTGACAAGAGCTACTGGGATCTCCCGTTCAAGAATTGGAACTACAGCTATGTCGCAACTGCTGTGGATCACTACGGGTATTCGACGCTCGCATGGGATCGTCTGGGCATCGCAAATTCCTCCCACGGCGATCCTCTTGCAGAGATACAAGCCCCACTCACACAAGCCGCTCTCGCCGCCTTGACCGAGCATGCTCGCAACCGCCACCCTCCCGGTGGCCCAGACGGCAGCTCCTCCAAGATCATCCACGTCGGCCACTCCTTTGGGGCCGTGCTGTCCTACGCACTCGCCCGCGACGATCCCTCTGCTAGCGACGGTCTCATCCTCCAAGGCTGGGCTATGGAGAAGCAGTTCTTCCCATACTTCGTCTTCGGCGGCAATTTGATCCCCGTTACCGATCTCACGACTGCCTATGTGCCTGGATACCTTGCCGCTGGGAACCAAGCAGCTTTGCAAACCAACTTCCTTGGCCCAGGCCAGTATGATCCGGACATGGTGGCCTATGCATACGCGAACGGACAACCCGCTGCGATAGGCGAACTGCTGACCATCGGTGGTGCCATGTATGGAGTCAGCAATTTTCCTGGACCCGTCATGGTCATCACCGGTGAACGAGACCTTCCATTCTGCGGTGGCAGTTGCTATGCAGCTGGCGATCCTAACCACCCCAACATCCCGGACATGGCGAGGCAGTTTTTACCCAACGTCAAGGACGTCAACGTCACGATTGTACCTGGTGGTGGACATGGGTTGAACATGGAGTACGGGCACGAGACAGTGTACCGGGCTATGAACGACTTCTTGGGATCGAGTGGGCTAGGTGCGCACAGCAGCAGGCGGGACGCTGTGGAGTAGAGGGTACCGTAGCCAGCATTGCCGGCGTCAAGGCATTTGGGGAAGACAGCTGCTACCAAGGGAGATAGTGACAGCGTGTCGCACTATATCCAGAAGAACAAGTCGTGCAGAACGACCTTTGATTCTAGCTCGCTAGCTAGCTAGCATACTGGAATGACATGAACCAAGTCGCGACAGCAAGAAAGGCAAGAATTGTATATAAGAGTTGTCTCCCGCAGCAGCTTACTTCCAGTAGATAAACGAGCGGTGCGCTCAATGACAATTTTCGATTATCCAAAGCACCAGTTTCTTTCTCGCTCCAGTCTCCGTGTCGACCAAACCCGCGACTTTAGACCTTTCATGTCTCATATGTACTGCATAGCATTCACATCCACGAACCTTGGCCTTTGAGCGAACATTATGCCAGCGAGGACGGAAAATACGGTGGCTTACCTGCCTCTCTGTTGATACAGCCGTAGCCCATAGTCCCAACCACACATAATAGCCTGATGTCAAGTCCTGTACGATGAATCGCATTGAAATGCGATGCACGGAATGTCACTCGGTACAAACGCGCACTCTGTTGCACGTATGCACAGGAGTACGGATTACCAAACCGGGGCTATACATATACATACACACAGTCATACACACTCCGTGTCTGGAGGGAAATTTGCGGCAGAAGCAGCATGATTCCCGTAGAGTTGATATTGTATAGACGCAGAGTACCTGATTAGACTTTACCGGCCCCTACTTACTGTACCTAGGTGCCTAAGTACCTGTAAGTAAGGAATGACCCCCTAAGGCCGACTGGCCGACTAGGCTAGATCGATCGCCATCTCGATCGTACTTTGTACATGTCCGAACACGACCGTTCGCAACCAGACACGATTTCTTTCCCTTTCTATCGTCAGCCTGCGGAGAGATATAATAGTCCACATAGTAAATACGTGCCTACAGTAGGGCCCTTGGTAGCTTGCCCTGTAGATATAGTACTAATAACAGATACAGTACTCGACTGTACTGTACTATACTACCGCTACACTATACTACCGCTATACTGTGCCTCGTACCTACCGTGCCGAGCACGGAGTACGGTAAACCATATATTGTAATGGGGCTAATGAAGTTATGGTTTAGCAAGCCTGCCGTTTCCCTGTACATGTGTACAGAGAAGAAACCTGGCCTTCTGATCGGTGGAGCTTTAGCGCAAGGCTGCGCTTCTTTCCTTTTTGTTTTGCCTTTTTGCTTTTGATAGTTCATGGACACTATAGACAATACACACCACTCAGCTGCAGACTGTCAGGAAGAGGTCGACAGCCCCCTGGGATCGCCCCAAAAAGACTGAGAATCATGGCAATTCATGCCTGGTTCTTGGACCTCTTAGCTTATATGCCTGTCTGAACCCCATTCATGACCACAGACATCGCACCGTTCCTTTGAGATGTAGGGTAGTTGAGTGTGAGAGAGGCAGTGCCTGCCACCGTAGAGAGAGGTATACCCGTCAAGTACCTATAAAGCCTTACCCCGGTTCAACATAATATTTTGGAAACTGTAATTGAGTACAGAGTACTCCGTACATCCCCGACTATATCAATCAATGACAGACAAGTCGCTCGGGTCACTCGATCAAAGGGGGCTAGAAATCACATCACTATACATTTTGTCTCTCGTATCTCGTATGTGACTAAAGCTTTTCAGTACCTACCTATAGATATACCGTCCATGTGTGGTCATAGATCATGACCTCTGCACGTAGAGAGTGCAATTTCCAAGCGTAGGAGCGAACACAACGCATCACAACACATCACATCACATCACAAGACAGGACAGGACAGGACAGGACAGGACAGGACAGGACAGGACAGGACAGGACAGGACAGGACAGGTCGGCCTCTTGCCAAAACAAACCTCAAACCTGCTGGTTTGGCTACCGTAGCTGGGGGCTAATACTCCGTATACCAACATATTCAACACAACGTACAGTAACTCCAGTATAACCACAATCACGCTGGCACAGGCACAAGCACAGGCACAGGAGCTAGACCTGCATAACCTAGAGTACTCCGTACAACACACATTCCCAACATGTCCCGGCGAAAGATGCAGCGTCAAATCACCCATTCTGGTCCATTCCATTCCATGCCACTCCATTCCACTCAGAGATCAGACAATATTCAGAAACTGTCCAGCATTCAGCGTGCAGCGTTCAATTCGAAAAGATGGCCGGTTGCCACCAATTCCCACTTGCCCGGTTGTCCTCCTTTTTCTCGGCATCGTCGTTTCTGTCTGGTTTCTCCTTCTCGGCTTCGTGGTGGTCGCCGGGTTCCGTAGTCCTAGTTGACGACGGGACGGCAGTGTCTAGAGTCATCCCAGAAGACCACACATCAGTACCAGCTCTCATCTCAGGCAGGCGGACCACAAAACAGGCAAGGGAAAGTCCGTAGGATAGGAGAGGATATGCAATTACAATTCATACTATCCTTCCGCCTAACGTCCACCCATCGAAATCAACCGGTTTCGCTCATAGAATCACGAAAAAATGACATACCGAGTCCCCTTTCGCCATCATGTCCCGCTTCAACTTCGATTTCTGGCAGATCGACCTTGGCTGCTGCCTCTGCTGCTTCTCTCGTCCCATCTTTCGGTGGAACGGAAGGCGCGGCCAAAGTTTCTCCATCGGACGGTTGTACCCTTTCATCTTTGCCGCCCTCGAACGGTGTCTCAGGGTCTTGCTCTGAGATGCCTTCTTGTGGAGAAGCGCCATTCGTCTCCGCCGAAGCTGCTGCTGCCGCCGCCGCCGCCGCCGCTTCTTCCGCTCGTTTTCTCTCCAGCTCGGCTGCCCTCGCCTGCTGTCGCTCGTAATTGTCCCTTCTCGCCTGCTCATCTTTCAGCTTTCTTCTGCGTTCGACTTCATCCATCCCCCCGGTCTTCCTAAGCTTGCCCTCTTCCACGAAAGTCTCAACCTCACGCTGGAACTCACCCACTTTTCGACTCTCCAACTCCTTCTGACGTATCTTTTCGGCTCGCTCAATGGCCTCAAGTCGGCTCTCGTGGTTTGGCTGCAAGGCACGGACTTCATCGAGCATCCCGCTCTTCGCTTCGTGCGGGTCGACGTCGGTGTCAAAGGCAAGACTCCTTGAGGGCTGTCGACCACCTCCCCCTGTTTGGATGTTTTGTTGCTTTGTAGCCTCTTCCACAAGCTTGAAGACATTCGTAATATCGTCCAGATCGCCGTCCAGATCGTTCAGCAACTCGTCTTGCTGCGTCAGGTCATCTCGTTCGGTCATGACAATTTGGAGTTCTTGCTCCCAAATCTTGGTCCAGATCGGTTTCTCGCGCTTGACAAAGTCCTTGACCTTGGCGAGTTGCTTGGCGGCGGCGCTGATTTCCTTGCTGATGTCCTCGAGTGCTCGCGGAAGCGGTCTGACTCCTCTACTCACCACGTCCTTACGCAGTTCCTCGACAATGTCGGAGAGATCGTCCACACGGTTGACCAACGCTTCCGAGTCGTCTGACAAGGTCTTCTTTCCTTCGTTGATATGTGCACGGCCCGCATCACCCTTGTACGACGCGTTGGCAGCCTCTGCAGCCACGGCTTTCACATTGGCCGCCTTGGCTTTGATGTCGCTCATAGCCGCACTAAAGTCGGAGGTCATGGTAGAATATGTCTGCCGTAGCACGGCAATTTCCTGACGCAGACTCTGAATCTCCTGCAGGGTCGAGGCCGAGGCAGCTGCTGAGGGCGTAAACTTGCCTTGGGCCAAGGTCGGAGTCCTCGTGGGATGTTGGGCAGGTATGGCTGACATCCTCGCCATCTCTTTGGAAGTCTCCAGCTGCCGGTCGGAGAAGCGTTGCATCAATGTCCCTTGCCCCTCCAACAGTGACCGCACTCCGTCCAAGGTCTTCTGAAGCCCGCCGATGCCTTCGTCAAAGTGCTTCTTGACCTCGTCGAGAGCTTCAACATTGAGCACAAGTACGCAGCGATCTTTGACATCGGAGAGGTCTTCCAGTTCATGTCTGACACCAGAAACAGGATCTTGCACATAGATTTCCGGCAGTTCGGCGCCGTCATGCTGGGTATTCCATGCGAATTTCTCAATGAAGGCTAGTTGCAACCGTGCGATGGTGAGCTCCTCATACCCATCCGCTAGCACAAACTTCTTGATTTTGCTCCTGTACTGCAAGAACAAGGTCAATTCTTTGCCTTGCTGGGGTGAAGAGTCGCTCGCGAGTACTTGCGATTGCTGTGGTGTCACGCCGTCTCGCGGCCTTCGCTGAGCGGCGTCGGGTGTTTTGACAGGGTCTGTCTCCACGGGCGTGGTGTGCTCAGCCGGAGGTGCTGGCGCCAATACTGAGTCGAGAGAGACGGTTTCCTGCAATTCCTCGGGGGGTGGACTGAGCGGCCCATTCACAGTTGCGCCCACTAGTGCATCCCCCCCACGGGTGTCAATTCTGGGAGCATTGAAATACTCATCCGGGGTCTTCACAGTCGGACTATCAAGATTCGTCGGCTCTTCGGGTCGTTGCATGGGTGGTACGTCTTGTAATGAGAGGACCGGGGTTTCCTCTCTCTCCTCGGAGATCCGCTGGGGCGCCCTTACAGTGCCGCTCCTACTCGGCGATATATCTCCTTGACGAAGAGACTTTGACCGAGATTGTTGGTAGGAACTGCGGGATCGGACAGCGCTCAGAGATTCGCGCACCTCCTTCCCCCTGTTGGGAATGGGGGAGTTCTGCGCGGTGGGTATGACAGGTACACCATTCGGAGAGGCACCAAGATGCTTTTGTATCTGATACGCCGAGAACCTTCGTGAGGCACGTCTTTCCAAATCCCCCCCTCTTTGCAGCCTGGTCAGGGCGTCAGTTTCCTTGGGTGGTGGTGGCGGAGGATGTGGAAAATTGATCTGGGTCACCGAGGGTGACCCGTCTGCGTCGTGACCCAGGGGGAAACTGGGCGCGGGCACGCTCTGAGGCGTGGCGGAAGAGGATATCGTCGAGCTGGAGTCGGATTGAGGCAATGGAAGAGGGACATCCCGTCGCATTGAGTGTCGGTTGAGAGTAGCTCGGTTTGCCGGCGTCACCGCTGAAGCATTCGCCGGTGCATAGAGCTGATCGGAAGCCGTGCTGGCCCCTGGAGGAGACTGAGCGCGCATACTCGAAGTAGAGCTGGGCACATCATCAAGCATGTGGGTAAGGCCCGTCTCATTGCTCCCCGTCGTAGATACGCTGCCTTGTCTGCCCCCGCCCACAGCTGGCCTTGGTTGTGGTGTAGAAGACCCATCTTTCGTGGCGCGACCTCGCAGTCTGCTCTGCTTCCTCTTCAGACCGTGAAGTAGGTTGATGATGATGTCGCGGATTCGGGGGAGGTAGTTGTCGAGGGCCTGAGGTGACGCAGGTTGACTCAGAGTGTCTTCGAGGATATTCCGCAGTAGATCAGGCACAGGACCAAGGTCGGCGGTCTCGACGCCGATGGAATTGAAGGCGCGGCAAGCCAGGTTAAATTCGTATCCCAACCGGACATAGACATCGGAGACCTCCTCTTCCTGCGCCTGTCCGCGCGACCATTGTGTCAGCGTCTCGAGTAGTTGTTTGGTGGCCACGAGGAGATGGGTCACGCTCTTTTCGATCTGTGAGATCTGCTTGTCGGGCTAGAGACGGCGTTAGTGCAGAACGGTAGGCGTCTGTAGACGTTGCAGGTACGCACATTGGCACTTCGCTGAGAGCGACCCGAGCCCGACGACGACCTGGCCTGGTGAGAGGCGGAGCTGGTCGAGGGATTCATGGCTGCCATCTGGTCCTGAGGATACGCCGACTCTGACAAGTCTTGTTGCCGACGCTGCGAATGCGACGGCCGTTGGGCACCTGCTTCTGCTGATGATGCTTGCATATTCTCATTGGCTGGAGGGCGAAGAGGCGGGAGTGAGAGGCATGTTGATGGCGGGCACAGAGAATGTCACTGCCATCAAGGAAGCTACATAACGAGCGACGGGGGCAGGGATCACATGCAGGAGCGAGGACAGCGCCAGGAGGAGAGCAGGTGACGAGAATGGAGACGACGAGGGTGTCTGGTGCTTCCTTTTCCTTTCCTTTTTCGATCATTTTCCGGCGCCGAATCGCGACTCGCCCGAGACGCTGAGATGCGCGTGCCAAGTGGCCATGTAACTACGGAGTACAGCTGACTCTACTGTGCAGACTGGCTACATCTTCATTAATTACTCTACTTTAGTCTGCACGCCTCGTCTTCTCCATGGCTCGCATAGCAGATCTACGATCTACCATATGACTTGCTCAAAGCTCAAAGCTCAAACGTGGCCTCATTGCCACGTTCGCACGTCTAAGCGAACTCTTCCTGTAGCTGGCTCTCGGTGAATGCCTTTCTGCACGTTTTGACTCACGCGCTCGGACACTCCCATTTTTCGCCGTATGACGGGGAGACAGAACCTCCGCGGGCTCTGGGCCGCTTTTCGTTTTATTGCGAACAAGGGATTATCGTGACTGGGGTCGCATCTTCCGCCTCCAACGATTAGGAATCTGGGTTACGGCCCGTGCCAAAGAGTGCTGGGTACGTGGACGTCTCTTCGATGGAGGCTCCGTAGCTCCCTCCTCGTGGTGGTGGTAATGCTCTAACGTCTTGGTGAAGTGGTGGCGTGTTCAGAGCTGTGCTGATGCAGCAGCGGGCGTCGTTCATCTGGGGCTAGGTGCGAATGTGCATGGGACATCATTGACCCTGTGCGTGGGCGAGTGAAATTGTCCGCCGCCCAGCCTTCCAGATGTGCCGGCGTAGCGCAGTGTTGTTTTCCTTCTTTGGCCAATCTGCGATCTCTAACCGTGAAACAGATGGCCATTACAATCAAGATGATCTGCATTGTCCCGACGAGGACGTATACGATCCAGGCGCTCCAACCGGCGAGTCCGACTCGTATGATCATATTGATGCCAAATATCCAGGTATACTGTTCAGCAATTCATCAGTATGTGCATGGGAAGTAGTGAGCAGGGGGGTTTCTTACGGGCGCCATCAGACACAATGATAGCGGACTGAGACTCCCCAGATGGCCGAGATGATACGTCGTCCGCACTTGAGGAACCCATTGCACACATGCGAACACGGCAACAGCAACGCCGAGGATGTCGGCCCACGTCTGAGCGACCCACGGAAAGCGGTGCAGGATGATGGCCGAGACCAGCAGCACTATGAATGCGAAACCGCATGCGACAATGAGGACTCGGATTGCTCGAGCAGCACGACGAAATGTGCGGTCAGGCCCAGATATGGATGCTCTCCTGCCGTGAATTTCTGCGTCGGCCTCTTCTTCTGAATAGTACACGTACATGAACATGCTGTCAGGTGGTCAGTGGGCACAAACCCAGATCAAAGCATCGGGAAGAGGATCCTGGACTTACACAACCCAGAAGCACGCGATGCCGAACGTGACCTGGACCATGCCCAAGAGACCGCTGATACAGGCAAAGCGGGTGTTTGTCCTACAACACCCGATTTCCACTGCACTGGACGGGAGCATCATGATGTTGCCCACGGCACACACGCCCGACAGCGAGCCCAGCAGAACGTAGTAGGTCGAGAGGCCTTCGGCCGATCTGCGCGAGATGATGCGCGCATATTGCGGAATGTAGCAGATGAGCAGCCATCCCATCAACGCACTGAACCCGCGTTGTCAGCTACAGTCCTGTTCCCTTGCGAGGACCAGTACCGTTAGGTATGGGGGACAACGGAGGAGCATACCATGAGACGACGAATTGGGGAACCGATGGAGCGGCCAAGTGCTCGCATTGGTCGGGTGCGAATCCCCGCAACGGTGGGGTTGTCATCGTGCAAGCCACACAGCTGAAGCGAGATCAGGATTCGCACACGACGCGCTTGACAGGCTGTGGGGAAGAGTAAGTAACGCTGCAAGGCCGTCGTCGTCGGTCGAGTGAGAAGAAAAAGGGCACGAGAAGAATGCGAAACAAGTCAGGGATATTGAAGGGGGAAAAGATTCTGATAAGAACGACTCGACCGCTCCCACCGATCCCGCGCGCAATGACGAAAGATGGTCTACACACATGCACACATTTGCACAATCCCCATCCCACGCAGGCGCCGGGCCAGGACCCTGTTGCCGTCGAGCCCTCGTACCCTGTCACCCAGTCACTCTGCTCACCTGTTGTCACCTGCGATCAGCATTCGCTCGCACATGCGAGACATCAGCATCGACGTCGGAACCCGGAAGGCTGATCCGTTGCTCTGCCATACAGAGCCACCTCCACCGCCTCCACCACCTCCACCACCCTCGCACAAGGTTTTGACACGGCGGAGCTCGACGTCGTTTGGCTTTCACTTTAGGTTCCGTCCGCCACGCGTTGCCCCATCCTCCGTGCCTCCCCATATTCTTCTGCAGCGAGATCTAACTTCACGGGACCATGTCGAGCACGTCCATCTATTCACCTGACGGCACAGCATCATCCAAAACCGGTTCTTGAAGTCTAGAACTCGCGGATCCACAAGTCATGCTTCAACAACCGAGTGTTTGCATTGTGGAAGAGTGATAGTTCCCTAGAAGTTTCGATTGTACGTCGATGTGCGGCCTCATTTCGTATTCGAGGCTTGATACCCGGATATAGCACTGGTTCAGGCACCGCTCTTTCGAATCTTGTGCCAGCCATGATTCAGGCCGTTATACCGAGGAATCACAGTGAGACTTCAACCGTGCTTTAAAACATGGGCCTTGTTGCGATGTACTCCGTATTCTGTGGCGAACTCGCATTGAAAGTGAACACTCTCTCATTGGCTACACACACACACACACACACAGGGCAAACTCACCCCCCCACTATTCAATAAACATGCTACGCCACAGACCAGGCTGCAGACGTGCGTCGACGTCTTCCATCATTTCAAGGGACGTAGGAGCGTGTCAATCATGGTTGACCGTCCGATCTTGAGGTCCCGTGATATGCAGGTCACGAGGACTTCCCGGTCACATCTCGACCGCCTGTTGTGCCTGCTTGATCCCATCCAGCATTACGAGGTGCGCAGCATAACCGGACGAGACGCGTCCATTGCTCTGCTAAGTCACGAACTTGTCGCTGCAGACGGGTTCAAAGTAATGCTGACAGTGAAGGCCATGACGCTCGCGCCTTCGCTTAATAAGCTCGAAGAAGACCCCTGGAGTGAAGAAAGAAGACCACAAACAAACGACTCGTCTACGGAGCACCGGAGTGTGAGTCCATCGAGTATTAGACTCGACGTTGGACAACGAAAGGAAGAGGGTTCCGCCTCCAAGCACATCAGAGAAGTTCCGAATTCTTGATTCCTTAGGCTGGGTATATATACCCGGCCGCGCTCAAACAAAGACCGGGCAGTCACTCTCAGCACAGTCTCGTAACGCGCGGATTGAGGGCTACACCCAAGTCGAAGGCTGCTGGGCCTGCTCTCTTCTCCCACCCGCACTTTGTCCATCGGCCCTCACCTGACTACCACTGCTCCCGCCCTGTCCCAAACCCCTCTTCATCATCCGACCGAGAATTCCCACCATCTCGGCGGCATCCTCGAAACTGTCATCGTCCATGCCTTCCTGCGCCTCGTAAACGTGTCTGATGGACATTTTGGCCATCCTTCTCGACGCCTCTGCTTCATGCAAACAATCGTACACATAAGCGACATATTCCACTTTGACGGATAAGCGGACAGGATGGGAACCCGGAAGAAGACTCTCGGCGAGCTCATTCGCTTCTCGGAACGCTTGAGTGGCGACTGGGGTATAATCCTGCAGCGGGAGCAGAAACGTTGCTGTGCCATTGCCGTTGCCGTTTGCCCCGTTTGCGAAGTAAGGATAAGTTGCTGGGAGAGGAAGACCAGGCGGCGTTCGTGTCGTTGTTGCGCCCATGACTCGACCCGTACTGATAGCTGGAGACCGTCTACGAGTACCATTTCCTTCTGTGGGTGACCGTAGCGTCCCCTGCCTGCTCGATCTCTCCCTCCCTTCCCTCGACTCCCTCGGACTCAGCGGTTCTGGAAACAAAGTAAAACTCCCATCGCCGCCGCCAGTACTTCGGCTTCGATTAATCCGGTCATTCACCGGGGGTTCATTGTGAAACAGAACAAAAATGTGGTAAAAACTAGCCTTGAGCTTGAAACTCAAGACTTTAAGTTCGACGTAGTTGCCGACCATAGGGAGTACATATTGCTCCACCATAACCAACCCTTCTCGTGCGAGCCATAATATGTGATGAATTAGGTGACGTGCTTTGGGGTCGCGGACCGGGTCGAGACGTTTTGCGCGACGCGCGCGTAGCAGCTTTTCCGCCAGTATCACGGAGAGACCGAGGACGCGAAAGAGAAAACTGTTATTTGCACCACCACACCGTCAGCCGATCTGATCAACACCCGCCCACTTCTTCGTCGGTCTTGGTTCGGAGAAGGAGCCTTACCTAGAAAGATAATTATTCTCCGTGGTAGTGACTTTTGCGAAATAACCCAGAAACTTTTGATCCACTTCCGAGGAGGCCATCCAAATAGAATACAGTGGAGGATCCGATTGGTCCCTGCTGGACGGCTGCCACTGTCGAGACAGATACGTCAGTTCAACGAATCCTTGTTTCCACCGGCGGAGCGCACTTGAAGGCGGCGATAGTTCGGACATCCCGGCGTCATCATTGTCTGTGTCGGAGTCTGTATCCATTCTTTTTTGTGACCCAGGAGTCGTGGTGCCCGCTGGCAGGTAAGTTGTGAAACAACCGTCAAGATGCCGTCAACTGGAGTCAAAAGAGTTGGGACTTTGTAATTGTGATGTTTGACTGACTCAGAATGACTAAAGAGTTCGTTTTCGATGCCAACGAATGGGTAACGGGTACTCGACCGTTGACGTGAAAGTAAGATGACAAAAGGTGAGGGAGACTGAGTGAATAGGCGGAGGTGACGATTCCGACAATGGATCTGGTTCGTGAAACAATAGAAAAGTGCAATTTACCTGTAGCCGCCTGACCCCAATATGAGGGCGCTTGCGACGCCTATCCGCCTCAACACAGTAGCTTTCTCGAACGAAATGCTAGACAAGGCTTTCCGAGCCTTGTGTTTCCCGAACCGAATGCTCGGAGAATTTTAGGGAGCCTCTTCGGAGATCTCCCCTCGATGTGTGTCCGCAGAATTGATTCAGACAGCCGGCCGTTTTTCGCAATTAGTTCCTGAACCGCTTTCTTGGTTGCTTCGAGCGATGCGCCGTCGGGCTGGTTCTGTACTCAAACGAGCGACTTTTGATCTTGATCCTCTCAGTAGCGACTGTCCTCCGGCCGGGTATTAACTGTTGGTACAAAGGGGAAAGAAAAGTGATAGTGCTCTGGGCGGAAGCCAGGGTGATTAAAATTACTTGTTCCGATATGCGCTGTTGTTACAAAATGTACAGATGTTAAAGAGGAAAGAGGTCCGCAACAGCGGTGGGTAGCTGTAAAACGCCGTTCAGGTGTGCTGGCAGAAGATTGGGTATCTAAGGCCAGAATGTCAGCTCGCTGGTACCGAAAGCAAGTACGAACATGACGTCCATGCAACGTTCCTGGAGGCCGGTAGACAGCCACAGTTCGTTGGGATTGGGGCGCCTACAAGCAGTGAAATGGCGTCAAACCGCCTATTCGTCCAGCACCCTTATTTTTGTAGCCAATGATCGCCGGACAGGTAGAACTGCTGGTCGGACTTGTGGTCGCAGGGCTGATGTCTGGAAATGAGGCTGTAGGGTCCCGCTTGGCCTCGTCTGACGCATGTTGTTGTCGTCAGGTGAGGGAATAGCTCTTGATTCTTCCAGAGGCCGAAGCCCAACCAGGTGGTAAATTCTGCCCGGCTGTATGTTGCTGAAACTTTCACTTTCTTGTTCCTGCTCGGACTTGCACGGACCCCGTTTCTGTTCCTTCGCCCGGTGGCTGGAGAGTTCTATCAAATCGGAAGCCAGGTGAACTGTGGATGGAGAAGCAAGCCGAAACACGCAGATTGACGGATTGGAGTAGGTAAGATCTAAATGAATGTGAGGATCCGACGGTGTACAGAGAGGGACGAATGAGTGAACTGTGGGACGCAGATAGCTGCAGATGCGAAATGCAGGTATGGTTGGCAGAGCCCAGCGGTGGAAAAGACGGTGACAGAACCCAAAAGTCGAAGGCCGAGGGAACTCGTCGGAGGGCAATGTTAACGGGCCATGACGACAACGCTGTGAGCTGCAGCAAATGAAAGGAACAAACCCGTCGGTCTTTGAATTCTGGGAGCTCACGAGGATGTGACTGAAGGAGCGATGATTAGAGGTCAGCAAAGCTCTGAAGTCGGCGAGAGGCTGAGAACCAGCGATCGGGAAGCAGCTGCAACGGGCACAACGTGCCAGCGCATCAACCGCGTGCCCCTGGTCGGCCGCTTACCGTATTGGCGATAGCGTGTCTGTTGCAGCGGCTACGAAGCCAGGGCATGGGGGTGCCGAGACTAGCCGGAGACGGACAAGCGGGGGATTTAAACATTAAAGGCTAGGACGAACAAGGCTTAGCCCGAACAAGGTCTGAGATGGAGTCCAGATGGAGCTGGGAAGCAGACGATCGCCTCCTGAGGAGCTTGGGTGCACGGATTGACGTTTTATTTGCCAGACGGAAGGTGACAATTGCCTGGAGCTCGATAAAGCACTGACGGGTGCACGCGGCTCCAGTACAAAGGACGCGATACCACAGTGGAGTGAAGAGCGCAGGAGCAAGGCGAGGGAGGGAAGGTCAACGAAGTCAGGGTGGAGGACTGACGTGGCACCACGGAAATGAGGACGTGAGCCGAAAGCTGGCGAAGCGAGGAGGCTAAATGGGTTGCGTGCAGGTTGCTGCATCCTGCACGTTTTCTCTGCATCTGCCAAGGCCCGTCTACCTTCACTTTCGCGTCCATAGTCCAGCTCAATGTCCTACACAGTACACAGGGCCCAAGTCGGAACCTTGGTCGATATTATCGACAGCAGCGCAGCACTGAATGTACTTTACTCGAAGGCTCACGCCTCACTTACAAGCCGCTCGCCCCTTTTCTCGCTCTCTGCCTCTCAGCAGTACCCTTGTCTGAAAGGTCTCCCTCCACCAGCACAATTGTACCCTGGAGCAAAGGCTGCCCTCTACGCCGCATTGCCCATCGCCTCTCGTACCCACGAAACAACGCCGTCGCCCCAGGTCTCTCGTCGTCACCTGGGACCATTCCAACCACCTTTGGAACTGGAGTCTGGTACATCCACAAGCCACAATGTATGCATTCTCACTCGACAGGCGACGTGTGGCTGCAACCTCAGTTACCGCAATACATGCTTCCCTGCCGTACTCGAGATAACGATCAAGCTCTCGCAGGCATGCGGATCTGATGTTTGATCTTCTGCATGGGCCCTTCGCACGTCGGACTGTCTTCGTCTGGTGTATGAGTCAGGGATGGCTTTGGTGAATGGTGCGGATACACGTACCTAGTCGAAGAATTTGCCTGAATGAGCGATCGGGCTGGTAAACGCTTCCAGAAGGCGGGGTGCGGTATCTGGTAGCGACCAGCCGTAGCACTCCCTGGAAAGGCTGAAAAGATCGTAAAATAGGCTATGATAGAGCTGAACAATGGTGCAAGGATGTCTCATTTGCCCTCATCCTGGCCTCCCTCCATCTGACCATAGGTAGGTCCTTGTGGAGGTCCGTTCATAGCTGGTGTATGCGCTTGTTGCATTTGAGGGTGCATCTTATGCGGAATTTGTCCATATCCGCTGCTCATGGTCCGGTGCTGCATTGCATATCCTTGATTGGGTGTCCCGTATTGATGGCCGCCGCCGTAACTGCTTCGATGCATTCCCATCTGTGCCTGCGGATACACCATCTGTGCTCCTTGATTTGACATGCTGTACATCATGTTGGGAGCCTGAGGGTGCCCTTGCTGTGATCCCTGTTGCATCATCATAGGGGCCATGCGTACAGGGCTAGAGTACCCGCCATTCTGCTGAGGATGGACGTAGCCAGGGTTTGGCGAGTACATTTGCCCCATCTGAGGGTTGAACTGTTGTGGCACATTCATATATGGACCGTTGGAAGGCTGCTGCACCATCATTGGTGCAGTCATCTGGCCGACCTGAGCATGCATCATGCCAGGAGTACCTGGAAACTGCCGCATTTGCATTTGCATAGGCATTTGACCACTCGGCGTCCCGAAATATTGTTGCTGTTGGTACGAGAGTTGCGCGGGGTGGGTCATTGGTGAGGCATATGCGGATGCCTGGCGAGATGCCATGCTGGGAGAAGGATACATGCCTGGAGTCCCGACTCCATACTGTATGCGATGAGTGCCGTCCTCGTATTGATGCTGGAATTGTTGAGGCCCAGGGTGGGGCATGTGCTGCGGTGTCGAAACATGCGGGATATTGGCGGGACCATTAGGAATCGGCATACCTTGCCCAGCATATGGAACATGATGGCTTGATGATGATCGGCTCTGTGATGGCGAAACGCCGGGAGGGGCGGCAGGCTGCTCGAACGCCTCATCGTAGGTCTTCTGGTCGTTCTCAGGCTTGACGGCCCATCGAGGTCCTGTGTGAAAAGCAAATGGGATACCACCGTTGTTGCTGTGGTCTTTCTGCACCTCCTCAGTCTTCGTACCATCTGCAGCCTTCTTTTGGTTATGTTCTTGCTTCATGCGCGCAATAGGATTGAAGTATTTGGCGAGGGAAGGTCTCTGTGAAGCAGGCTTGGGCTTTCGATTGCCAAAGAACACCGAGGGCGAGGCGGTCCTAGAAATAGAAGCCGTACGCTGTGTAGAACCGGGGCTTGACGGCGCCTGGGAAGGAGCGGCCGGATTGAACGTAGCTGCAGTTGGGCGGAACTCTGATGCTTTCACGTTCAGATTGAATTTGCCTGAGATGGCGGAGTTCGGAGTGTGCATATTGGATCTCTGCGGGCTGGTCATTCCGCTTTGATCAGCCATAGGCCCAGTCGGTGGGACACGGCCGTCGATAATGGGGATCGGGGCCGGAATACTCGGCGGCTGCTGGATTCCTTTGCGGTCTTGCTGGTGTGCACCAAATCTGGGGTTGAAGGGGGCGTTGTTATTTCGCCCTGGGTAAAGCGGCTGTTGCTGACCGACAGTTCGATCCGACCGTCCACCCTGTAAGTAACCCCCGCGACCACGATTGAACACTGGCCGGTCGGGCACAGACGCTTGAGGTTGTGCAACATCGGCTTTGCGAGCAACATTGCTGGCAATTGGGGCTTGTGAAGGAGCGGGTTTGGCAGCTGCCGTCGTGGTGGGGACGACTGATTCGCTAGATTCCTTCTGTGCCTTTTCAACGATAGCCTCTTGTTTAGCAGGATCCTTGGCAAGAATTCCGATCAGATCGTTCGGAATCGGCGTCTTCAGTTTGAAAGTCTTTGAAAATCGGAGTAGTTCGTTCAGTTTGGCGGCCCGATCCTGGTTCTGCTGTGCCTTTCTCCTCTCGATTACTCTCTGTCTCTCGGTGTCTGCGAACTGACGGAACTGGTGAAGGACTTTGACCTCTACATTCTCCGTGGGACCTTGAGACACGGTTTTGGTGCTGGGCGGTGCCTCGACATTCGTGGGCTCAGCATTGTCACCAGCGGGCTGACCGACAAGATTCTCAAGCCCGTCGGTGTGAGATGGTTGGAGAGGCGCTGTGCCGTTCAGTTCAGCGGCTGCTTTCTCTGCGGCGGGCAGGATGCTCTCAGCAGACCCATCGACCTCTAGATCTTGCCTTGGCTTGGATGTGGGAATCGCAGGATCTGGCCGAGAGATCTGTGCAGATATGATTGCTGGATCGACCGGTACGCCTGGGACAGTGGCTTGTCCAGTTGGAGCCCGTCTCGCAGGTGGAGTGTATTTATTGGCGCCGCCCACCGCCAGCGGTGGATAAACCTTGTCGTCACGTCGCACACCGCTATACTTCTCTTCCTCCTCGTCGCCGTCATTGTCCAGCGCTTGACCCCGTTCCTCACGAACGTGAGCGTTTGTTGAGGTTGAGCCTTCAATCTCGCGAGCGATTCTCTCGGCCTCGGCTTCGCGGCGTTTGTAGGACGGTGCACTGCGATCAATGGAAGTGGTATAAAGGCTCTCATCATAGGTACTCTTAGCGCCGAACAACTGAGAGTTTGTCGCAAACTGATCCCAACTGCCCGCATTGTTCGACTCTAGGGAATAGTCGGTGGTGTCTGGTCCTTCGGGGACCCATCTCTTCAGTTCCCGTTCGCCACGTGTCTGGTTTCCAGAGATGTCTGTATCAGTCTGGAAGGATGAAGAGGCACCTGCGATACAGGGGTTAGTCTCAAGTATCGAGCAATGGCGGCGGCAGGTACCATTTGAGAGCTTTCCAGCTTCTGGAAGAGTGAAATCGGCAATGGTCATGTCGGCCAGGTCCTTCAAGTCAAAGTTCATTGCGTACTCCGGACTCGAACCAACTAAGGCCGCTTCCCGAGATGCAACGCCGTTGATATGTCCTCCCGTTGCCGGTTGTATTTTTCTGACCATCTTGAGGGCAATCCTCGAGTTGACGGGAGTGAGGCTCGAGCCCGACAACAGACCCTCGAACTTTTCTCCAGACTTGGACGTGACGACGATATTCAAGCCCTGCAGGAAGTGTCAGCGGCGCTGCAGCAAGTCGGGACGATAGGTTATGTTTACTATAGCCGCCCCAAAAAGAAACACCAGTCGCTCATGTGCTTGTTTGTCTGTGATGCCAGCTTCTTTCTGCGCAGCGCTTGACCTTGAGGCGGTCGTATTCCTGGATTGAGGAGCGTGTCCGTTTTGCTGGGAAGCCATGGAGCCTCGCTGCTGGGACGCATTCGAGTTAGGGACCCAGGCCTTCTGAGTTGGTCGCCTGTCGACAGTTGGTTAGCAGGATACCTCCAGTAGAGATGGCACATGACATGACAGCGACAATTGCCTTGCTACCCGTCGACAACAATACGCTGAACGTCGCACAAACGATTGAGGATGTAGGACCTAGCAGGGAAGGCTGAGGGCGCAGTTTGTCGTACCTTGAAACCCCGTCACCTCCACCAGGACTCTGCTTGCGCCCTGCATCCATAGCCTTCTGGTTGCTACTGGATCTCATTGTATTTCTGGCCAAACCATTATTTTGAGGAGAATTGAGACTGTTGTTCAAAGTCGTCGAAGGTATGCTGGTCGCAGAGGCCATGAGCTGCCCTCGTTCGATGCAAGCAACGTCACACAGGAGGTGCTCGGGGGGAACGAGCTGAATCGACGGGAACCGGCCAGTCAGACTGCGCTCGTAGTTGTGATTATTTGCAATCCGGTTAAATTTCCGGGACAGGGAAGGATGGCAGAGACACGGCCGCGGAGAGGTCTGGGTGTCTCGGTGGAGGAGGAGTGTCGTGGCAGTGACAGCACGAGCCCCCAGAAAAAGTTGAAGGGTGAAGTGTGAAGGGGTCCCAGGAAGGAAAGCTGGCGAGAAGGGCAAAGCCGCAGGCACTGGCTGCGGTCACACTTGCGGGACCGAGACACGGGGCCAGGTACCTCGAACCACCTCGAACTAAATTAAAGAGAAGGGAATCGACTGGCAACGCGACCACCTGGAGTCGGTCCTTGGAATGTGAAGGAGGGGGAAATGCAGCAATGACCCAGTGACAGAAAGTGCAATGCACAGGCAAGATGGAGAGGAGGGAGAGAGGGAGAGACGATGAGGTTGGTGATTGTGGTTTGCGGTTGCGATTGACTCTCCGGGTGAGGTTTTGTTTGCGGCTTGCTAGGTGCAAAGGCCCAGCTGGAGGAGCCGCTTCAGGCTCGGTTTGACGAGCTGCTTCCCCGACTGCCAGGTGTGGGTTCTGGAATCCCTCCAGGATTGAGCAGCATGCCGCCATGTGAGTGGCCAGCGACGCCCAACTAGCACTGAAGAAGCCTCGATCGGGCGCGCGGGCGCTCGGCTGCTGCCTTCGACCCTTCAGGTCCTCCCACTTGATCAGCGCTTTCTATCTGAGTGCACAGTACGGAGTACTGAACAGCTGCTGGAGTCCGGACGAGGCGGCGTCAGTCACGACCAAACACCAGACGGCATGCGTAGAGTGTGCTAACCACCTCAGATCGAATCTGCACCACAGGCGCCATCCACGCGGACCCATGTCACAAAAGATGCGAAGATGTCTCGGTCGCTGCGAAGGACCGTCACCCAAGAGTGTCTCAGTCACGTTGTTATTATTATCGTGGTGATTCCTGGTCGACGGGCATAAGCAGTGGGTGAGGTTGCTTTGATTCTTGCCATGGGCCAGACGACCTGTTTGACACTCATCTCACCATTCTATTCAGTCAATGCTGTGCCACGGCTCTTCTCCGAGTCACACCTTATTTGGCAACTGAGCAAATTCCGAAGCCCGTCGATCGCCTCCCGTCTTCCCCGCCGACGCCAACGAATGATAATCGAACCTCCAGAGCATGGCCCAGGCCGAAAGTGTCCGAAATGGAACATGACAAGGACACGGGAAATGCGTGGATATGCTATTACACGTTGATGGCGGCGCGAGTGGAATGTCCGAGTGGACAAGCACCGTGGTTTCCGGTCTCTGCTGCTGTATTATGGTACCCTGCACTTAAGGATTTGGTAAATGAAGCCTCTCGGGTCACTGGCCAGCCAGCAGTATCTACCTCTTCCGCAAAGTCCGTGTCCCCCACCCGTTGCTGGTGCAGCGCCTAGGTCGCCCCATCCTTGCATGTCGCAACCTGCTTTCATCATACGAACTCAGCCATGTTGTCACAAAGAAAGTCGTTGTCGCTCGTCTTATCACAATCTCAATGTGTTGAGAATGGCAGAGGTCATGGACCGGTACTGGTTCATTCCCCCCTGCACTTTCTTGAACTGGATGCCATGCAGCGAAAGCAGAGGGATCTTCACAATGGCAATCTCGAACTTGAGCACAAGGCGTTCGCCGCTGTCTTCTTGCACACGGGTCCTCGTTGCGGCGTGGTCATGGCTTTCTGGCCCTCTGGTTTGCAGATACTCGTCCGACCCCTCAGAGTTGGTCACGAAACTCTGATCAGGCTGTCTCCTCTTCGTATGGTGTCGAGCTACTAGCCTGTCGTCCCGGATCTCTTCTCTGTCCTTGCCTCGGAAAGCTCCACCAAAGGAGATTCGTCGTTGATGGCCACTCGTGACGCGGCCACTTTTCTCATCATCAAGTGGCGCCGCCGTGTCTCTGACCCCATCCAGGTTGATGCTGGGCGCGTGCCGGCAAGAAAAACCACCTTTGATCACAGTGTATTGCACTCCTAGCTGATTCAGCACCCGGATGATATCGTGCCTGATGAACTCTGGCGGCTTGCTGCTGGTAGTGGAAGTTGAGAATAAGCCCTTGAGACTTGCTGGCTTGGATATTTCTGTCCCAGGGGTATCGGGAACAGCTGGGGTGTCTAGCCCATCCGTGTCGCCTCGTAGGTCTGCATCAGTCTCTTCGGGGACATTAGCCTCTGCTCGTCGCTCTTCATGACGACGACGTCGAGCTTGAATGCTTTCCTGGCGAGCGTGCCCCAGAGATTTCGTCCGAGTCGTGTTTGGCGTGCGTGGAGTGGTCACCGGGCTTGCATTCGGTGCGGGTTTGTCGGTCAGCTCTACGCCTCTGTCGGCTCGGATAGCATGTACACTTGACTGGTCGGATCCGCTAGTTGGCGGTGGCTCGGGGGCCAGCATAGGGGATTCGTTCCCTGACGTTGCTCTTTGCAAGACGCGCCGAGGACGATAGTCAGCTGAATTTACGCTGGTCGATCGTCCCAAAAATTTTCCAGCTCGCGACAGCCCACCGCTTGCACTGAGTAGTCCCTCGTGCTGAGGTTGACTGCCTCCTGCATGATGCGTTGATGGGCTGGGATCTCTTCTCCGCGATCGTCGAACAGAGAAAGATTTGCGTGGAGGTGCGACCGGATCTGCCGGCGGTTGAATGTTCAGAGATGGGGGTGGCTGTGGCCGTTCTGTATCCCGATCGCGGTAGCGTCGAGTGCTAAATCTTCGCAAAAGGCCGAGAGCGGTTCCTTCACGCTTCGCCGGCTGATCTGGCTGTGGAATTCCTGTCGGAGAGGTTGCACTGGGAGGGTGTTTCTTCTCAGGCACCTCAAGGGGCTTGCCGCCATGAGCAGTGTCATCTTCCCCATTCGTTCGAGCCCGCGGCCTGGCTCGTCCACCAGTAGCCTTCTCGCCAGGCATCTCCGGCGCAAATGTATTCGTATGTGCTGCTTCTGGAGTGGGTAGTCCAGGCAGCTTAAGAGGGGACTCCTTTTCGGTTATCGGCATGGCTATAGCGCCGGGATTCAATTGTTGTCGCTCCCGGTCGCGCTTCTCACGAGCCAGGTAATAGATGGAGATTAAGGGGCTGTAGGCATTGATTGGGTCGTACCCACGAATGGCCTCCGATGACGGGCCAGTCAGTCCTTCGCGACTGATAGAATTTCGTCGCTTGTAGAAATCGAACACGCCTCGCTTCTTCTCTCCAGTGCTGGAGGAGTGACTGTAGTCTTCCTTGGAACTTTTGCGGACGGCATTCTGATAGTCTTCTGATTCGATTATTCGAGTCAGCTGGTCGGTGATGTAGGCAGATGATCCGAAATCGAAGCCTTGCATTTTGTCAATGACCTCCGGGTCGAGAGGCAATTGGAGAGGTTCTCTGTGAGGGAGACAATTATCGGGTGGTCCATTAAACCCTTTCGTCATCCATGGGTGATTCATGATTTCTTGAAGACTTGCTCGGTCTCGGGGATCCACAACAAGCATGCGAGAAATGATGTTCTTGCATTCTAGATAGCCGTCAGTACACTTGTGCTATTCATGGGCATGGTTTCGACTCACCGGCTGTCAGCCATTGAGGGTAATCGACGACGCCCCTTTTGATTTTGGCATGCAACTGAGGCATGCTTTGATCGTCAAACGGGACTTTACCACAGACAAGAACATAGAGAACGATTCCGAAACTCCAGACATCGACTTCCGGACCAGTATACTGACGTGCTTGCAACAACTCCGGCGCCGCAAAGTACAGACTCCCGCAAAACGTTTTGAGAAGAGATCGTGGGGAATAAAGGTTGCTGAGACCGAAATCGATGATTTTGATGTCGCCAGTCTTGCTGATCAGGATGTTCTCAATCTTGAGATCTCGATGAACGATACTATTTCGATGGCAATAGTCGAGAGCACTGGCGATTTGCCGAGCGAATTTCCGGGCTTGCTTCTCCTTCAGACGCCCGTGCGCAATGATATAGTCCAACATTTGCCCGCCATTGACATACTCGAAAAGCATGTACCAGTGATAGTTGGTCCTCTGCACGTCAATCATCCCACAGACGTAAGGGTGCGAGAGCAATGACACCATGGCGGCCTCTCTCGCCGTCCGGATCTCCTTTGAGCGATCTGCGCGTTCGTCCTTCGGATTTCCCTGTTCATCGGCGGTTTGTCGTGGAACGATCTTGATGGCTGCTTGCTCTCCGGTCTCTATGTTTTTCGCGAGCTTCACTTTACCCATGCTCCCTTGGCCTATAGTCTTGCCCAGTGACCAAGTTCCCGTCTGGCACGTGATCGACGTGCGCCTTCGCCCGACGGTGGGATGAGATTGCGACGAATGTGCTTCGCTTCTTGGGTGGGCGCTGGGAGGCGGAGGATGTGTAGAACTGCCGTTTGCTACTACGTTCGTAGGCGCCGTCAGGTCCTGACTACCACGTCGCGATCCAGGGCGGGAAGAGGACCTCCCATGCGAAGCTGAGTCTGTTTGGTATTCCACTCGTCCATCCCGAGAACTGCTTCGCCGGGAGGAAGGCATAGAGGCGACATTGCTCTGCTCGAAGTCTCTCCGAGCAACGTTCACGAGGGCGGCAGGGTTCGACTGAGGAGGGGTTTCGTACGCTCGAGAGCTGGTCCTTGTGTGAGTCGAGGGTCTCGTGTTTGTGGATCGCGCTCTTGCAGGTTGTGACGGCGACACGGGAGCATAAGAGGAGGGCGGGTTGCGAGAGCTTGAATGGCTGCGCACCATCGAGGGCGATTGCTGTGATGCTGCCGTAGCCATCGTCTCAGCCGGAGGAGATCGACAGTTGATCGATCGTTCAGCGAGTTTCGAGAAGTTATCGGCGCCCAGACCCAGTGTTACGGTTGCGGCTGGAATTCAGGGCGCTGGTGGAAGACCGCACGGACGCAACAGACGACGCAACTCGCTGGGCTTCGCACCCGCAAGGCTTCGCTGCGCGTGAGGTGCAGCCTGGATTTGTGTCGGTGTTATCGCCCGATATGCTGACTGAGGATGGTCAGGAGACTATGCCGAAGAGGAGACGTCGCGATGAGTAGGATCATCGGGTCGTTGCATGAGCGAGCAGGCGGACGAGGAAAGGCAGTGAGATGACACCAGCGCGGTGTGAGGTGAGGTCCAAGGCAGATCAGATGGGGCGGCGGACGGCCAACAATAAAACTATGTTAAGTCGCGGGTCAAATGAGATTGATGACTTGCGTAGGCGAAACGGTGATACCCAAGTCCTGCTGCTATGTTTCAAGTGCTTGGAATCACCGCCTCGAAAGTTGGAATCACAGTTGAGTCTCGCCTTGATTGACTGCGTTGCAGGGCTGCCCAAAGAACCTGACAAACGCACATGAGGGGATCCGAAGGAGGCTTCCGCCAAATTTCCAGGCTTGCCGTGAACGTCGACAAGGCCACACTGGGCGGGTGGTCGGGTTAGCTTTGCTGCTTACTTAGCTACTTAGCTAGGGGCGCCGACTGGTGCTCCCGGTGATATGATTAGTGAACGCGGGACTTAAGTAACTAGCCTGTGGGATGCCCCGCTGGTGACGCTGCCCGGCCATTGCCTCAGATACCAGCGGACAAGACAGCCTCATCGATCAAAGCAAGGCTGCACTACACAGTACTCAAGTTGACGGCTGCCCGCCGGCCCCAGGTTGCTAGCACCATACATGATTTCCTCAATCGTGCGATTCGACACGCTCACGACATGGCTTACAAGCGATCACGGCAGGCCTTCGAGGCTGATTTGCAGAAGCAAGCGTCTCCCTTCGTCCTCTACGGCTCACCTCTACCGCCTTTAGATGACCACACACGTGATGACGGCTCATTTGTTCCAGTATGGAAGCAGGAGGCTACAGACGAACGAGGGCGGAAACGCTTGCACGGCGCCTTCACGGGAGGCTTCAGCGCCGGGTGAGCACGCGGAGCATTTGATTTGGGAGCACAATGGCTAAAATGGTGGATGCAGATATTACAACACTGTAGGTTCTAAGGAAGGTTGGGCGCCTTCCACCTTTGTCTCGTCGCGGCAGAACCGTGCGAAGGATGCCCGGAAGGCTCCCCAGCAGAGGCCGGAAGATTTTATGGACGAGGAGGACATTCGTGAGGCAGAAGAGTCGCGCACACTTGATACATCCAAAGACTTCGCAGGATTTGGCACCGAGCATGATAGTGTGCGCAAAACTGCCGCCATCGACATCTTCCGACCATCTGGCGAGACTGTTGGCTTGAGGTTGTTGAAGAGGATGGGATGGAGAGAAGGAACCGGCATCGGGCCCCGAGTTCGAAGAGCAGCAAAATTGGGTGACGATGAAGATCGTGAGGAGACGGGAGAAACCCATCTCTTTGTTCCAGAAGATGCACAAGTGGTCTCTTTCAACCGGAAGACAGACTATAGAGGCCTGGGTTACGAAGGAGAGCTGCACGAGACAGGACACTCGGCGAATGGGAAAAGCAGATCTCACAAAACTGCACCTAAGGAACGTTCCTCAGATGAAGACAGCGACGGTCCGCTCCTTAATGCAAGGAAGAAGCCAGCCTCGGCAACCAAGAGAACTGGATTCGGCGTGGGTGTTCTGAACGATGATGGTTCTGAGGACGAGGACCCGTACTCGATGGGCCCGAGGATCTCTTATAACAGGAGCATCGGCGGCGATAGGAAGGTCAGGACAAAACCGAAACCTGCGGCAAGCTCCGCCAACCCTCTCGTCACCACCAAGCCAACTTTTATCTCAAAGAGGCTCGCCAATCTCAAGGGAGCCCTAAGAAAATGCCACGATGGCCGACTGCCCCCGGACGGATTCGTGCTCGCAGACGAGCTCGACTCGTTCGGCACGATGACCCTGCAAGATGATAAGTACAAGCCACCAGAAGTACCAGCGGCATGGAAATCATCGCTTTCGCCAGACGTGGAGACAGACACAAATTCAACTTTCGTTTCAACAAGTGACGCAGCCAAAGCTTCTCATATGACTGCGAAGGCACGGGCATCGCTCCTGGGTGAATCGCAACTTCCCGGGAAATCAGTCTTTGACTTCTTGACACCCGCAGCCCGTGATCGACTGGCTGCGGCATCGGGCCGTCAGAACCTCCCAGCAGCCGGCAACGAGTCTGCTCCAGCTGGTCACGAATCTTCAAAATCAGCAATGGCGAAGCTGCAAAACCTCGTACCTAAACTCGAGCAGGAAGTGGCTCGGCAAGCTCTTGAACGCGGAGTGGGTGGCTGGATGCCATATGCCGAAGACGAGAACAAAAGAACTAGGTATCGAATGTACCTCGAAATCCAAGCTGGGCTGAGGACAGCAGCGGACATAGCCCCCCGCGCAGAGCACATGAGACAAGAAGACTGGGTCCTCGAAATGCAGGAATTTGCCAGGGCAGCAGAAGTCTTCAAGCCGATCAGTGGACCGATGGCAAGCCGCTTTACCACTTCCACCTCTCTCCCACAAGGCCAGAGCGCCACGTCAGGCGATGCCCAGGTGGGTTCACTCCTGAGCAAATCCAAAGCAAAGCCAGAAGATCCAGCAGAAGCAGCCGCCAAACTTGGAATGTTTGGTCCGATGACACGGTCCACCAGCAACTTCTATCCGACGAGACTGCTATGCAAGAGGTTCGGTGTCTCTATGCCGACACAAGCGGCGCCTGGTGAAGCCGGGCCTGGGGACAGCTGTGCATATGCGCCTCCAGAGCCAGAGTTTGCCACGACACAATTTCGATCGTTTGCATCTGCCGGATACCAGCATGACGTGACATCCGAGGTCGATCGAACAACTGCAGAAGCGCCCGTCGGTCAACAGCAAAATCTCCCCACTAGGAAGGAAGAGCTCGAGGTTCTGGACCCGGAGAGAAACGAGGCTTTGGAGCAGCAGAGACCTGGCCAGGCCATCTTCAAAGCCATCTTTGGTAGTGACGATGAGGATGAGTGACTTGGGGACTCGTGTAACTTCATGGCTGCCGAATCTGCTCTTTGGATCGATTGATCGAATTCTGCAACCACTCTCGCGCGTTTCTTAGTTGGCGACTCCCCAGCAAGCGGGCTAACACGGCAGCTTTAAAGATCCATGAACGTCAGGATGTCAGAGGCATGAATTGAGGAACCAGCGCGGTCAATCTTCATCATGCCTGCACCTTCCTACATGCCTCGATCCTATTTATCCCACCAACTATTGTGGGATTATCAAGCATCATGGTTCTTGAAACACTGTGAGAATGTGTCTCGCCATCCCAACAAACTCTGAGCGGAGGTCATATCGAGGAGGCTGTCCACCCCTCCAGCCAACGGGTTCTTGTGCTGGTGTACAAGACACTGTGAATGACAAGTGGAGATCCTCCTACTGCCTGGTAAGACGCCCTGCTGGATGCCTGCTCCTCCATATAAGCGACACGCCTCACGCTGCCTGCACATGCACGTCCATACACATCCATCACTGCAAGAACTTCACACCGCCATTTACCTATCAGTCAGATATATCTGCTTGGCTACGCTTACCAGGATGAATCCCAATAGTATACTGCCCACACCGCAATGGACGAGAAGGAGCAGTCTGCTGATGAAGCCAAGGGATTGAGTATGTCAGCTCACTACTCGAGAGCAATGTAGTCATGACTGTGAGGAAAACCTGAACACGGAAAATCAACTAAGTCCACAAAGTCTAGATGTAGGTCGGACTTCTATGATGTTCGAAGCTTCATAGAAACACAATTGCTCCTCTAATAATCGCTTATCTACCGCCAACGCTACTGGTAGGTACAGTAGATGTGAGAAGTAAACACTCTATGCTAAATCACGCCAAGTCGTATTCTAGTTATGTATTCGAGGGCGAGGACGGACACATTCGTTCCTCCGGCCACGGGTGCTGTGGGATCGTCATTCACAAGAGGATGGGAAAGAGACGGCCCGGCGACGCTGCTGGCCAACACCCAAGATAAATCTCACTGTAGGTTAGAAGGTACGGTCTAGCCGATGCCAGACGTCCGCGCTTGGGCCGAAAGCTTCTCCTCCCCCGGCTGTCAATTCGGTTGATGTATTTCTGTGCCAACAGCATCGATACGTCGCTCGGAATACATCCGTGACCCTGTGGCAACGTCGAAGATCATCCCAGCGTCACGCATTTGGCGCACCACGTTGAAGAGCTCAAGGTCAGAACCGGGCCGGCCGACAAGACTGATCGACACGGGGATGTGCTCTGTCTGGTTCGTGATTCTGGAGACGTACGTCGTTTCCGCCACAGGGATGGTATAGTCCGGACAACCGACCAGGTGGCCGAACGAATAGATGCTGAATGTGTCGTTGAAGAGCTCGCTCCGGTCGGCCACGTCGTCCCGATAATCCGGTCGCCCGCATGATTGGGGAAAGATCAGCAACGTGGTTGCGTCTTGGTCGTAGGATCCGAAGAGAGTGGTCTCAACCCAGAGCTTGAAGGCCTGCATGGCTTGCAGGGCGTTGGAGAGGTCCTCTGCTCGCACGTTCCGGCCGTGGTCCAGTCGCCGGCTGACCAGGTTCGACATCTTGGGCGGCTTGCCGTGTTTGGCCCGATACGCGTTGATGAAGTGGTCCCAGCCGCATGCCACTGCCGAGGCCGTGGTGATGGCCGAGTAGATGGGGCCGACAGATTCGTCGAGGGACCTCGACTGGCCAATTGGCGGCGTCGCCCTCCAGAGGTCGTTGATGTTGAAGGGAATTCTTTCGCAGTCAAAGTGAGTTTCGAACTTGCACAAGGTGGCGTCGATTTGCTTCTCCGCTTCGGACCAGTACTTTGGGTCGACGGAAGGGTGCGGAAACCATCGATGCTGGCCGTGATGATGAGGATCGGGGTTGTCGGTTTGTGCGGCTCGAGTTGGATAAAGAAGGTTGTACCTACGCTTTTCTGCCACGCACGATGGAGGCTTCCCTCGACTGACTATGAATGACCCGACGCGGGTGAAGATGTCGATCTCTCTGGCGAAGATGCCGACCGTGTTGAACAGGTCGGTGGCACCGAGGATGCCTTCGAGACTAACCAACCCACAGGAAGGGCGCTGGCCGAACACGCCGTTCACTCCGGCGGGATGCCTAATAGACCCGCCTGTGTCGGTGCCGACCGTGAAGTCTAGCCAGTCGTAGGATGCAGCGGCTACGGCGCTGCCAGTGCTGGAGGAAGAGGGCTTTTGCCGCCCGTCACCGCGAGGATTGAAAGGGCAGACATCATCTATCCATTCGCACGGGTCAACTCCTTCGGCGAACTCGGTGGTTTTGAGCTTTCCTACTAGCACAGCGCCTGCTTCGAGGAGTAGTCTGACTACCGGAGCCGTTGTTCTCTCCACAGGGTATATGTCGGCCCAGGCTTTGTTGCCGAACCCGGTCGTTAAGCCTTTGATGGCAATAGTGTCTTTGACTGCAAACCTCAGGCCTGCCAAAGGTTTGTCGCTATAGCCGCGATATAGCTTGGAAGGTATAGGTATCAAAACTGGCGATTTCTGCACTATCAGCTGGAGAATAACATTCGAGGCTGTTTATCCACACTTACAGGAAGCTCGCACCATGTCGTTCCAGAAGCGGATTTTCGATAGATGCCACTCACAAATGCCTGCTGCGGGTCCGGGACAAGCTTGGAGACGGGAAATATTTGACCTGTCGCTTTGAGGACGACGTATGGGCCTTCGGCGAGATCATGCCTAGATTTGTCGATGGAAAATATCCGCTTTTTCTTGAAACCGCCTCGCACGGTAGGTGGTTGCAACAAGATGATTACTGACGCGAGCACAAGATGTCAGCCAGTCTCCAGTTGCAACAACACCTCAAGTCGCAATATAAACTTACGCGACAAGAAATCAGGACTCCAGACGTTGTCAGTGCTTGCGAAGTACCTGCAGGTTGCTCTCAGATCGGCTGGAGTGAAGATCGACGGCGTCCATTCTACGACAGTAGCGGGTACAAACTCCTCTTTAAATCGTCGAAGTTTCGGGATGAGGGCAGGTGGCAAGCTGCTGGCTTTCGGGTCGAGCAATATGTGGTACGTATCGCTGCCGATGTTGAGGAACGGCTCGAGACCAGTTGCCATAGCGGATAAGCATGAGGGCGCCAACTCACTATCTCGGTGTGCTGGAGTAGAAGGGGAGAAAATAGAGATCATGCCTTTTAAGACACCACAAACCTGGAGTTGCGATGGCTGTACAGTGTAACAAAGGCGGAAAGCAATTTCGTGTGCAGGAGACAAAGGACCTACCACAACCTGCCAAAGGAAGCCATTTTCCTTCAGCCAGAGATTCTGAGCGAATGTCGCCGGCTGCTGCCGCAGCTCCAGATAACTCTTCTTGACATTCAGATAGGCAGCCCCAGCGTTTCGAAGCATAATGCAATGACAATCATCAATCGCATAGATCACAGGCATAGCATGATCAGATTGGGAGCGATTTGAGTTGTGGCACTTTGGATAAGCGACATCTTGGCGCTGATAAGAGCCGCCGTCGTCCCAATATTCCTGCGCATGCCGGCACCAGCAGCTCCGAGCCATCTGGAGCGTGGAGGTCGACGCCAGGAGCTGTCGAAAGATGGAAGGGCCAATGCATGTCTGGCCGTTATATGAAATGTCGATACCATCGTCAAGCTCGGATCAGTCGTCATCTTCTCTCCGCGACGCTCCATTCCGACCCATACGCTCACCCAGAGTTAAATCTCCAGCTCTCTTGTGGAAACTGTTGACGAAGTCCGCGCGCCCGCCGTGCTTGGCATTCTTCGCTCGAACAGCATCGTCTCGCTCCCGGTCGGCTCTTTCTCGCTCGGCGATGTCAGCGAGCCTTCGCTCTCTCTCGTCATGAAGCTCTGATGCAGCCTGTTGCATGGCTGCCAGCCTTGCTGCTCTATCATCGGCGCTGTTATCCTTCTCCCGTTCATTACGACGTGGACTTCGAGATCGAGGTCGCTCCGGCCGTGAAGAATGCCAGCTCTGCATCTTTCGGATGCCATTGCTGTGACCGTTTCGTCGAGGTGGAGAGTACGATCGAGATCGAGATCGAGACCGTGGTCGACGCCTTTCTGCTGGAGAAGCTGAACGTCTTCTCCGGAAGGGAGAGCGCGAGCGTGGCTTCTCTGACCTTCGGGGAGGCGACCGGGACCGTGATTCGGAGGAGGTGTATGATCTCCGTTGACGTTGCCTGCTTCTCCCATACCGTTCGTCATCGTCGTCTCGATTCGGTCGCGTCCGCTCAGACCTGTCACGGTCATCACGGTGCCTGTGATGGTGATGGTGGTGGTGTTTTCTCCGCTTGTGTTCTCTTTCACGACCGACATCTTCTCTACCGGCGGCCTTCAACAGTAACTTCCGCTTGATAGGATCATTCATCATAGCCTCATACGCTGCCTGCTCTTGCTTCTTGATCGCTAGCATAGGGTCTTCTCGAATCTTCGCAGCCGTGTCTCGGGCGGTGTTTGCATTTTGCAGGGCCATGAAGGACTCCTCTGTCGCCGACTTCTCCAGCTTCTGGTTCTCAGAGCCCTTGATTAGGCCATCTATCCGCCTCTTGCCCAGCAGGTATCCTTCCATTTCTTCGGTAGTGCCAGCCTGGCCGCTCGAAGGTCCATTGTACATCCAGTCAACTCGGGCTTGTCTTTTTCTTCCGCCAGCAGCTTCTTGTAGATCCTCAAGTTCCTGGATTGCTCGCTCTTCGGCCCGTTCTTTCATGATCTGATCAATCTTCTTGCGCTCCTCTAGCGCTTTCTTTTCTTCCTCCCATACCTTCTTTTGGTTGCTCATGAGCACGGGGTGCCATGATTTCTTGAGGTTCAGATCGCCACCCATGTTGCCGGCTAAGGACCGTTTGTCGAACGGGAGAGAGGATGTTTGAGGCGCAACGATATGTCAAGCCCACGCGTGTTGTCTAAAGGTGGCAGAGAATGGACGAGTCGAGATTGAAGAGGGGCGAGAAATTGAAATCGCGCTCTTAGCGATGGCAAAACTGAGACTCCGCATTTCGCAGGCGAAGGCAGCAGCTCGGCGTCACTCCGCATTCATCTGCCCGTCGTCTCGCCCGTATGTACTGTCTGTAACTGCGACTTAATCCATACTTGCCAGGTCAATCACTGTCTTTCTATCCTTTCGCTTCACACCAACAGCTAGGATCTTTAATTTTAATGTTTTCTACGGCGAGTTAGAGGCGTTCGTTGTCCAGCATCCTCCGCACTCCACACCCAGCTGCTCTCCCAAAAGCGTTGCCTTACTTCGCTCCGTTGGTCTTTGGGCCTTGGTCCCCCTTCGTGTTAAACAGCTCTCAAGATGTCTGACGACGATGACTTTATGCAGGAGTCCGACCCGGAGCAGTAAGATGGAACCATTTGGGACCTGTACATAACAGATCTGACGCGAACTCTTCTCAGGTATGACTTTGAATATGAAGACGACGATGATGTGGACGCAGGGGTAGGTACTTTTCCAAGCTCTCCATCTGTGACGGGATTGATATCCTGCTACTATGTCGGATTGATCATCGAGTTGCTCTAACATCACCCTAGGATGCTTCTGTTGACATCGAAAATAAATACTACAACGCCAAACAATTGAAGGTCGAATCACCCCAAGAAGCCATCGATGAATTCCTCGGCGTGCCCGCTCTCGAGGACGAAAAGGGCGACTGGGGTTTCAAAGGCCTCAAGCAGGCGATCAAACTAGAATTTGCACTGGGACGATACGACGACGCAGTTAAACATTACAAGGAGCTACTCACATACGTTAAAAGTGCGGTGACAAGGAATTACTCCGAGAAGAGCATCAATAACATGTTGGACTACATCGAAAAGGTGACTGGGCAGCAAGCCGACGCTTCGGCGACAGATTCAACAGCGTACAAGTCCATGGAGGAGTTCTACAGCCTGACATTGTCGACGTTTCAAGCCACGAACAACGAGAGATTGGCACTCAAGACGAACCTCAAGCTAGCGAAATTGTACCTCGACAAGAAGGATTACAATCAACTCACCAACAAAGTACGGGAGATCCATCAGGCGTGTCAGAAGGAGGACGGCACGGATGACCCGGGCAAAGGCACGTACTCACTCGAAGCCTACGCTTTGGAGATCCAAATGTACGCGGAGATGAAGAACAACAAGCGACTAAAGACCCTATACCAGAAGGCACTCACAGTACGGTCAGCGGTCCCCCATCCAAAAGTCCAAGGGGTCATCCGAGAATGTGGCGGGAAAATGCACATGAGTGAGGAAAACTGGAAGGAGGCACAGAGCGACTTCTTTGAGTCTTTCAAGAATTACGACGAAGCGGGCTCCATGCAACGGATCCAAGTCCTGAAATATCTGGTCTTAACGACCATGCTGATGAAGTCCACCATCAATCCCTTCGATTCGCAAGAGACGAAACCGTACAAGAACGACCCCCGGATATCAGCCATGACCGATCTTGTCGACGCCTATCAACGAGACGACATTTTCCGCTATGAATCCATTCTCAAGGACAACCAGGATCTGCTGGCGGATCCGTTCATAGCCGAGAACATTGACGAAGTCAGCCGCAACATGCGCACAAAAGCCATCTTGATGCTCATTGCCCCATACACCCGTTTCACCTTGCAATTTATTGCAGAGCGCATCAAAATCCCGGTCAGCGAGGTCCAAGACATCCTGGGTGTCTTGATCGTAGACAAGAAACTACAGGCGAAGATCAATCAACAAAATGGCACCGTGGAGGTCGAGGACTCCCAGGGAAGTGACAAGGAGCACCTGAACCGGCTACGCGATTGGACGTCTGCTGTGGAGACCTTGTGGACTACAGTGCTCAACGACGGTGACGGCTTCAAGCTCGAAGACGCCCAGGGAGGTGCTGGGTTTCAAGGTATGAACTTCCCAATGGGATTCGATCCTGCTGGTCCAATACCCAGTCGGGGACCTGGGCGTCGGGGTGCTGCGCGCGGGCGAGGTGGTGGCAAGCTAGTCGCTCCCATATGAAGTAGCGAGGTTTGACACAAAATCATGCGCAACGCGGAATATAGTGCGGATGCCATGCGCCTAGCGTACGCGACTGACCCCTGCCTTCTGGACTTGCATCCGCGCTATCTGGACATCTCACATTCGCATCACAGATGCATCTATTAGAGCCATCCAGACCGCAAGGCCGTCGATACAGCAATCCCCTGGTATGAGAGAATGCATTCTTCGGCACGGGCAGCCAGACCCTGCAAGAGTGGTCTGATATTTGGGCAAAGAGAGGGGAGCCAGCCACCAGGCAGGGTAAGCGAGCAAACTGAGCCCGACACAGAGGTTCAGCCGCACAGGAGCAAATGAAACGGAATGGAATGTGCTCTTCGGTCTGATAGTCGCACGCAGCGAGGGTTGGCCAGGTCGCAAATACGAACAGGCCGCGCCCAATCCCAACAGGCTGAGAACGACTATCGGCGTGCCGGGAGGACGCGCGTGCGGCTATGGACGTGTCACGGCGTCGACAGCGGCCACAGCCGCTTTGATAGACAGGCAATTGGGGGGTGTCTTACCAAAGCGCGACGCTGTAGAAACAAGAAACAAGTCGACGAGGTGCCTATCTGTTTGGTCTTCTCCAGGAAAGCAGATCTCTCCCCCTCTACCTACTTACCCCACCCTGTCCGGAGATTTCGATTTTTCACAAGGATTTGGATGCGCAAAGGTCTCGCCCCTGGCATGGAGTGTGACATCTCGCGGAGTGGAGCATTTGAAGCTCATCTCTTGCCAGAAGTGGAAAGTTGAGCCTCGTGATTGGATCCGACAAGACAGAATCTCGATCGTTTGCGATGCTTTACTCCCAAGCAATCTGATATCACATTTCGCTTGCAGTGCAGCCACGTCGGACTTATATCGATGCATACGAGGTAGCCTCAACTGACAATCAACCAGTAGTGCACTGCCATTCTGCATGCTCCAAGGCCGTTGCATGCTGTTTGTGGAGCACATTGGAAGCCGGCTTCGTGCATCTTTCCCTCGGACCGCTCTACGCTGTCGCCGCCCCTGGCATCTGTTGAATCCGCGGAAGGGTTTGCCGCTCGGCAGGTGATGGTGCGCCCCATGTGAGCGACAGTAGGGAGGGCAGGGAATCTGTGCTGTCCTTCCTTTGGCGATCCGACAGAGTCTCTGTGTTTCGAACCGTATGACAGACACTGAACCCGCCAGAGCCCGTGGCCGACGTTGCGTCAGCCTAACGGGATTGCAATTCCTACGTGGCATATCGCTCCGTGGGACCGAGCTGCTCGAGAAAGTAGGAGTGGGGTTGTGGCGAAGCACAGCAAGCCAGGATCCTCAGCAGGCACAGTCAAGCAGCTCACTGCTTGTAGGGTTGCTCAGAACCGTCCACCGAAGTCACGAAAGCAAGCTCGCCTGCTACGATTCCCTCAAAAGTTCAATTCCGGAACGCGCTGGAGTAGGCTACCGGACCCCCGAGACTTCTCCCAAAATGCTGAGCGGTCGGCTAACAAATGGGGGAATGGACTTTATCCAACGGACACGCAGCAACCATCCAGGGTCCCCGGTTCGCCAATGGGGTCAACATGCGAGTGGAAATATATCGCCGCATGCTGATTTAGGTAGAGTCTCTGTCGTAGTGGCGATCCGCGTATGCCAATAGGAGGCGTAAGTCCATCAAAACCACGCCTGGGATCGCTGAGGGGCTCTTGTACTTCCATGTCAGCCAATGTCAGGGCCGCGAAGCACAGTCACAACGGGCGGTAAGTGGTAGTGTCAATTTCTATTGTTCCATCGAGAGTACTCCGTAGGTGGAGGCATTTGGGCTCCTTCGTTCAGGACGAGGGAGAACTAGCCCGGACTTGTCACTTTGTCCATCCGAACCCTCGCGCCGGAGTGCATGGGGCCTGGCTCTTGCCTGCAGCCGGAAACACGCCAGCACCGACGGTATCCCCGCAGACCCCACGAGCTAGATTCATGGTCTGATATAATTCTGGACCTCTTGAGTCAGTTGCAATGCTGCCGTTTGCGGAGAAGCCCGAGCCGTCGAGTTGCCAGAGCGAGTTCGGAGGTGATATCCAGGAGCTTTGCAGTCGTCAAAAGCAAACATCAAGAATCGCGTACAGCCCAAGTGGCGAAGATGATGACGGCACATCTGCAGTGGAAGCGTCCTCGCCCATTCCCCGGGACAGCCGTGACACACATCGAGGCGAGGGAGCGGTGACGGGGATTTGACAGGGAGGATAACGGGGATTGCCCCTCCCGATGGGTGGCAGCGTCGAGCCTGCAGACAAGCTTTCCGAGCGCTGGACACCGATCCCGAAAAGCGGGAAGCAGCAAAGGAGGTCAGGACACTGACAGATGGATGTCGAGAGAGCGACATTGCGATCCATGTGTTACACAGGACAGATTGGTGGAGGGCTCGGGGCGAAGAGCTAAAGCTGGGCCGCTCCAAGCAGAAACACCTAACTCGTCAAGGTCTCCGCTGTCGAGGGGCTGATTGAAAGCCCGCCGCTATTCGTAGAGCACCGGCGGCCTCCATGTGGGCACGCCCGCGGGACACCTGTTCGCTGATCGGCGTTTTCGTGCCCGCCCATAACATGAGTTAGTTAGTGCCTGGCAGCTGCAGTGTTTGTTGTTCCCTCGGAGGGGCACTCGCTCCTTGTCTAGGTGCCATTTTTGCTCCACCGAGGTAGGGATGACATCTGACTTCCACCTCACCTTCACCTCACTCAAGTTTCACTCCACCTTTGACCTCAGGATCTCGAACACCACTATCGACGGTTCTTCCTTTCCTGTTTGGTCGCACTCCGCTACGTGCCGTGCGGATCTGAGGTCGCCACTGCCGCCGTTCGTCGCCCTTGCACA